AGAGTCCCCTGCTTTTACTCTTTGCACTGCCATTCTCTGGACATAGAATCATAAAGCTGGAAGACATCATCCGATCCAACCCCCTGCCATGCAGGAACATACAATCAAAGAACCCCCAACATATTTCATTCTGTAGCTTTGGCACAATCTTTGATGGGGTTTTTTTTTTCAAGCTCCTCAGTTTGTTGCTACTTGTTTTGACCTCCTCCTCAAGGTATAATTTATTAGGGAAAGGTTAGACTGACTCACTAAGTGGAAAACTATAAGAAATCTACTGTGCCTCCCCCCCTTGTTTCTGGATATTGAGAAATTACTATTGGGGAGTTTCCTGCTAGATAAAGTGACAGGTTTGCAAAATTAAGAGTTGAAGAGTTACAGTACTTAATGGCTAAGTGTGTGATTTATTTATCTTCAGAACCTTTGCTTCTAAAAAGAACCTATTAAACTGGAGTTGAATTATCCTAAATCTGTAACTGCAGCCAGAGTAGATGAAAACTGATCAAATGTAATGCAGTATCAGAGTGCACCAAAGGGGGATCGCCTGTGAATCTTTCAAAACTGTTTCTCTGAAATATTCCAAGTGTAAATGAAAAAAGAAAGGACAATAGAGGGAAATAAGATAAAAGAGGAATTATACATTGGATACTTTCCATGGGATGGTGATGATGATGAAGATGATGATGAAGATGAAGAAGAATTTATTGCTTGCCTCTGCCTGTGGCTCGAGGCAGGATACAACATCATTAAAGCAAGAGATAAACACTATTTAAAAACATACAAGATACACAGAGTTAAAATGCAAGTTAAAATCCACAGATGAAGTTCAGATTAAAATTCACAATTTAAAATTAACTGGGTAGACCTGCCAGAAGAGATGGGTCTTCAATTATATCTTCGATTCCGACAGCAGATTTAGCTGTAGGAGCTCTTCCAACAGGTTCTTCCACAGTCTTGGGACAGCTGATGAAAGATCCTCTGGGTTACAGTTGCCAGTCGGGTTCTAGCAGGCTGGAGCAGACGCCCCCCAGAGGACCTAACTGTGCAGGGCGAATTGTACAGAGAAAGAAGAGTGGTAGGTGTAGGTGATCACTCATGACCAAGTATGATTGTCTTCCAAGGGCAGAGTCTTGGCAGTAATTGAACTGCTATAGTTTGTTTAATTGACTTTGGATCAATCTTTCTTAATTGTTACTATTGATATTCCCTTCACTTCTGGAAGTGACTGACATTTGTAGATGGTCTGTAAGTGACTGTAGAGACCTATTCTGGTCTTTCATAGTGAGGAAATACTATGATGAAAGGCGGTCATGACAAGGGTTTGCTCAACATGCTTTCTCTTGGCACGTTTCTCCCTTTTGCCCTCTGTTCATGCCTTTTTAAAATCCATAGCACTGTTGGTAACAGCTGACCTTCAGTTAGAATCTTTGAGGATCAGATCTTCCCGGTTATCGCTTTTTATTCCACCTTTTTTAAGGTTAGCTTTAAGCCCATCTTTAAATCTTTTTTGCTGTCCACCAACATTCTGTTTTCCATTCTTGAGTTGAGAGTAAAGTAGCTGCTTTGGAAGATGATGATCAGGCATTTGGTCAATATGACTGGTCCAACAAAGTTGTCAGTGAGGAATCATCATTTCAGTGCTGGTGGTTTTTGCTTCTTCCAGAACACTGACGTTGGGGAGGTAGACAAAAAGATCTGCAGGATTTTTCGAAAGCAATGCCAATGTAATCTTTCCAGAAGTCGAGAGTGACATTAATAGATAGTCTATGTTTCGCAGGGATATTGGAAGGACAATAACTTTATAAACAAGCATCTTGATATCCTTACAAATGTCCTGATCCTCAAACACTCCCTGCTTCATTGGAAAAAACGCTGTATTTGCAGAGCTTAGATGGTGTAATGTTTCAGCGTCAATGTCAACTTTTGTGGACAGGTGGCTGCCTAGGTAGTGGAAATGGTCAACGTTTTCTAGCATTACACCATTAAGCTGTATTTCCGGCATTGCAGAGGGATTGGTTGGTGCCCGCTGATAGAGCACTTTGGTTTTCTCAATGTTAAGTGAGGGACAAAGCTTTTCATATGCTTCAGTGAAGGTGTTTAAGGTGGCTTGTTGGTCTTCCTCTGAATGAGTACAGAAGGGTAATAAAAAGAATTAAGTAGCAAGAGAGAGTGCTGATTAAGCAGGCAGGAAAGCACCCGGTCCTACACTGCTTGCTTTTTCCAGATTCTAACAGAGCCAAACTTTGTTGTTGTTTTAATTTTCTCATAACTATCATATACAGCTGACCCTCCACATTCGCTAATTTCACTTTTGCAGATTTGATATGTTCTCTCTAGGAATCTCTAGGTCCTCCAGTTTGACTGGTCAGCTTCCATGATAGAGTTGTACTGGATTGTTTCTAGATAACAATTCTCTAGAAATCTCAGTACTCCAATGTGATTCTCTATTCAACTTTTCAACAGTTGACCATACAGTTGCACTGGAGGATCTTGAGATTTCTAGAGTGGTGTTCTGTCAGGTTAAAAAATAGTGTTTATATATGGATTTTCAACTTTTGCAGAGTCCTGTGCCCGTAACCCCAGTGAATATTGAGGGCTAACAGTGTACTCATGTATAGGTCAAGGGCAGCTTTTGGCCCCCCAAAATTTTGGTATGACTCATGGATAGATTGCCAATCATTCCATGAAGAGGTGAAAGCACTAATGCCACCTCAAGGGGATAGCTACCCGTGGCTGCTGCCACCATTTCATCATCCAGATATTCAGAAAGCATCAGATTAGAAAGAGTAGAGGGGGTCAATGTTTCTTTCAGGTTCTCTGGGCACGTACTACACACTGTTCTTTTGCCACTCTACTCAGAGAAGGGAATGGGTTTTTTTTCTGGAGAAGAGTCAATGTATAATACTCACTTTGACCTATCGGCAAGTTAACCTAGATTTTGGCTTGAAATTTTAAACTAACTACAGAAGCTATCCGTTGATAATTCTTTAAAAAAATACCTTAAGGCAATGTATTGTCAGTATAAAAGAAATGGCTAGAACTTGGATTATAGACACTACAAAGCCTTGATTGTCTGGAAGAAGAAAGGCCATTCATAGGCAGCCAAGTATTTTGGCAAATTTTTCCTTGCAAAAAAAATACGAAGCAGTTTTGGTCAACAGTTACAATCGTGTTAAGACAACCTTGTGGGTTCGATTCAACATAGTAATATATTTGTCCATCTTTGGGAATCTTACGACTCTATTTAGCGACTGTAAAGCAAGCATAGGTAAACTTCAGCCCTCCAGATGTTTTGGACTTCAACTCCCACAATTCCTAACAGCCGGTAAACTGGCTGGGATTTCTGGAAGTTGAAATCCAAAGCAACTGGAGGGCCAAAGTTTGCCCATGCCTTCTGTAAAGAGTAGGCTTCTATGGAGACAATCATTTTCCCATGGATGTCTCAGACTCTCCCCATCGGTCTCCTGTGACTCAAGATTAAAGAAAGAGATTAATTTTTCAAACTACTTCTGGAAAGGCTCCAGGTCCAGATTCAGTTATGCCTGGAGTCTTGAAAGCTAACATCACATGGTGGATGCCTTAACTAGCAGCCCTGTTCACCCTGATCATCAGGACTGCTCATTTAACTGCTGGTCCTAGCTATCATAATCCCTACCTATGGAAAAAGGAGATAGAAACAATCCTTCTAATTAGCCGTCCATTAATCTACTTTCAGTATTGGGTAACCTCTGTACCCAGTACCTTTACATCAGACTCATTAGCTTGATTGAGGATAAAGATATCCTAGGAGATGACTTCAGAAAGACCAAGTCAACTCTTGACCTTTGCTTAGTTCTAAGCCAACTATCCAGCAAATATACAAAATCACTCGGTAACAGTCTATATGTTGCCTTTATTGATTTGAAACCAGCCTTTGAGTCAATACCCAGAACTATGTTGTCAACCTAAAACAAATGAGAAGAGCATTTATGGATTATTGTAAAGAAAACCCGCAAAGGTTAATTTCAGGAAAGCCAATATTATGGTTTTTACCAAGAACATCTTCCTGACTAAATGGGCTACTGTAGCTGGACAAAACATAGAACAAATATTTAGTGTTATATACCAATCTTCTGGCATATGAATATCTCATCAGACTTCTGTTGTTCTCTATACTTTCATTCCTTGCTTTCCATGCCGAAATCTGCCATAGTGTGTTTTGCATTCCTGTCTGGATTTGGGGCATCCATCCAGCACTGAAAAAAATACTTTCAATCTTTTTTCAGCAATACCTTTATGTAACAAACTTGGTGCCATCATCAGTTTTACTTTGAAAACAGGTTGTTTGTCAGTGAGATGTACTGCTTAGTGTTGGGTAGGTAATAAGATGTTAAACACTTTTTAAAGGAAGACTTGGATGAGATTATAGGCATTTTCTTCAGGAAAACAACTACATTACTCAGCGGTCTAAAGTTATCAGAGACAACTTGCAAAGAATAGGTTTCTTTGACAACATATTTTCTAACCAACACTTTTCTAAGACAAAATTGATTCTTGCTCACAAATTAAAGATACAAATATTCAATATTCCGTATCTGCTGCTTTAATACTAATAACTCAGAATAATTTTAATCCAGATTCATATATTTTCAACGCTATGGTCCTGATGTCCATCATAAAGCAGTGGTCTGATTAATTCCAAAACAACCTAACCTCAATTTATTTTAAAAAAAGCTTCCAATTTGATTTTAAGACATTTAGTATATTTTACAGCCATGTGCTCTATACTTGAGCCCTGTTCTTAATCATTCTTGCAAATTGTGGTCCAAATATGCTGTAAAGTCCTGCAGCCAAATTGACTGTAACATCAACTGACTTCTGTAATGGTTGGTCCCAGGTAAATACTGGCTGCAGCCTCCATCTTCCTATTTTTTCTATTGAAGCAACAAAAGCTCTGACAATTGTATTGCATGCCATTAGTACAAAAATATATGTTCTCAAAAAGTTTCTGTTTTGCTTTGCAGTTTTCTGAAGACTGCAAAATACATGAATATCCTCCATCAGGACCAACGTAAGTAACTTGAAAAATGACATTATCAGTAGATGATACTTGCAGATTTAAGAAAAATGTGTTCTCTGTCTCCACAGCAACCTTTTACTGTCTCTGAAGATTTTCCAAACTTTTCTATGTGCCTTAAATTAGGCAGCACTCTTACTTCCAAGGCCAAGTATGTTTAAGGAAAACATGGTTAATCAATCCAAAAACAATATTTTACCAGAAATGTAATTAGTGCTAGTGAAAAGTATTGTTAATTTATGTTACAGATAAGATGATATTTGGATGAGGGGCAGTTTTTTAATAACCATATCCAGACTCTTACGTAATTAGTTTAAAATTTATATTTATGTAGACTTGTTAGAAAGCAGTAGAGAAACCTGTATTAAATATAAATACAACTGATGCACTTGTGTATGCATGGAAGCTGAATATAACTACTGAGAAAGCAGTATGATTGATTGGCTAAAAAAACATTTAAATTGAGTAAGTTAAAAGTAGTGACTTATGTTAATACAGCAACTTTTATGAATATCATGAGAATTATCCCTTTTTAGGTACAAAGGAAATGTTCAAAAATACATCATAAACCTCGACTTGCCACCTAGTGAGAGATGGGTTCAACTAGTAACGGACAAAAAGGCAGAGGTAAGGAACTTAACCAACATGGGAATCTTGAGCTCTTCCTCCAGTCATACATTGCCTATTTTTATCCATTATGCATTAGGATGGAGCATAATAGTCTCCTAAGGTCATGTGTTACAGAATGCACACTAGACCTGCCATATAAAGGTTGCATGGTATTGCCATCTGCACAAGTGTAATAGTGTCTCCAGATTTCGGTTCCTTATAGGGTTTCTTCCTGTAAGAAAAACAAAACAGTACTGGAAAAAAATATGTTTGCCATTGAGGTACTTTTATCTCAGTCAATATGCTGTATTGAGACTGACCCCTTTTAGGGTGGTGTAGGGCATGATACAACAGAGCAGAACTGATGTCCTCTGTCAGTAGGTTGGTTTCAATCAGTCAAAAGTTGTGTTTTCTCTCCTGTGGGGCACTGGAATTCTTTTGGGTCAGGAATAAGCCCACAATACAATGAGTGTATGTTTTAATTTTATCTGATATTATTTTTATTCCGGTGACCAACTGTAAAGCTTCCATGAGATCTTAGTTAGCTGCACTCCCCCCCCCCCCCTCAATGCAAATATGCCTCACAAAGCTCTGTATGTGAATTGAGTTTAAACCAAGGCATCTTGGCTTAAAAAAATGAAAAATTTGCAAATGTTTGTTTTGATGGGGTGCCCCAGACACGGTGCAAGTGCCCTCCACACCCCTTAGATATATTTTTTTAAAACATTATATATACACACACACACATAGATCTTTGGGGGGTGGCACAAAATTGAGCCTTCAGACCACAATTTGTCCACCCATGCTTTAGGTTCTCAACTGCAATACACAATGCTGTGTACACATTAAGGGCAGACAATATAGCTGTTTATCAGTTCTGGATATCTTATGCTACATACTAAAATAAATGACATTACACGTTAACAAAAAAAAAATTAGTTTTAAAATTAAAGCCAGTGTTGAATGGAAATATTTTTCCTATTAAAGAATCTAAAGTATGGTTGTGGAAAGTTTGAAGCGATATATTTCAACTATGCTTGTTTGTTGTTGTTGTTGTTCATTCGTTCAGTCACTTCTGACTCTTCGTGACCTCATGGATCAGCCCATGCCAGAGCTCCCTGTCAGCCGTCACCACTCCCAACTCTTTCAAGGTCAAGCCAGTCACTTCAAGGATACCATCCATCCATCTTGCCCATAGATTAATTTTTGTCTTTAAATTTTATCCTCATACACTTGGATAACTGCACTGTGTGTACTGTACCCAGGCACCTGGAGCAGGGGTGGGGTCTCAAACTAGTACCCTCTGGATCTGTTGACCAATACTTTGGAATGTGAACATCTTGTGATCTCAGTTTTTTTATATTTCTCCAAATCCTGCCTTCATTGTCTACCTGACTATTTGTATTGATTTGCATATGCTTTTTCTGAATAGAAATTCACAAATCTAAATATTTTTCTTTATTGGTATGTTTTTTCCACCATTGAGTAAAACATATTTTGGCATATTTTTGAGTTATAAACATATCAGCTGTTAGCATTTTAAAATACACTCATTGGTTTGTATACACTTTATTCTTTCAACATATTCTGCAAGGCTGACAAATGTAGAAATGCTCAAGGACTGTGCATTTTTGCACAGAAGGTTTTGGGAGTCATGGCTAAAAGGTTACTTTGTCAATGCTGAGTGTACATTGCTTCAGTGCTGCTGTTTTCCACTTTTGTAAAAATAACTTCTTGTTTTGTACATCCTCACAAGTAAACATTTTCAGACATCGGTGAAGGATTTAAGTGTTTCTAAGTGGTTCTTTGGCTATGTTGTGCGACAAGTGTATTAATCTGACCTTCTGTTTATTACACATTTCTAGCTGAAGACAATGATTTCTAGCTTGAAGGGCATGATAAAAACATTGATCCACAATAAAAAATACATGGCTGCATTAGAAAGTAAATTGGTGAGTTTTTTTTACTGTTTCAAACATTTTAAATCTGATTGAGCTTGCTGAATCTTTTGTCTGGGCTTAGCAACAGTTGACTAACAAACAGCTATCGTAATATAAATCAACAGAAGTCAGGGAAGTAAACACAGTTATTAAGCATGCTATTTCTGATTAGAATATACATTGATGAAGTCATGGTCAACCTTATATATATATCTTTTAAAAGACCCCACTTTGGTGTATTTCAGAAACATATCTAGATTTTATACAAGATAGGTTGAAATTTTATAAATATCTTGACACAGTGGAGGATCTGCCATGGAATACATGGGTCCCACTCCTCCAGTTTGTCAGAAAATTGCTTGGTGTGAGTAGGAGCCCTACTACTGAAATACACTATTGGATCATCTAGCAGCTAGATAGAAGTTCTAGCCAGTATTCTCTGTACCAACCTCAACAATCTGTTGGTTGTGAAATGATAGCCAAATGATATCAGTCCCAGCTATCATCTAAAATGTCTGGACCTGATAGAGGAGTGGTTGACCCACAATGTTTGGTAGATGACTCTCTTAAGATTTCAGCCAGGCATGTTTTGCAGTCTTATGCAGTGATAGCAGACATCTGCACATAGACACATTCAGAATCATGTGCAGTGTCTGTTTACTATTTATTTAAAAGCAGCTGGAAAGAATTGGGTTGGATGCATCAACAATGGTCATGGGCATATTCTTTGATAAGCTGTTGATTGGCAACTCCTGAATATAGTTGCCAGAGTAAAAACACAAGATAACTCATATATTTTGATGTTTGTGTAGTACAGCAAGTTTCAGCAGGTGTTGTTTATTATCTGGTTGTGTGACGTGCACTTGTTGCTAAAAATCCCTCTTCAACAAAACCATTCAAAGTAAAGGAGCTGCCTAAGAATTTCATTTTGGCAAGCCTACTTCCAAGTAACATGGATCAGGAGGGAATCTTCGTTTATAGATAGATGTTATGGGGCTCATCGATTCTGAAGGTTTTGTTGCCTCTAGATATTGGCTCCAACTTTCATCAGCCAACATATGTAGAGGAAAGTGCATTTGAATATGCTTTTTAATAACATTTGTTTAGCCATGTTTTGATCTTGGAGTTTTGTGGACAACAAGTTGAACATGAACCAACTGTGTGATGCAAAATCTAAAAAAGCCAGAGGGGTTTGGGGCTGCATCAAAAGAGGTATAGTGTCTAAATCAAGCATGGCAGGCTGTTAGGAATTGTGGGATTTGAAGTCCAAAACACCCAGAGGGCCAAAGTTTGACCATGCCTGGTCTAGATCAGTGAAGCAATGGTGCCTCTCTATTCTGCTTTTGTCAGACCTCATCTACAATACTGTGCCAATTCTGGGCACCACAATTTAAGAGAGATATTGACAAGCTGGAAGGTGTCCAGAGAAGGGCGACTAAATGATCAAAGGTCTGGAGACTATGCTCTATGAAGAATGTCTTAAAGAGATGGGTATGTTTACCCTGCAGAAGAGAAGTTTGAGAGGAGACCTGATAGCCATGTATGTATAAATATGTGAAAGGATGTCACAAGGAAGAGGGAGCAGGTCTGATTTCTTCTGCCCTGGAGATGGACTCGGAGCAATGAGTTCAAATGTTCAACAGTGGAATTCTTTGCCTCGGAGTGTGGTGGAAATGCCTTCCTTGGAGGCTTTTAAGCAGAGGCCGGATAGCCATCTGTCAGTGGTACTTTGTGCTTTTCCTGCATGGCAGGGGATTGGAGTAGATGGTTTCTCCCAACTCTGTGATTTCATGATTAACATGGTTTGTCTTTATGTAATATGTGAGATGATCTTAAGAGTCTGAAGATTTGCACAGGCTGCAACTAGCTATATGCCAGGAAAACATTCAGAATACATAATTATAACATTTTCATATTACAATTACTTTTTATGTTTTCCTCTTAGGCTTGGCTAGGGACTACCCTCCCCTATCCTTTCAATGAAGAGATCAAAGGCATTGCCTCTGCTACTGACACACCTTTAGGTAATTCTGATTTAATTATTACAGCATCTTGTTTTCCCAGTAGTGCAAGATGAATATGAAGGCATCATTTGCTGCAACTGCTTAAATTAACTACTCTACAATACCTGTTGAGATTCCATTACATATATATAACTACAGTGCATAAGACTCTTCACTGCACGTGGTTGAAATTGCACAGACATAATGTCTGAATAGTTGTTAATTTCATGCAATGATGTTTAGAGTAGCAAAAGTGAGATCAAGTTTTGCTTTCACAGTGATCTCTCTTGTCCTGGAAGTCAGACAGGATCTCCTCGATGTACAAATAGGTCTTGTGATCCTATTATCTTATTCATGGATTTAAAATGTTCAGTTCTATGTCCTATACTGCAGACTTTTTTCAGATGTGCTAAACTTATAATTGCCATCATGGGAATCCCGTGATGGAGTTGAAGTCTGACTCATCTAGATAACCTGGGTGTTGTTTTGCACAAATCAAGAAGACATTAGTATAATCAGAAACTGAAGTGTAGCATGCTGGGTAACTGAAGTGAAATTGTAGCTTCAGTGTTTCCCAAAAAGGGAGGAAAGATGATGAACCAGGTAGCTTTTGCATCTTTTCAGTATCTGGGTGGCATCAGAAAATACCATTCATCATCTCTCATCCTGAGACGTGCCATCCTAGTCTGATTACAGTTGGTTCTCTGTATCCATTGTGTCAGCCATCCATGACTTGAAAATATTCCCTATCTATCTCCTCAAAAAGAAAACCTTAGTTTTGGCATTTTATATAAGAGACACCATTTTACTACATCATTGTCTATTACGGGATTTTGGTATCCAAGGTAGTTTCTGAAACCAAACCCCAGCGGATGGATACCAAGGGAACACTGTATGTCACATATTGTGACTGAAATGCGATCTTCTAAAGATATGTAGAGTCCTGCAGTCTTCCTTTCCCATTCTTTGTCTGCTTATTTTACTTTCAGTTTGTCATTTTGCTGAATGATTTGTTTCCTCCATCTTTCTTTCCCAACAGGCGATATTGTTGTATTCAATATCTTCTATGAAATCTTCACAGTGTGTACCTCAATAGTAGCAGAGGACACAACAGGTAAATAGCACCGTGTCCATTGGTAATGATGATAATACTTGGGTTATTCTTCTCATGGATAAACTTCATTCCTTTTATTATTATTATTTTTCTTTTCGAACCAGGAAAGCTATACCATGCCAGAAATCTTGATTTTGGGTTGTTTCTTGGGTATGTATGGACTCTTCTCTCTTTTTTACTTGAGTGAGATTAAACAGCTTGAGCCTCTGATATAAGAGAAGTCAATTGTCTTACTTTATTTAAAGCACTTTAGGATGAAAAATACAAGTTCTATCATCCTATTATTATATTTATTTATATCCCAACTTTTTCCAAGACAATATAAGAAAGCTCAAATAGATACAGCTAAATTTTGCATTGTAGACAAGTTAAAATATAATTCCATTTTCAATTAAGTTAAAAGCTGTTAGACTATTAAAAAGAACAGCAACAAATAAAATCAACAGCACACTTGAAGTCCTTTTCCTCATAAGTAGTCAATCCTCAGAAGTCTGCCAAAATACAAAGGTCTTTACTTGCCTATGATAAGATAGCAGAAGGGCATCAGAACCTGGGAGCAGCCACCAAGTAGGCCTTCTCTCATGTTTCCAAAAGATGTTTATGTGAGGATGATGGCACAGATATGTGCAAGCTCCTGTAGAGAGATAAGGGGCATCTGATAGCCTGGACCGGAGTTGTGTAAAATTCTGTCCAGAAACAGACCAGCGACCAATAGAGCTGTTGCAACAAGGGGCCTATATGTTATTGTATCCAGCTGTTTGCATCACCAGAAGTTTATTTATTTATTTATTTATTTATTAACTTTATTTGTACCCCGCTACCATCTCCCCAAGGGACTTGGTGCGGCTTACATGAGGCCGAGCCCAAACACGACAATACAGCAATAAAACAACAATACAAGCAATTAAAAAACATAGACAATAAAATAAACAACATTATCAATAAAACAACACACAATTAAAACAGAGGGGCACCAAATGTAACATTAAAATTGGAAATATGCTGGGACACAAACGGAAGATGATACTGGTGTTTGTGGAAGGGCATACGAGCAGACTTAGAAAAATGTAAAGTGCTTTAAAGGACAAGGTGCTATGAGATCATTATTCCGGGAAGTTTCCAAACATTCTTCAAGGGCAGCTCCACATGGAGCGTCTTGAATCTCAAAACAGGATATAGCTAAGATAGGTTTCCACATGGCCAGATGTGTCATCTCAAGGAATAGGTGCAGCTGATGTACAAGCCTTAATTTTAATGGCCCTCATTGACACTGGGCTCCTAGGCTCAATATTGAATCCAAGAGTACACCCAAACTGCAAACCTGCATTTTCAGGGGGAGTATAACTCCATTCATCACAGACTGAATCTCATTCCTTGATCTGCCTTTCGACTAAACCAGGACCATCTTTGTCTTACCTGGATTAAAGTTCAACTTGTTTGCCCTCATCCTATCCTTTACTGATGACAGGCGCCAGTTTAGAACCAAGACGGCTTCCTTGGATTGAGATAGAAGGGAGTAGCAGAGCTGTGTGTCTTCAACATGCTGGTGAGACCAGATCCCAAAACTCCAGACAACCTCTCCCAGCACTTTCATTTATATAAATAACATAGGGGGCAAAGAGAGCCTGTATGGTGTAGTGGTTTGAGCTTTGAAATACAACTTTGAAGGCTCAGTCATGCAAACTCAGTGGATGATGTTGAATGAGTCACACGTTCACATCCCAGGAAAACACATGATAGGTTTGCCTTTGATTTACCATACATCAGAAATGACTTGAAGCAACTTATAGAGACAAATTGAAACTTGAACTGACAAAACTGAAAACTAAGTTAGACAGGCAAAGTTACTTTTTGTATTGCAACTCACAATTATCTGTTGGTGTAATTGGAGTGTCGGGGATCAGTAGCCCAAAAATAACTTCCCAAGTGATGCAATTTTTAAAGGTGCTTGCTTTTTTTCCTTTGCAGGTGGGATATTAAAAATAGTTCCTGGTCTGTAACAAAGGAACTAAAGCCATTAATGGCGTCACTGGACTTTCAAAGGAACAATAAAACTGTATTTAAGTCTTCAAATCTTGCAGGCTATGTGGGAATTGTCTCTGGAGTCAAGCCTGTAAGTATTTTTGATTTGCACCACATTAGGTGCATTATTATGTAACTTCCTTCTATAAATATCAGCAGACCTTCCTTTGATCAGGAAGAGAAAATTAGAAGCTCCCACTTATGGTTAGCAGCAACTCAGAATTTTCTATTCCAACCAAATATAATACAGTATGATTCCTTAAACAATAATTTGCCTGCTTGCCAGTGCATGTTTATAAACTTCAGGCGACACTGAACTGTAATCCCTGACTATTTGTGCCATAATGTATATTATGGCATAAATTGCTGCATCATATTCTTTTTGCTGCACCAGACTCTCTGGAAATAAATTTGAAGGGTTCTTTTCCATTGTAACAGATATGATAAGTGATTTTGTAGTCTCTCCATTACAAAAACCGGAAGGCTAGTGGTGATAATGAATGTGGAAATTATTATGAGAAACAGAAACAAACATGTTACCAAAGTTTCAGTTTTTCCCATTTAGCCAGAGTACTTAATCTTTTCTTAAGGGGTGCTCTTAGGTGGTCATTTTGAGGTAGACATGTATAAACAAGTCTCCCACAGTCAGATTTTCTAGTAAGCAGTGCAAATTGATCTCTATGTACATCTTAATCTCAAGTTCCTAATGTTCCCCATCCCTGGGAATGGGTTGTGACACCCAAGCAACTTTCTCATTCTCCTTGTACAATTTACTGTAAATTCAAATGCAGTATAAACAGTGCCCCCGCCCCCAAGCTATAAAATGCAGTTAAGTAGTAGTTTAGATAGAGCTCATATTTTGCTGCTGAAAGTTAGAAACTCCTTGAGATGTTAACAGTTGAATGATACCTGATACCCACTGGAAACAAGGGTGTTAACTCAAGTGTTGACTGATTTCATATTTTAGGGTGCCTTTTCTCTCACCTTGAACGAGCGCTTCAGTCTAGATGGAGGTTACATTGGTGAGTATCCTAATTATCGATTTTAGGGGGGGAAACTTTAAAACAGAAATTTTATCAGCTCATTGAAAATAACTTGTCCTTTTTCTGATTTAGGGCTGCAGTGCTAATAAGATTACTCTCTTTACATTTTTTCTTTACTCTCTTGCACAACAAAGTGAAAAAAGCAGTGTTTTACCTGATGTATGTAACTTTTAGAAACAAAATTATATGCTTTAATAAGATTTCATGCTCACATGGAGCTGCAAGTAAGCTCTATTGAAACTAGGCTGATTCCCATGTAAATTGCAGTATGGCTGGTTTATGAAAGCCTTACACAAAAATCCTGTGCATGTTTACTTGGTCTGTAACCTTTTGGCCTAATACATTAATTTCCTGCAATTTGTGATTCTTGCAGGACTCTTTGAGTGGATAATTGGTCAGAGAGATGGTTGGTGGATGAGCTTCCTCACTAGAAATGTGTTGGAAAATGGCACAAGGTAACAGTGCGCCTTGTGTATTTGATCTGCTGCTGTATTTCTTTCAGTAAATAAGGAGAATACTGAAGATCACTGTTATGTGACTAGGAAAATATAACACGTTTCTGCCTTTAAATCTTGTTTGGGGGCGGGGGTTGTAATATCTGAAGCAAATAAAAATACCTTCCACATGTCATGTTTGACCTGTATCTTAACAACAACAACAACAAACAACAACACTTTATTTATATTCTGCCTTTCTCACCCCCAAGGGGACTCAAGGCGGATCACAAGTACACATACACAGCAAACATTCAGTGCTGTTTGTATAGAGACAGTACACAGACAGAACAGAAGGAGGTTTTTCTGTCATGCCACAGGGGGTGCTGTCACTCCATCCTCTATGACGAAGAGCCATCAGGACTTCCTCATACCAGCATGTTCTGATCTTCTTTTTCTTTATGGCATTGTAAAACACCTCCCCCACTTTTTAGCAGTACCTAATTTATCTAATTACAGCTAAAGCTGTTTTTGAACTGCTTAGGTAAACAGTGGGCAAGGCTAACAGTTGGCTGCCCATGCCAACCCGGGGTTCGAACTTGCAACCTTTCAGTTGATAGATCTTATAGTTGCTGATGATTTACCAGCTGTACTAAACCTCCAGTCCTTCTTACCTGACAAGCACTGGGTGTTAATCAATGCAGGACAACATGGTTCTTCTGGTTTTCCTAATCTTCTCATCTCAATCCATAGTGGTTTCTGTCTTTCACAATGGGACCTAATGATCACATTGGTCACTCTTCGTGGAGAGGCAAGAGTATGCAGAAAATCCTTCCCATAACCTGCTGTAGACTCACGGTCTTCAGTCTTTGCAGTTACAGTGAGCTTCACTGAGGATGTAATTAGGTTCAGTGACAATTTCTGATCATGAATGTATGTTTTGTAATTAGATGTTAGAGCCAGAACACAAGGCTGTGCTAGGTTAACTGTGGCTCAGCCCCAGATATTATTGGACTGCAACTCTCATCAACTGTAGCCAGCATAATCAGTAGTGAGGGTGATGGTAATAGTAGAAAAACAGTATCTGGAGGGCCACAAGTTGATAACCCTGTACTAAATGAATGTGAACTTGGTTAGGCAACCAGAGAAACAGACATTTACATCTCTTGTGCTTTCCCTTCTCAAATTACACTATGTAACAAAATTTGTTGGTGTTTTTCTGTTCCTGTTTTGAAAGTGTTATTTTCTGTTTATTTGTATGGTACTTGCTTTGAAAGTAGTTGTTACACTTCAAAAACATTGTTTTTGTAGCTACCACAAACTATGTTGAATTGGTTGAGATGCCAGGAGATATTTATTGAAATTTCTTTTTCAATGTTTTTATGTTAGACACAATTAGGAAATGACCATTATAATCCAGAAATAAAAATAGTGTTACATAGTATTATTGACCTCCTGCTTTGAAACACTAGCTGTGTCCATGGCTTCCCCTTGCCTGCCTTGATTTTATGAGACACAATGTTCTTTCTAGTCCTTAATTTGGAGTTATTCTTCTTTATCTCTTCTATTACTTTTGTTCTTTAGTGCACTTTCAAACAAGCCAGAGCATACTGTAGTCCAGCATTGTTGGAAGTGAATATGTTGCCCTTAATTGTTGTATCTCTCTCGTTGTTTCTATTCAATATAGTTATGAAGATGCAAAGGAAAGACTTGTTAACGAAAAACTGCTGGCACCAGCCTATTTCATATTGGGAGGCATTAAATCAGGAGAGGGTTGTATTATTACACGTTCTCGAAGTGCTACCTTAGATATATGGCCGTAAGTATGCTCGTTAATTGAAGCTCTGTAAGCAGATGGATCTGTTGTTTTGTTGTTTTTTTTCATGTCAGAAGAGATTTGAGAAACTGCAAGTTGCTTCTGGTATGAGAGAATTAGCTGTCTGCAAAGACGTTGCCCAGGGGATGTCCGGATGTTTCACCATCCTGTGGGAGACTTCTCTCATGTCACCGCATGGGAAGCTGGAGCTGACAGAGTCTCACCCCACTCCCCAGATTTGAACCGCCTACCTTTAGGTCAACAGTTCGCAGACAAAGTCGCTTTGATCCGTTCTGAGCTGGACACCATGTTAAATGCAGTCTCTGAGGATGTGACACGAGCACCTGCTTGTCCTATTTTGATGGATTCTTTTCAATTTGTGAAACCCGAGGATGTGGACAAGATACTTGGAGGAATGAGGCCCACCACGTCCATCCTAGACCCCTGCCCATCCTGGCTTCTGAAGGAGGCCAGAGGGGGATTGGCTGAGTGGGTAACGGTGGTGGTTAATGCCTCCCTTCGGAAAGGCAAGATTCCAGCGTGCTTAAAACAAGCAATTATAAAACCGCTGTTGAAGAAACCATCATTGGACCCCACTAAATTGGACAACTTTCGGCCTGTTTCCAATCTCCCCTTTTTGGGCAAAGTCATGGAAAGCGTGGTGGCCTCACAACTCCAGGTATTCTTGGTAGACACTGATTATCTAGATCCGGCACAGTCTGGCTTTAGGCCGGGACATGGAACTGAAACAGCCTTGGTCGCCTTAGTGGATGATCTGTGCCGGGAGCTAGACAGGGGGAGTGTGTCCCTGTTGGTGCTCCTGGATCTCTCAGCGGCCTTCGATACCGTCGACCACGGTATCCTTCTGAGGCGCCTTGCGGAGATGGGTCTTGGGGGCACTGCTTTGCAGTGGCTCCACTCATTTCTGGAGGGTCGTACACAGAAGGTGTTATTGGGGGACTCCTGTTCAACACCACAGCCTTTGACCTGTGGCGTTCCACAGGGTTCTATACTGTCCCCCATGCTGTTTAATATCTACATGAAGCCGCTGGGTGAGATCATCCGGAGTTTCGGGGTGCGGTGTCATCTGTACGCAGATGATGTCCAACTCTGTCACTCCTTCCACCTGCTACTAAGGAGGCTGTCGAGGTCCTGAACCAGTGCCTGGCCGCTGTAATGGTCTGGATGAGGGCGAACAAACTGAAATTAAATCCAGACAAGACGGAGGTACTCCTGGTCAGTCGCAAGGCCGAACAGGGTATAGGGTTACAGCCTGTGCTGGATGGGGTCGCACTCCCCTTGAAGGCGCAGGTTCGCAGCTTGGGTGTGATCCTGGATTCATCTTGAGCCTGGATCCCCAGGTTTCAGGGGTGACCAGGGGAGCATTTGCACAGCTTAGGCTCGTGCGCCAGCTGCGCCCGTATCTTGGGAAGTCTGACTTGGCCACGGTGGTACACGCTCTGGTCACATCCCGCCTTGACTACTGCAACGCTCTCTACGTGGGGCTGCCCTTGAAGACGGCCCGGAAGCTTCAGCTAGTCCAGCGCGTGGCAGCCATGTTACTAACGGGAGCGGGACGCAGGGAGCACACAACGCCCTTGTTGTCCCAGCTCCACTGGCTGCCGATCTGCTACCGGGCCCAATTTAAGGTGCTGGTGTTATCCTACAAAGCCCTAAACGGTTCCGGCCCAAAATACCTATCGGACCGCATCTCGGCCTATGAGCCCACGAGGGCCTTAAGATCGTCTGGGGAGGCCCTTTTCTCGATCCCGCCTGCCTCACAGGCATGTCTGGCGGGGACGAGAGAAAGGGCCTTCTCGGTGGTGGCCCCCCGGCTGTGGAACACCCTCCCTGTTGACATCAGACAGGCGCCCTCCCTTATGGCTTTCCGTAAGAGCCTAAAGACCTGGCTATTTGAGAAGGCATTTAATTGAGTGCTACATTAACTGGTAATGACAACGGGAACGGAATATGGACTATGAGATTGGTTATGATTCTATGTTGTGACGATGCGGATTAGTTAGTGTAATTTAGATTAGTGTGTATTTGATATGTTGATTTCTTGTTGTGCTTTATTGTAAACTGTTTTTATATGTTGTACACCGCCGCGAGTCGCCCTAGGGCTGAGAGCGGCGGTTAACAAATGCAATAAATAAATAAATAAATAAACAGTTCAGCCGGCACAAAGGTTTAACCTATTGTGCCACCGGGGGCTCCATAACTGCTACCAGTAATGTGGCTTGATAAAGTGGTTGAAAAGCTGGTGCTTGCAAACATGGGTTTCTTTAGTATTTTTGGAGCATGTTCTTCTTGTTTTAACAATGTTTTCGTATTGAGGAAAGGAAGGAAGGAAGGAAGGGGAAGAGGAAGAGGAAAAGGAAAGCTCCTTAATATGCCTTCTGGCTTAATTTAGCCAAGAATACATTAGCAATATACTGTACAACCTATAGAAAAACCTGTGGATAATGTGCCAAGAATATGAAGTGTTGTAATGTATCCATGTTTGAAAGAGTGGGGGTGGATGTGAAAGGTGTCCATATTTTTTTTTTCATTTCAAGCTTGGACATAAAAAGAGGTATCTGGTATTTGGTGGAGACCAATTATGATCGCTGGAAGGATCCATTTGTTCTGGATAACAGGAGAGATCCCGCCATGAAATGCTTGAACCAAACAACGCAAGAGGTAAAGTGGTGGAACTCAAATGTCCTGGTATAGATGACTAAACCTCTTAATGTGATTGACACCTAATGAAGTGTGGCACGTAATGAAACTCCCAGGATGTCAGCTTCGATCCATCATAACAGGATCAGTCAAGGTCTTGTAATAGCAGTGTAACACCAACCCTTCAAGACATTGTACAGCACGTATCACGTTGGGTTGAGTATCTGAGGAGTTGCGGACTGGAAAGTATATTTTTCTGGCTCTGCTGAAGCTTGTATGCTGTGCCTCCTCTCTTCTCTTTCTCAGCCATAAAAATCTTCCATTTTCAATTAACCACAGACAGGCATTCTGTCCAAATGCTACATTGTGGCTAATTTGAACTATGTATTATCAAAGGCTTTCATGGCCGGAATCACTGGGTTGTTGTAGGTTTTTTCGGGCCATATGGCTATGTTATAGAGGCATTCTCTCCTGACTTTTCACCTGCATCTATGGCAAGCATCCTCAGAGGTATGAGGTCTGTTGGAACTAGGAAAATGGGTTTATATATTTCTGGGTGGGACAAAGAACTCTTGTCTGTTGGAGCTAGGTGTGAATGTTTCAACTGACCACCTTGATTATTAGCATTTGATGGCCTGGCCGTGCCAACAAACTTTTGTTGAGAGGTGATTAGATATCCTTGATTGTTTCCTTTCTATTGTTATGCTGTTGTAATTTTAGAGGTTTTTTTAATACTGGTAGCCAGATTTTGTTCATTTTCATGGTTTACTCCTTTTTGTTGAAATTGTCTGCTTTTTCCTGAAACTCCTTCTAGCCAATCAGAACTCCTCTAAGTTCTGACTTGCATTGATTGCCAGGCTTTCATGCTAGCTTCTTTAAGGCTTTCCTATCTAGAGATCTCTAGTAATCCCAAATTACTTGGATGGATGGCCCATCCAACTACAAATCAGGACTGCTTGATTTCCAAATCAGACTAGATTGATGTAATAATTCAGATGACATATACATTAAATGATATGAAGATACAATTCCCACATCTTGTTCTACTGCTTTTTTATGCTAGTTGTCGGTGTGTAACCAGAAAAATAAGGTCACTGTGATACTGTGAAATCTGGAATCAAAGCCTTAAGTTTTGTTTGGTTTTTTGTAGTGAGGGGTAGTCTTTCAATTTCATTGTTTCTTCAGAGATTAGAACATTATCACAAAAGTGGGTGTCAACTTTAAATGCAACATAGAAGTAATTGAGTGATTTTGCATAGTTCATTGGGTTGCTTTAGAATGGTCAATCATATTCTTACCCTTTTCAGACAAAATCAATTACGTCTGGCATTTCCTTTGGTCCCACTACTGGGACACCTTTTCAGAAATCTTTCCAAATTGGCATTTGGCTCTTGAGCTTTAAAAGCTTCTTAATCCCCGGATGATTTATTCCTGTTCTCTGCTTTGTTGCTGTGACAAAGCTGACACAACTGTTCCTTACGTAGATGCTTCTTTATGAGTTGATTCAGGCATCAGAATAACTTCAGTCTTCTTCCCTCCCAGAATGTTTCATTACCAGCTATTTACAACATTCTCTCCACAAAGCCTGTCCTAAACAAGGTAAGCTCTTTTTGTGCCTTCCGTTGCATGTCCTGCTTGAATCATATATGTAGTCTCATAACTTGAAAAGCTGGCTTGGTTAAGGCTACAATATTCCCATGATGACCAGAAGTGACCCTAGTCACTTTAACTTTTTAAGTGATACATTTTACTGTAGTGATATATTTTCCTTTTTACCCATATGTTGATTATAATTACACAACATACCCCCCCCCCCCCATTATTGATGTTATTGATTTTTAAGTCTGTTCCTAGAGTTATTTGCTGTGCTGATTCAGAAAATTGCATCAAATGGACCACATCAGCTCTAGTTTCTTAGATATAAATATCGTGATTTTCTATGGGTGGGCAGATGGTGACTGGTAGATAACATATGATCTGTATATCAAAAACTAGAACTGATAGGGGGAAACAGATGCCATTTTTGGAATCAACAGGTCTGATATACCCAAGAACAGGACTAACATTTGAAGCACCAAAATGTGTATTGGCCAGTGTTATATATCCTCAGTATGCTATATAAACATATACCATATTGATAGCTTGCGATTTGCATGAGCATAAAATTAGATCTTGGTTTCCAAAACCAGATTTGTCTCCCATGTTAGAAGTATGAATAGCCTTAGTAGATCACTACTTTGTCAGCTGCAGAAGTAATGCCATGCATGAAACTGGCAGGGACCGGTTTATGCAATCAGTTAATGCATGGCATTACTTCAGGTGTGACAGCTAGACATTCTTCTTCATGGTCTTTGTGCTTCACAGCTGGGTTGTCACATTCTTCATCACTGCATTTGTTTAAGCAGAATTTTTGCAAGCATCTGGAATGAAAGCCTTTTAAAACTTGTCTTTTAAAAGTTTGTATGCATAGTTTTAAGAATTGCGTAGCCATCTATGTTTTACTTGTACTGCAACTCAGGGTGGAAAGGCTGTGATGGAAAATCTTGGAAATTGCAGTAAAAAATATCCAGAAGGCTACAATATTCCCAAGATGACCAAAAGTGACCCTAGTTATCAAGGGGTTCTGACACTTTAACTTTTAAAGTGATTCATTTTACTGTATTGATATATTTTTCTGTTGACCCAAACTAAATTTATTTTTTCTCTGTGTTTATTTAGCTGACTGTGTCAACAACACTGTTGGAAGTTTCTGATGGACGCATAGAGACATACCTGAGGGATTGTCCTGATCCCTGTAGTCCTTGGTGAGGGCTGCACTTGCCCATAGAATCAGATTAATGTGGGATGCATTTTCTCCAGGGGAAATTAGGGGAGGGAGTGGGGAGAGAATCTTAGCCTGCTGTGGGTTGGGAAATGAGCTTCTAGGCCTGGTCGTACTTCACACCAAAAATTGACCTTTAATTGACATTCTACTTTGAACTGTCTGCTTGTTTGTGTATGAAGCTAAACCCAAATGACTTTCAGTCCCTACTGCTTTGGCTAGTCATTGCTTAGATTAATCTTGCAGCACCATCCTATGCCACTTCATTTAATAGGGCATATGTGATGGAATTACAGCCCTGGGGAAAGGGACAGTTTGGAAAGCGGTGTTGTGCAGACTTGAAAGAATCCAGCGCCCCATCATAGTGGTTTGCCTGCTCCACAGTCTACCAGCTACCTCAGCATTTCACTGCTTTGCCAGCTTGAAGGAATGCTTGCATCGTTTCCATATATTTAAAATTAGGAGAGAGAATAGAGTGAGAGATGAATCCAACATAGGGGGAATATAGCTGTGTTCTGCATGCATCTGGAGAAATAAGGATCTAGAGCTGTACAGTCTTCCACATTCACAGAGATTAGGAACATATAGCCCATGAAAAACCCTGAATAAAAAATGCTAACTTTTTTACACCTGAGAAAAAAACACCTCTAGGAATTTTTAGGTCTTTCAGCCTAACTTTATGGTCAAGATCTGCTGGGAGCTAACCATAGAATTAAATTGGAGGACCTCAATATTCCTAAGAGAGCTTTTCTCTCTAGAAATCTCTAGGTCCTCTAATATGACTTGAGAAAGTCGGCCATGGGGGGGGGGGGGTCAAACTTTGTAGGATCTAGAGATTCCTAAAGAGAACATTTAAAATAAAACCCATAAACAATAAAATCTGGAAAAATCACAATGGCAAATGGTAAGGGGCTGATGCGCTCTTATAGTAGTGGTGCAGTATTCCTCACCATCACCACCTCCTCCTCAAGGCATAAATGTTGGGTAAAGCTCAATTTCCTGCCATGGTTAACTGGCCTCAAGCATGGATAGTATTAACATGGCTTTGAAATTCCTGGCTATGCCATCCCTGGAACAATATTCCCTGCCTCGTTGTTTCTGAACCTTGTGCCATTGCCTGTTCTCCAGTTGGGAAGACTAGAGAGGAAACGATGCTAAGGGAATGGCTGCCTGTGTACTGTGGAATGCATTACAGTGTCCCTATCTCATCCTTCAAACTTTTCTTTTGTGGTGCACTTACTAAAATACAGGACAGGGTTGCTTAACAAAAGTTCCTCTTTTTCCTAGTAATTAATGGAGATGATTAATGTTTCAGTACTGCTAGTCAGTATTAAGAATGTATCTTTTAACAAGTTCTCGATCATTTTACAATAAAAAAAAATGATAAATTATCTGTCGTGTTCTAACTTCTTGGGAAATGATACCCAATGTAGTAGTTTTGATAATGGCTATTGCACCTTCAGTATAGCCATTCCTTTTCTCCTAAATGCTTACTTTATACTCTACACAGGTTATTAATTTTATACCCCACCTGTATCTGCCTGGGAACGGTTGTCCACAATTATTGTCATATTCAGTTTGTATCTCAAGCAAGGCCAACTTCAACATAGGCTTCTTCTTTTTCATCTTAAATGACATTCACATCATCCCAGATAAGCACAATAATCTAATGTCAACTATTTTTCTTTGATTTGGAGAAACAGCCATAATAGTGCAGTGGTTTTAAATGTTGGACCAGGACTCTGCCAAACCAGGGTTTAAATCTTTTCTCAGCTGTGGAAACCCACTGGGTGAACTTGGATATGTCATTGTCTCTAAGTCTTAGAAGAAAGCAATGGCAAGCTGCCTCTGAATAAAGCTTGCCAAGCAAATTTTACATTAGGGTCACAGGAAGCATTTCATGGGGAAAAACAGCAGGCAAAGAAAGATGGAAACGTTTCGTAGAATTTGAAATTAATTTTGTTAGTTTTGGCCCAATTCTTTAATCTGTTATGGTTGTTTTGAATTCTGATCCTGTCCCTAATTTGATATCATCTGCAAACTTGATAAGCATGCCCTCTAAACCTTCATCTAATTCAATAATAAAGATGTTGAACAGCCCTTAGCCCAGGACCAAACCCTACAACCCTCCACTAGTTCTTTCCAGGTTGAAGATGAACCACTGGTGAACACCCTTTGATTTTGGCTGCTTAACAAATTACAAAATCACCTAACAGTAGTATTGTCTATCCCACATTTTACTATCTTGTTTGAAAGAAGGTCATGGGTGACCTTGCCGAAGGCCTTACCGAAATCAAGGTCTGCTACATCCACAGCATTCCCTATATCTACCAAGCTTGTAACTCTATTGGGAAAAAAGATTAGCCAGGCAAGATTTCTTTTTGAGAAATCCATGTTGACTTTTAGTGATTGTAACATTCTTTTGTAAATGATGACAGACTGCCTCCTTAATGATCTGCTCCAGAATCTTTTCTGGTATTGATGTCAGCCTGACTGGACAGTAATTGTTTCGGTCCTCCTTTTTCCCTTCTTGAAGATAGAGACAACATTTTCCCTGGGTTGCTGTGAGTTTTCCAGACTGTATGGCCATATTCCAGAAGCATTCTCTCCTGACATTTTCCCACATCTATGGCAAGCATCCTCAGAGGTTGTGACCTCACATCCTCTGAGGATGCCTGCCACAGATGTGGCTGAAACATCAGGAAAAAATGCTTCTGGGACATGGCCATACAGCCCAGAAAACTCACAGCAACTGAGTGAGTGGCCATGAAAGCCTTTGACGACACATTGGAACATTTGCTTTCCTCCAGTCTGCTGGGACTTCTTCAGTTCTCAAAGATTCAGCTCCTACATATCTGAAATCCACCTAATTCTCACATCGCAACAGATATAATTGCAGGGCCATGAATTTTATTTGAAGGCGGCTTCATACAGTCCTGAATAAAATGCAAGCAAATCTAGAACTAGAGTATCTCCAACCATTTGTCATCTAGTCTCTGCTTGAAGCTTTTCAATGAGGCAGGATCCATCACTCCCTGTTCACGTGGTAAAGGCTGCTCTTTGATGGTAGGTGAACTATGAATCCCAGCAACTACAACTCCCAAATGACAAAATCAACCCCTGCCAATCCCACCAATATTCTAATTTGGGCGTATCAGGTATCACGAACATTTAGGAAACACTGCATGACACTTTTGCATACAGCATGTTAGTTGTTCCTTAGGAGGCAACAGTGTTCCTGCGAAAACAAACACTTTGCCTAAGTACATTCTTTTTTTTAAAAAAATGCTTTGAATTTATAAAACTTGACTCTTCATAATTTTGTATAGCATAGTTCAAAACACACCTACTTACAAGCCAACTTTTATTAAAACTACATTTTTAAAATTGCTAAAATCACAATCAAATCATAAAAAAGACAAGACAGCAAAGAACTGTGCAGCCAGACTGAAAGCTCAGTTGTAGCCGTTTTAAGTTTTATGGGCCAAAGTTAGCATGCCTACTCTAAAAGGCGGTGTATGAAAAACTAATTTACATTTTTATACAGATTACAATGCATGGAATTTAGTAGCCATTTTCTATATGCATCTGTAGATGAAGTAGGCCAAGGAGTTACCCTTGAAATGATTTTTCACGCACTTTGGGCTCCAAGAGTTTCTGGAAAAAGAAGAGAATACGTTCATGATTAAAGCAGTGATAAGAAATATTCTTGGCTATAATGATGATGTTGAGATGTCTCCAATGAAGGAACTACTGACCAATATCTCTCTCTTATATTATCTATATAAAGTATATGAGAGGATGCTATTAAACCTACTTGGACCTGTTATTGCACAACAAGCAGGTTTCAGACCATGGAAAAACTGTACAGCTCAACTTAATCTGACTGAGTGAATCGAGAAAGCACATGAGAAAGGTTGCATTACGGGAACAGGTTTTGTGGACCTTACGGCAGTGAAGCCTAGAAAAATGCTGCATAATGTCTATCATACTACCCGGAACTATGCTTTTACAAAAACTGTCCAGACCCTCCTAGAAAACCGCAGCTTCTATGTGGAGTTTCAAGGCAGGAAAGTAGATGGAGGAGGCGAAAGAATGGTTTACCTCAAGGCAGTGTTCTTGCACCAACTTCGTTTAACATCTTTACTAACAATCAGCCACAGCCACTACTCACAAAGAGCTTTTTATATACTGATGACCTTGGCCTAACAACACAAGCAAAAGACTTTGAAACAATTGAAAACCAACTTACTAACGCCTTGAAAGATCTCTCCAGCTACTACAAAGATAACCACCTGAAGCCTAACCCTGCCAAGACACAAGCATGTGCTTTCTTCCTATGTACCCATGAAGCCAAGAGGAATTGTAAGTTATCTGGGAAGGCCAAGAGCTCGAACACTGCTCCATCCTAAATATCTTGGTTTCACCTTAGATTGAACACGAACATTTAGGAAACACTGCATGAACAAGCACAAAGTAGCTGCACGCAATAACATCCTGTAAAAACTTAATGGTATCGCATGGGGTGCAGACCCAAAATTAATAAGAACATCAGCCTTGGGCTTGTCTTACTCAACTGTTGAGTATTCCTGCCCTGTTTGGCACATGTCTACCCACACAAAGCAGATGAATATAGCACTGAACAAAACATGTACAGTAATCCCGTACTTATCGCGAGTGTTCCGTTCCGGGACCACCTGTGATAAGTGAAAATCAACAAAGTAGGGACACGCCGCCCACTCAAGTGGGCAGAGTGTCCCTACTTCGTGGCGGCTTCCTCCTTGCCACCTCCACTGCTCCCTGCCTCAGAGGGTCTTCCTTGCCAGGCTGGGGGCTCAAGCCTAGAGAGGAAGGAGCGCGGAGGGGCAAGGGGGAAGCCGCCACCACCAAGGTCCTCTTCGACAGCAGCCTCCTTCACCACCTCTGCTGCTCCCTGCCAGGCTGGGCACCCAAGAATCACGAGGAAAGAGCGTGGAGCAGCACAGGAATGAGGGGGAAGCTGCTGCCATCGTTGAGGCCCTCTTCGGCAGCGGCCTCCTCCTCACCACCTCAGCTGCTCTCTGTGTCAAAGGGTCCCTTCCTCACCAGGCTGCGTGCCCAAGGGTCTTCCTCCAGGATCAAACCAAGAATGGGCAACTTGGAAGTCCCTGAACAGACTCAGAAGTGGAGTGGGCATATCAAAATACAACCTGGCAAATGGCACTACCTAGAACAGTAGTTCTCAACCTGTGGGTCCCCAGAGGTTTTGACCTTCAACTCCCAGAAATCCTAAGAGCTGGTAAACTGGCTGGGATTTCTGGGAGCTATAGACCAAAACACCTGGGGACCCACAGCCTGAGAACCACTGACATAGAAGAACCCTCCATCTTGTACGACTGCGGAGCAGAACAAACAACTCCACATCTGTATGCGTGCCCACAATGCCCTGCCGCATGCACAGAAGAATTAAAGCTACAGACAATGTGGTGGCTGTTGCCCATCTGGGATGTTAGGACTTGCAGTCCACTCAAATCCTGAGAGCAATGTGAACCCCCACCAATGATGAATCTGGACCAACCTTGGTATACACACATACCCCTCATGAACAACTTGAAATACTGGGGGGAGGGGGGCAGGCTGAACCAGTATGATGAGAACTGTAATCCACCAACATCCAGGGAGCACTGTGAACCCCACTGACACTGGATCTTTACCAAACTTGGCACACATACTAAACATGACCAATTTAAAGTACTGGAGAGGTTGTTGGGGTGGCCCCAAGATGATGGGTGTTGCAGTTCATCCACACCCAGAGGACAAAGAACTACAAATATCAACTTCTTCCACTGAAATAAATGGGAAAGCACCAATGGGTGCATTGCTGATCCTGCATCTATCAGATGATATGACAGAATGAAATGGGAGTAGTACTGGTGCACCAAACTGCCCTTCATCCACATGGCTAAATCCATTAACTGGATCACAAATACATCAAACAAATATGAGTAAAATAGCTCTGTCAACACTCGGTTTGCTCCAATTAACACTAAAAAGTTAATTGTTCAAAGTTTTCATGTTCACTAGAGTATTTAAACTGCATTAAGTAAAATTGTAAAATTAAGTTAAGGAGGACAGCAAAGACATTAAAGGACCTCACCAGGTTCTTTCAGGATTTGAGGATCTCCCACTAAATCTTCACCATGGTTTTCTGCACTGGCCAGTATTTCTGAAGTAATATTGTTAGTCTGAGCCTCCGCCTCCATTGTTTTCATCAGCTCTTCCTGGAAATTGATTAAAATTAGATTAGTTCTTATAAATTTAATATTCTTAACTGCCTTCTCTGTATGATACTTTCAAAACAAACCAAAAAAAGGATTTTCAAGAAATGTACCTCAGAATAGACTGCAAGTTTAAGGGATACATCTTCAACTTTCACAAAGTCATCCTCATCAGATTTCTGACTGTTATTTCCAGAACCAGTTTCCTGTTGTCAGAACATGGTTGTTATTAACTTATACAGTCAGCCTTCCATCCACAGATTCAAGCATTTGTGGCTTGAAAATATTAACAGAAAAGAAAACAAGAATGATCCAAAAAGCTATACCATTATATAAAGGGTACTATTTAACTACGTCATTCTTTATAATGGGACTTGAGCATCTATGGTTTTTACTATCCGTGTGGAGTCTAAAACCAAACCTCAGTGTATACCAAGATCCCTCTGTATAACCAATGTTGAGCTATTGCCATGCGATTTGATTTGGATGGAGAGCAGCGATATACCTTTAGACCAGTGGTTCTCAACCTGTGGGTCCCTAGATGTTTTGGCCTTCAACTCCCAGAAATCCTAACAACTGGTAAACTAGCTGGGATTTCTGGAAGTTGTAGGCAAAAATACCTGGGGAGCCCAGGTTGAGTAGCACTGCTTTATACCATTAAAATCTATGAGATCAATTAATTGATGCAATTTAGATAATGGAGCAGATTATTCATTTTAAAGCTGTAACATCCCAAGTGGAAAATCTGTTCTCTTGGAGGAAAATGTATTGTTAATGGGGAGTACAGCTGGTGTATCCAATTTGAACAGAAATGGGGGGAAAGGATTTAGTCCTGGTATGGGCAAACCCAGGCCCAGGGGCCGGATGCGGTCCCCTGGGCTCTTTTCTCAGGACCTTCTCTCTCACACCATCCTATCCTTCCTTCCTTCTCTATTTCCTTCCTCCTACCATCTCTTCCCTTTCTCCCTTCCTCCTTTTCACCTTTCCTTCCTTCCCTCTTTCCTCCCTCCTTCCCCTCTTTCTCCTCCCTCCCATCCTTCCCCTTTGTCTTTCCTTCCTCCTTTCCTCCCTCCCTTACTTCCTTCCCTTTCACCCTTCCTTCCCTCTTTCCTCCCTCCTCCTTCCCTCTTTCTCATTCCCTCCTTCCCTCTCTCCCTTACTTCCCTCTTTCTCCACCCCCTTCCTTCACTTTCACCCTTCCCTCTCACCTTCCCTCTCTCCTTCCTACCTTCCTTCCTTCCGTTTTTCTCTCCCATCCACCATCTCATCCTGACCAAAGCTAACCCTTTTAGAATCCAAATATTTCCAGTCTTTCCTTCACTTTCAGCCTTCAAAAGAGAGGCGGGAGGGGTGGAAAGGGCAGAGAGGGTGCTTGGGGAGAACTCCTCTCCCTCCCAGCCTGCCCACCCTGCTCCGGCCCACCATGTGGCCCCCAAGTTAAAAAGTTTGCCCATGCCTGATTTAGTCCCTCCATTACATATTGATGAACAAAACTTAGGAATTTAAATCACTTTTCACCCCCAATTTAATATTTAAAGGAAGATGCACAGCTGTGCCTCATCTGTACGAATACATACATATTCGTTCACCAACACAGGAGACTCTGTATCTGGACTGTCAACCACAGAGCTTTCAGGCGTTCCCAATGAAGATTTGGTGGGTTCTTCATGTACAGTAACTAATGCATGGCTTTCGTTTTCTGCTAACGGCAAGTCTTGTTCTTCTGTTACTATAGTGCTTGGATTGAGATCCTCAGCAGCACCAACAGGGATGGGCTTTGTATCTTCTATAATGTTAAGATACTGAGGCACAACAGCAGGTGAATCCAGGTCACCTAAAAAAAAGACCACAGCAGTTTGCTACAGAGCCTGGAAAAGTACTTGAGGCATTTCGTATTACTTGGAAGAAGTATAGAAAGGATAGAGTAATATGAACACCATAGTTCAGAAGTGCTAAAGACACTTCAAAAGGCCTAATGAAAAGGAGACTAAGAGACTCAATCCTTAGATGGCAACACAGGGATCCTGTAAAAATGGGTATCAAGGAAACTGTAATTTTGAAAGTCTTTACATAGAGCATATGAGTCTGTAAAATGGTCAAAATGGACAAACTAACGTGCTTAAATAACTAATAACCACACAAAAAATTTCAAGAGTGAGATTTCAAGACTATATATACACTTCGTAATACTTATTAACCCCTCACTTAAGAATCTTTGAATAAGAGAAGCTGGTACCCCCTAAATAGATTGGGATCATTGGGGTAGAATAATGATACATAGTAATTTTTGTCTGCACAATACTAATTTACTAACTAACAGATGAAACTAAACATTTAAATTAAATTAAAATTAAAATTTAATAGAAGAATTAAAAGAAATAATGTAAATAAGAACAATGACGCTGAGCTTTTAATGAAGAAATGCTGGAGAAGACGACAAGAAGAACACGGAATAATACAAAAAATATAAGGAGAGACAACTATTATTCCTTTTTTTCTTATATATATGGAATCTCCCTTGGCAACATACTAGGTATTTGTAAAGAGTTAACCTATTAACAATAACTCCATTAACCTCACCCTCCCTTTTAAGTCAACGACTTAAACCAAGAAATAGTTTTCTAAGATCTACAGAGACACTCGCTGGAATACTCCAGCAAGCAAGAGTCCAAAAGTGGCAGGCTCAAACCCAGAACCTCAATCAATGGCTGATACCAAATGAGAGACTCCCCCCTGGGCACACAGAAGACTGGGAGACTTGGAAGGCGCTGAACAGACTGCGCTCTGGCACCATGAGATGCAGAGCCAATCTTCAGAAATGGGGCTACAAAGTGGAATCCACGACATGTGAGTGTGGAGAAGAGCAAACTACAGACCACCTGTTGCAATGCAACCTGAGCCCTGCCACATGCACAATGGAGGACCTACTTGCGGCAACACCAGAGGCACTCCAAGTGGCCAGATACTGGTCAAAGGACATTTAATCAACTACCAAGCTTGCAAATTCTGTGTTTTGTCTGTTTGTTTGTTTGGTTGGTTGGTTGGTTGGTTGCTGATGACACGATAAATAAATAAATAAATCCTCCCTTTTTTCCTTTTTATCTGACTTTCATTTTCACCTCCTGTGTGAAAATATCTGGAAATATTCAATAAAAATACCTGCATTTTTTTAAAAAATACCTAATAGAGTTATCACCATTTAAATTTGGTCAGGTAAACATTACATTTTACATTGCTATCCTAAATGTATTCATACAAAAAAACCCAAAGCCCACTGATTTCAACAGGGATTTCTTCCAGGTAAATAGGCATAAAGTTGCAGTATCCTGCACTAGAAGCTGGCAATAAAGGCAACAAAGCTGTACATAAATAATGTATTTTACACAGCATGTACCTAGACCGGACAGATGAGCATTTTGTGGCAAGCTAGATCTTACTGTCAAGATAATCCAAACCCAACTATTTGACAGTTGTACAAAATTAACTCTTTTTAATCTATCCTCCACAATTAGTTGTTTTATATTTTAAAGGAGCTGATCAAAGTTTTAATCATGTGAACCATGATTAAATGCAAGAAGCAGCCAGGCTTTGAAGCTGCAAGGGTATTAAATGCTAATCAACCTGGCCAATTGCAACATTCACACTTGCCTCAAATGGACAAGAGTTCTTTCTCCCACCCTGGACATTCCACACATATATAAACTCACTAGTTTCACAACCTCTGAGGGTGCCTGCCATAGATGTGAGCAAAATGCCAGGAGAGAATGCTTCTAGAACATAGCCATACAGTCTGAAAAACTCACAGCAACCCTTGTGAACAATGCTTACTTTTTCAAGGTTAAATTAAATGGTAATTCCTTTGTTAAAAAAAACCTGCGTCGTTTTGAAAGAATAGAGATCTGAACAAGGTAATTCATGCTGTTAATCAGCATTCATAACATCAATTTTTATGCCATGTCAAATAACAGAAAACTTGGTAATGAGAACTGGCTAAATAAAGAGTTTTAAAATAGCATATTTCATTATTTAGTGTACAATACATCCTAATTATAATAGCCTTTAAAAACGTATCTGATAAAAATAATGCAGCTGTGCATATGTATGAATATTAAAAATAAATGATCTAATGAAAATTAGTCCTTTTGAAAAACGAATCACTCTACCTTTAGCCACAGATTCTTGTTCAGAAAGCACTGTGATACAATCATCTGAATTTTCAGATTTGGGTTGTGAAATCTGTAAAAAATTTAAATACAGATCAAAACAGTCTACAAATTTCAACCACATTTTAATTATTCATAAAATAGTGCTCTGATGCTTCCTGCATGCAGACTAGGCATGTGTCCAGTCAATATGAATGCAATTTACAATTCAAAAAGCAGAAAGAAAAAAACCATCAACGTAAATACTCCACAATGTCTAGTTTAGAAACAAAATGTATGCAGTTACATTTTTTGTTCCCAATGTATGACCTTAATATGGATGAATAAAGTCATTTCCTTCCTGAGTCTTCCTAGTTTTAAAAGCTAGTCTTAAAGCTTGTTTATCAAGTTAAAATTTTGGGAGCATTTTCATCACCTTTGTACATATTAAGAAATGTTACACAAACCAATTCATTTAAGAAGGTTAACAAATTTTCCCAAGGAACAGCGAACCATAAAGATCCAATATTATCCAAAGTTGTCTTATACCTGCTCCTGTTCATTTTCAGCAGTAGTTTCATTGTTTGCTTGGAGGGAGGTTTGGACATCTACAGGCCCTTCTTCAAATTCATCTATTTCTTCATCTTCATTTTCATCTTCTCCACTTCCATAATTAGTTAGAGCCTGGGTTTCTGCTTTAGACAAGCCTGAAATAAAATTTAAGAGTAAACTAAATATTGTGTATGTATTATCAAGCATTATAAAATCGGCTATCACCCTAGGCAGCAAACTTCATATTGAAATGGATTAATAAATGCATTACAAGTCAAGTCTCCCTTACTCAAAATGTTTTGGATTTTGAAAGAAAAATTGGATTTTGGAATACTTTTATTTGCATATATGTACATAATGGACTATTTTGGAGAAGAGACTCAACTCTAAACAAAAAAACCAACAACATATGTATTTCATATACATCTTATATCTGGAGCCCCTGGTGGCGCAGTGGGTAAAACCCCTGTGCCGGCAGGACTGAAGACCAACAGGTTGCAGGTTCAAATCCGGGGAGAGGCAGATGAGCTCCCTCTATTAGCTCCAGCTCCTCATGCGGGGACATGAGAGAAGCCTCCCACAAGGATGATAAAGATATCAAATCATCTGGGCGTCCCCTGGGCAACGTCCTTGCAGACAGCCAATTCTCTCACACTAGAAGCGATTTGCAGTTTCTCAAGTTGCTCCTGATACGACATATGTGTATTAAGGCTATGTGTATTAAGATGTGTGTGTGTGTGTGTGTGCGCGCACACACACACACACACACATACACACACACCTTAATACACATAGCCTGAAGGCACGATATTTTTTATTAATTTTTTACATAAAACCAAATAAAAGCAAAGGTCATCTAGACTATTTTTTAAAAAATGTAAATCTCCATAACCATTTGGGAAATAGGATTCATAACCTTTTTGAAAAACCACTGGTTACAGGAAAGGCATGACCTTGATAGAAGTCACAACCTTTTGAAAAATCATGTTCACCAGCATTCATGCAAAGCAACTGGATCACTCAGCTGTTAAACTTACGCACCTAGTTATGTCTTTGAACTGTTAGAGACAAAGACATCCCAATGCACAAAAAACATATATTCATCAGAGTTTCAGAATTGTTCCTTTAGTTGCCCCAAAAAATATAGTCTCCCTTAAAATATATTTGCATTTAAATTATGCTCTCAAGAGACAAAATAGTCTTCTTTAAAAGTAACAGAGTTGATGTACTCACAAAACTTCATGTATACAGCATACAGGTGCTTTGCTTATGAATCTAATTACAATAGGATGTTAGGTAGTGTCTCTGTGTAGGTAACACAGGGTATCTTACTTAGAGACCATTGTCCAATGGAGCCTAATAGCTTCTATATAGCATACTACTCCTATATTGAAGACTAAACTGTACTCACAGCTGCTGATGCAAACACACAGCGAAGTCTAAAAGCATAAAGATACCTTCTACTCTCTCTAAGAATCTAATAGCTTCTACCCCTAAAGCACAATTAAAATGGAGTCTTAGTCCTGAACATGTCCAGACCTGATCACATGTTCTGCAGCACCTCCCACAACAAAGAGGTTATGTAAAATTGCAAACCAAACATACAATACAGTAAGCAATTATATACATAACAAACAAATAGTGGAGGCTTGAGAAGGTTGCTATTTCCAACAATTTTGGTGTATTTTAGATAAGGCATGATCAATCTGTAATATGTATTACATATTCATTTATATATAAATTATTCATTTTTAATCTCATTCTTATGAGAGAAGTATAGAAGTTATGACAGAATCTGTGAAAACGACTTACTTATAGACACTGGGCAACTCTCATTCTCTTCTTCTTCCTGATCTGAGGCATCTGATCTAATAGTTCTAGGCACTTCTCTATTATTGAATATTGCTGATTCATGAACTTGCTTAATAGTTTCAGATTCATCTTTGTCCTAGACATAAACAAAAAGTCACGTTCCATACACGCTTATAACTTTTAGATTCACCCATTTTGTCTAATATGAATGTCAATTCTACAGCGCCCTTGTAAAGTAACTATTCTGTTAAAACTGCATTGGTCTGCAGACATTACAGTTTCACTAGGGCTGAAGAGAAAAAAAAACTAACAAACAAATGAGTTAAAAATGGAAACACCAAAGCTGTTTCAAGGCACTGCAATACATTTTTTACATATCCCGTTGAATTATTTTTCAATAATTCTTGCATTGAAGAAAAATGTTTATTAGGTTTGAAATGATCACTTCTCAGGAAATTTCTATCCAGTGTGTTAAAAATTGCATTAAATTTGCAAATTTTTATTAAAAGATAAGGTCTTTTTATCTGAAGTCTTGAAAAAAAACTTACCTTATCTTCATCAATATCTTCAGTAGATGAACAAGCTCCTCCTTCAAGTGCTCTTTTTGCCTTAAAAAAAGATGTGTTTTAAGTTCTAAACCAAGCAAACAATCACGTGCTAGAAAAATCAAATATTGGACTCACTCTAGTAAAGAAATCAACTTGATTTCTTATCATAAGACAGCTATTTACATTTTAATTGTATTGTTTTAAATAAGTTGTCAGCATTTTTGAATCCCATTATTGAGAGAAAGGTGGAGTATGTATGTATAAATGAATGAATGCATGAGGTGAATATATTCCTGGTCACTTATTGTGCTGTAATGAATTTAAAGTTATGTCAAATATTCTTCAACTTTCTTAATGAGAATCAAATATGTTAAAATGGGAATAATTTGCAGGATTTAGGAGTGGGGTTGAGTTTTTTTTTATATTGTAAGCACATTCATTCTGCTTATTTCCATATTGCTCCTATTTACAAGCACCAAATATGTTCTTTGGTGTGTTATATTCAACTCCGGTAGGAACAAACCACAGCCATTATTAAAGATAAAGCCCATGAACAAAGATATATGACTTGTCCCAAAACAGAAGAACAACACGTTTCTGAAAAGCACTTATAGACATGTTAGAAAATTTCCCTCAGTGAGGAGACTGTAAGAAAGCATGTAGCTCTGCTTTTAAAGTATTCAACATGATTAGCGTTCTCCAACGTAGGCCCCTCCCAGTATTTTAGATTACAATTCCCATCAGCCACATCATAGGAAGTAGTTTGGAGTTATGGAAGTTGAAGTCCAAAATCTGAACAAAAGATTGAGCTAGATATTGACTCCAAAGAAGAATGCAGGCCAAATGTCAAATATCAAAGAAAAAATAGTATCCATTGTTCAATTTAAATTTACAAAAGTCAAAGTGGCAAGTTACAAATTCTACTGTGAAAATAGCAAAGTTGGTCAAATGTAAAATGATCTTAGAAAAAAAATTTGAAAAGACACAAAATGCAATTTTGTCCATTCTTTAGGAAGTTTAAATATATAAAAAGTGTATTTATGAAAATTTAACATGTGATATTAACCTCTTTGGCATAAGACTGCATTGCTCCATCTTCTTCCACTTTTCTTTTACATCTTTGCTTTACAGTCAAACTATTGTTGTCCAAGTCTTGCATAAGTTTGAAGAAGGCTAGTTCATTGAATAATACTTCAGAAATTTCCACTAGAAGGTCTTCCCCACAATCCTTCAGTTTCTTGCCAGCAAATTTTGCCAGTGAATCCTGTGGAAAAAGAAATTTGGGTTTATTAGTTGAAAGGCATCACTTATCTCTCCAATAACTAAGATTGACATCCATACGTCAAAGTAAAGGTTTCCCCTTGATATTAAGTCTTGTCGTGTCTGACTCTGGGGGGGGGGGGGGGGGGGGGGTGATGCTTATCTCAATTTCTAAGCTGAAGAGCCGGCATTGTCCATAGACGCCACCAAGGTCATGTGGCTGGCATGAGTGCATGGAGTGCTGTTACCTTCCCACCAGAGCAGTACCTATTCATCTACTCCCATTTGCATGTTTTCAAACTGCTAGGTTGGCAGAAGCTGGGGTTAAGAAGGGAAGCTCACCCGCTCCCTGGATTTGAACCGCCGACCTTTTGGTCAGCAAGTTCAGCAGCTCAGCAGTTTAACCCACTTCACCCCCAGGGACTCCTAGGATTACATCCATGGGATTACATAATTTCACTCACAATCACCGTTACTACTTGATTGACTTGCTTAAGGTCATGTAGTGAGTATTGTGGTCAAATATGGCATTGAACTTGAATCTTCTTCAATTCAAGCCCAAGATGGTTCACTAATATCACATGTACTCTTATACACACAACAGTGATTAACATACAAAGATAGATTACAATGAAATGCCAACTTTTGAGAAGTCTAAAGCAGAAATACAAGTGACATTCTAAGCATGAAACTCTCCTGTACAAATCTTATTGACATCTCCAACTCTAAAATAAAACTAATAACAGTCAGATAGTTTTTTAAAGACTATGAGAAGCTGATACTAAATGTGAATGCTCATTCCAGGGAGGGTGAACCAGTAGGAATTGAAGCAGGAGGAGATGAGGACAGACAAAGGTTAATTATAGGTAAAATAATAATAATAATAATAATAATAATAATAATAATAATAAGCATCATCATCATCCTTTATTTCTAGACCACCCTCTCTCCCCAATGGGGCTCAGGGCAGTTTACACATACAAAAAGGCAAGCACTCAATGCCTCAGATGAGTAGCTTTTTTAGCCTGGGAGGTGACAGGAATGAACCTAGTACTGGATGGTTCCTTCTCTGTCCAAATCAGGTGGGTTTCCATGGCCAAGGGGTGATTCAAACCCTCGTCTCCTACAACCCTAGTCCAACACTACACCACCCTGGTTTTAGGCCAAATAATGTACATACTGACCTGCAATATGCTACCAAGTTGCTTATGAAATATCTTCACAAATTCTTTGCTTTCATCATTTTGCTGAGTAAGGGTTAAGACCATGCGTCTTACTGAAGTCAAAAGCTGAGTAGAACATACCTCGTCCATGTGCTCCTAGGGTAATATTAAAAGTATATTACTCTGCAAAAGAACTCTTTTTCAGAAAAAAACTTAACATTTTGTTTTATTTATTAGTCCATATACAACTGTTGCTTCCAACTAAAGTATACCCAGTGAATCAATGGAATCTACACTACTCTTTACTTAGCATTCATCTATTTATTCAAGAGACTACTTTAAAGCCAGCAATTGCATTTAGGCTACTGAATAAAAGATAAATTATTTCAGATTATATAGTGATACTTTGAGATAAGAGTTTTATTTGTTCTGTAACTGAGTTAACTCAAAACACTCTTATGTCAAAGCAAATTTCCCACTGAAATGCTATTAATCCATTCCAGCCCCCTAAACCTTCACTTCTAATTTTTTTGCTTCCTGTTTTTAAATAAAATGTACTTTATAAATAATGTTGTTGTTGTTCATTCGTTCAGTCGTCTCCGACTCTTCGTGACCTCATGGACCAGCCCACGCCAGAGCTCCCTGTCGGCCGTTACCACCCCCAGCTCCCTCAAGGTCTAATGTATAAATACACATTCCCGTGGAAAAGGAAAGAAAGATCAACTTTAAATTGATAGAAGCACAAAGTTGTGACAAGCACAAAGCGCATGAAGCCAAATATACCAAGAATAAAAACTAGACAAAATCAACTAACCCAAAGTTTTTCAAAGCAGAGAAGAGCAAAACAGATATCAATCTCCTAAAGCAGACAAGAACAAGAGGCACAGAAACTTCTCCCTTGAATCCCCAAAGCCCTGTATTCTCATGCAAGCACTTGCTCTTAACTCAAAACACTCTTCGTATGTCAAAGCAAACCCTGGACTGAACAATGGTATTTGGTTTTTGGCAAGAAAGCTAAGGCTTCCAACTGGCACCTTGACTGGCACAAAGTGGAGCAAGTGAGGACATTTAAATACTTAAGTCTTTATTTTGCGGCATCAGGGGCATGGACCCAACATCTAAAATTAAGTATTGCAAAAGCTGATAATGCTGCACAGGCAATTCATAAATTATGCAACCACAATTACCCGGGCTCTCTGCGCCCCTTTCTGAAGGTTCTTAAGGTAAAGGTGTTCCCCATCGCCTTGTATGGAGCTGAAATATGGGGTGAGCAAGACCCTTTACTGGTAGAGAGATTCCAACTGCGCCACCTGAAAATTGGCTTAGGTGTGGAGAGATCATCCCTGTCAGCTGCAGTGAGAACAGAGACGGGAGTACCCCCAATCTCCACCACAATTCTGAAGAGGCAGATCAATTGGTGGTACAAAATAAGACAAATGCAACCACACAGACTCCCAGCCCTATGCCTTCTAGAACAAGAGAACCACAAAGAGTGGTCATCCTGGCTTAGCAGATTTGGCCACACAGTTAGTAGGTTAGGTTTTGCCCCCATGCAACCACACAGACTCCCAGCCCTATGCCTTCTAGAACAAGAAAACCACAAAGAGTGGTCATCCTGGCTTAGCAGATTTGGCCACACAGTTAGTAGGTTAGGTTTTGCCCCCCACGTGTTAACAAATTTTGGGGCAAATGTATGCTCAATTGTATACCAAAGAGCTCTCGACATTGCTGCACAAAATGATCTAATGAACATAGCGCAAGCTAGAGCCACTCCATACCTGGCCAAATTTAAATGTAATGTGGGCATGGAACCCTACCTCTCTTTTATACTTCCACTCTATATTAGAAATTTTTTTACCCGGGCTAGATTTGAGCAGCTCGACATTAAGTCCAAGTTGGGACAACATCAGAATATCCCCTACATGAGGAGAACCTGTGGATGCCGTGAGGTAGATGCAGAAGTGGAGGACTCAGAACATTTTTTCTTAAAATGTCCCTACTACAACAGGATCCGGTCTTACTACCTAGAGCCTCTGCTGGAGAACCATATTCATTTAGAGAATAAGGAGAAATTGCACATCCTCCTCCAGGGTTCAGATAAAAACTCTATTTTAAAATTGACCCTTTTTACCCAAAAAGCGCTGGCCATCCGTGAGAAGATGGAAGCAGAGAGAGGCGACCTTGCTGCCATCAACAAAACTCAAACTTAAAAACTTAATATGGACACGCCACTAGTTTTACCTACCCATGCCCCCCACCCTAACCCTATTTTAAGGAATTAATCAATTTTTAATCTTTTAACCTCTTTATCTTGTAGTTGCTCAATTATTTAGGAGTGGGTCGACAGGCCAGTAGGCCATGATGCTTTGTATTCATATATGGTTTTACTGTATGTGTATGATTTGTATGTTTTGCAGGTTTTGATATGGTCAAAATTGACTAATCAATAAAGAATTGTTGTTGTTGTTGTTGACTGAACAATGGCTCTTAATTCAAAATGCTCTTAAGTTAGGAAGCTCTTAAGTAGAGGTTCCACTGTTTTATATACATATACTGAATCTGTCAACTTCGCCAAGGGTGCTTCAGGTACCAGTGCTATGTTCTCACACAGAAAAGTAGTGCTTTGCTTAACCACAGTTTCTGCATCTTTACGTCTCTCCTACCCAAACACAAATCTGGTTGTAGATAACGTTTGTTTTCATTATGTACTAATACTATTGTTCTGATCTTGTACATATCATGGGAATAAACATTTATCGCTTCAGGAGAGGACAATGTTTCTAAGCCTGCAACTTTCTGGAAAAAACATATTGTTTGATTTCTGTTTACTTCAACGAGAAATTTGATTACCTTCAGGAAGGGGATGACCTCTTTCATAATAGCTTTAATTTGCCGATCGAGCTGCTGAGTATCTATTCGAGGGCAAGGAACAGCCGACACTTCAGTAGGCTGTGCTGCACTCTGACTCTCAACTACATCTGAACCTTCACAAAAAGAAAGTACAATCAAGTAAGTGTTCACAAATCTGCTGTTTAAAATAGGTAACTTTGTCTAGTTAACTGATTTATACCGCTTATACAGTTTACTATAGCCATAATACTTATTCAAAGAAATAAAGTGACATTCATCAAGTGTAAAAATATCAACTGCTTGGAAATAACATCAAATACGTATGCCCAGAGGACAATAAGAAGGCACAATAGGTCCAGACAATATCTGTCTTGAAAACTATCTGACAAATATTTATGCCAGGTCTACACAACATAGGGCCCTCAGCCAGATGTGACCCGAAAAGGGCTTCCGTACAGCCCATGGAAGCAGCTGGGCTTCCTGATTGGCAGGGTGGCCCACCAAAAGGATTTTTGGTCAAGTTGTGCAGTCCTGATGCATACGTTTCTTTGAAACAATATGAGAGAAAATAGTGACAAATGAACAAACATATACCTTCCAGCTTAGAAGAAGAAACACCATCTTCTGAGTCAAGGTTATTTTCAGCAGCCATTTTCATCCGTTCATACTCTCTCATCCGAGCCAGTGCCTGATCTAGGTGAATTACAGTGTTGCCTACAACAAAAACTTTTATTATGTTTTGAAAAATCAAACAGATTAAACTTACTCTATTAAAGAAAAAAATGTTTATTGTTGGAATAAAAAGTACACCAGTAAAATCTCTGCTGAGTAAGATCTCTATGACAGCCCTTTCCCAATCCATGCTTACCAAGATCATCAGTAGCAAAGGGTTCAAAATTTGAAGATATAGACATAGTGCTGCCATTGTCTGCATCATTTTTCTCACACTCTCTACAGGCTCCTTGGTCAAAATTCTTCTCAAATGTCTCCTAAAAATCATGCAGTAAAATAAGTTGGCAAATATGCTTCCACTAACAATGAGCCACTCTCAACACTATTTTCATAAGCTATAAAAGACTATAAAAGTTTCAGATCAAATTCAAGTATACATGCATCAAACCAATTCTTCAGTCGCATGCATCAAATAAAAAAGTTTCAAAGCTCTGCTGGAAAAGAATCTTAAACTGGATTACTATGAATTTTTCTCCACGAAGAATCTAACAAAAAGTTTCAAAGTTTTACTAGCAAAGAACGTTAAATTGTATTAATAAAAATATTCTCTAGGAAGCATCTAATCTGCATAATTAAGTAAATCTAATGATCACAAGGGACAGGAAATATTCAGGAATGAGATATTATGTTAAAATTATTCCTAACATTTTCTGGGTTAAATGTATGCAATTTAATCCAGAAATCACCCTGAATAGATCAACTCACTAGTCTAACATTAACATTCTTAATAATGCTGCTGTCAAAGCAGTTTGATTTATGGTGACTATGAATGACAGAATATTTATTTCTTTATTTATTTATAAAGCATCCTTGTCATTCAATACAAAATCAAAAACACCTGGTTGTTTAAAAGCAACCACCCATTATTAGATAAAGGGAGACAGGAGATTTCGGCCCCTTCTACACTGCCATATAATTCAGTTCAAAGCAGAGAATCTATGACTCCCTTAAGCCAGGGTGAGGGGTGATCACAATTGTTGGGATGGGGGTACAAATTACATTTAAGTGCCTGCAGAACACCATGCATGTCTACTCACAGGCAATTCTCTGTTCAATGTAACACAAAAAAATAATTGCAGGACAACGCAATAAATATTTTTTTAAAAAGCTTACATCATCTGTAGTTGCAAGACTTTCACTAGGAGTAAGCTCTGAATTTGATCCTACCCAAGCTGCTGAGCTCAGTGGTTTTGAACATTCTCCTTTTTCATTATCATCTGAAGCATGTTTGGTCACTATATCCTATATAAGGCAAAACCTCTGTTAAAATTATATTGTGGAAACTTTCATTTAGCAGTAGTAGTAATTGTAGTAATAATAATAACAGCAACAATAGAATCATGACATTTCAAATACCTGTAAAGCATACAATGCTCTTTGCCTCAAATAATCTGTATTTAGCATCTGTAGCTCATGAAAAAGCTCAATCAGAAAATGAGGCCGAGATTCATTTTGTGATATCAAAGTAGCAACCTCAGAATAAATGGTGTCTCGCAAAGCTTCAAACATAGAAAGGTCACTGCCTGTTTCTGTGAATAAAAAAAAAAACAAGTATTAAGTACCATCTTGTGTTCCACCGACACTTCTCTTCTATTATAATGTACACTACTGCCTCGATATGGGAAACACATATCCTAAAGGCAACACTATACAACGCAAAGTAGCTGTGTGCTTTTAAAGAGCTAATAGTACAACTATGAATTATTTTCTGAAACCCATATTTTATAGATTACATAAATATTTATACCAGACATTTTCACAAAAGGTCCTACTTAAGAATACTACAAATAAGTTAGAACAGAACAGGTAAGAATTTGTTTTACCCTTAGTAATAAAGAACACAGCTAACCCAACATAGCAGCCCTGAATATTTGCAGCTATGTAAGAATCACATATCACAATACACTGGAATGTTATTTGGTGACAATATGCTCACAGCCCAGCACTTTCAACCCCCAGCCCATTGGATCCATCTTATTCTCAAATATTAGTTTGCTAAAGTAACATACTCTACTATCAGGTGGTATGCTTATATCTTTTACTCTTTAGGTAGCCTTGAGTCCCACTTTGATGGAAAAGCAAGATATAAATAAAGCAATTGACTGTGTTCAAGTAAAAGTATTTTCAGAATACTAGTCATACTATGAAGTTATAACATAAAAGCTCTATGTACCTGTTGAGGAGGGAACTGTTCCACCCTTTTCCTCATATGGAGAGGAAGACTATGAACAAGAGAACTCCTTTTTCATGTTGTTTTTTATATGTATGTGGAAAGTACACGTCTGCTATTTAAACTCATCACTTCACATGAGAAAGGCGGAAATAACATGAAAGGGACATGACTAGTCTGATTGCCCTTCATGTGTTGAGAGAACATGGGACTAGGGTCGGTCATCCATCATTAAAAAATCATAACTGAGATTCAAAGCATCTTAGTCACCACAGCTATAGTTGTGAAAGGCAGAAATGTGAATATTTTGCAAGTGCAGATGATGAGACAAAACACACAGACATAAGCAGGGTTTTCCTATTTCTCTGTGTTGCCCACCACATTTTTTTCCTGAAATTTGAGGAAGGGGGGAGAACTCATAAATGTTACAATGAATAAGAAGGCAGGCTATTTATTTACCTCTACCCATTCTTTACTTCCCCAAAATAATTTCTGAAAACCTAGGTACAAGGAAAGTCTAAGAATCACAACAGAACACTTTCTGTACTCTGGGACGGGCCAGATACGACTCATGGTTCACATACACGACACCCCCTGGGGCCTCTGATTCTCTACCCCCAATTCAAACGTAATAGCTGACCAAAGTGTCTAAACCAGTGGTTCCCAACCTTTTTTTGACCAGGGACCACTTGACCAGGGACCACTCTCCAACATTAATACCAAACGGGTTACAAATCAATTTTTAGTCAATTTTAGATTTGGCTTGGTTATTTGGGGTGATAATTCAGAAAATTGTATTGGATAGACAACATCAGCTCTAGTTTCTGATAAAGAACATATGCCATCCTGTAGTCACCATATGCTCACCCACAAAAAAACATATTTAATAATCTATAGCTGATATGGTCTATCCAATGCAATTTTCTGAATCAGCACCCCAAATAACCCCAGGTACAGGCCTAAAAATGAAGACCCCAAGGCGCCCCCACTTCCAGGTGCAACATGGAACGGCTCAGTTCAGGAGGAGGGAGGAGGAGAAGAAGCAGCAGTCAAGAGGTTTGTTGTCGCACCTTTCATGGATAGCCTCCCCCCCCCCCCAACATCCCCATTGCCATGGCACTATAAGAGTTTCACAAGACCAGTTGCTCTTGTTGCAATGGGAACCACTAGTCTAGACACCTGCAACACTCATGCACACACACACACACATTCCTGATACAACCATGTCATGCTACATGCATGCCTGGTATGCCAATGGCAACAAACAGCAGAATGCACAAAACAGTGCATGGTATTACATTTTGTTGGGTTTGAGACTAGAATCAAGCACCAGATTTATCAAAATCAAATCCACTCACATTCTAGATTTGGTTATTATTACAATGACAATAATAACAGAAAACAAACTGATAAAAGCCAGTTACATTGATTTGCAGAATCAATTTGTACAGTTTTTGCTATTTCAACAAGCAAAACAATGAAAGTTAGAAAAAGAGATCAGAGAATAAAGACAGATAAGCTTAGAAGCTAAGCAACTACTGCATTACCTGGTGGTTCTAGGCATGCATTTCTGTTAGACTGCTGCAGTATTCTCCTAGCATGTGCTGTAGGGAAGGTGTGGACGGGAAGGACAGACAGTGATAAACACAGAAATGTGCATCAGAAATAAAAGCAAGGCCAAATGAAATAATGGGAGAAATGTCACTTACTTACTTATTTATATCCTGCCTTTGTCCCAACATGGGGACTTGAGACAGCTTTATATTTAAGGGAAAAATTAATTAACATTTCAAATCAATCCCCAAAGAGCCCTTATATTTCAGGCTTTTGTTTGTTTGTTTTTTGGCAGGGGTGAAACAAAAAAATCACAAGAGAACAAAATGAATTTTTTTAAAAGATTCCTAAAAGGATTATTTGAGTATATGTCTCAATTGATATGCCAAAAACGGCATATCAATTCTGCTAAAGCCAGCAATTTGTGTATAGCTGAGAGTGCATTAGACCTATAACACTTCCAATTTTAAAAAATACTTCACAATTCAAATTTAAAGTAATCTCCCACAATTTCAAAGAACCACACAAAAAGGGGTGGGTGGGAGAACACACACAAATATATCGCCACCACCCATCACCGCTATACAAATGAATGTGTGTGGATGATGAAACTGACCCTTCCCTTCCTCTGGACTAGACACTCCTTTCTTCTTCTGCCAAACATATATGAAAAGACTAGATGCTTGCATTTGAGCTTAACTATAATTGATTACTTGAACTCTTGATAGCAGTTAAGATTAATTATGGTCAGTGAAAGCAAGCCAACTTCATAAACCAAGGTTAACCATAGTAAATATGAATTACTATTTCAGACAACGTAGTGAAATGCAATTAATCAAAATAGAAGCAACCTCCTCTGAAACCTGTGGTGGTAGGTGACATTTGTTTGCTCTCACAGTACTAAATTATAACTTAATGCTGTATCCAACTCAGCCACTGCTAACTTACTATATATGTTCACAAAATACAACCAAAATAGGAAGAAAACTAGTTGTTTAATTCAGGCAATCTGCAAACTACATGCAGGCTTTGCAGATCAGTGCAACCTGTGGGACTATCCTGATCTGTCTTAAACTTCCCCTGGTTTTTTTTAATGGCCAAAAAAATGCAAGACAAAAGCACACTCATCCGGGACAGATTTTGCTAAATAAGACTGTGGGAGACATCAAAAACAAAAAAAAATTAACTCTCAAAACTGACTCAAAGTGTCAATCACTTCTCCTTGCTCCCAAAAGGAAGCCTCCTATTTTCCTCAAAAATAACCAAAATGAATAACTTTTTAAAATAATGACTGAATAAAGCAGCATGTGCCAGTGCCTTAATTATGTAGTATTTCTCTTTCACCATTCAGTGAAGCCACATTCCCTTAAATATAAAGATAATTAAAAGCAAAAGAAAGTTATCAAGCTATAATTGGAATTTTACTCCATTGTATCACCATTAGTGAAATAAAGATTTAATCACAATTTATTCCCCATTTCCAAGCTCTAAAAAAAGAGTTTAGAGAATGAAGCTTTTGCTTAAATTGTCGCTCATTAAAAAGAAACAATTTTTGTCAGTTAAATAATGTATCTTCTAGCATACAAGACAACTGGGCATATAAGACGACTTCCAATTTTTCCAATTAAAATATAGAGTTTGGGATATACTCGCCGTATAAGACTACCCTCTTCCAACATCCTTTTCCTAAAGCTTTCTTTGCTCCGGGCTTGAGGGCTGTCTTCTGAAGGAGGTTCATGGCGAGGCATAGCCAGCAGCAGGCTGATGGCAGCAGCGGGTACAACTCAGCGGGCCACCATTGTCTTCATGGCAATGTGGCCTGCTGCTCCTCCTCCCTGAGCCCTCCCTCCACCCTCCTCCTCCTCCCTCTCTTCTCCTCCTCAGGCCACGCCGCTCAGAGATGCCAAGGGCGAGGAAGCCTGCTTCTGCTGCTGCTGCACCCCTCGGCTGCCCAGGCTCCTGCTGCCAGGCTTCAGCCTGCCCGAGGGGCTCCTCCACTCCATGCCTGCCTCGGCTGACAGTACGGCGGCTGAGGAGGAGGCGGCGACCCGAGGCTGGGAGCCTCTGGGCAACAGAGAAGAGGAGAAGTCACCTCCTCCACTCTCCCTCACTCCCTCTGCTTCCAATGAACTTGGAAAGGGTTGCTGTCTCTCCCTTGGTTTTACCCAACTGAAAGAGCTCTCACTTCTGCCCGCGGAGGACCTCCTTCCCTCTGTCTCCAAGGGAAAGGGGTGAAAGAGGAGGTGGCGGCAGCGATGTGAGGCTGGGAGCCACTGGGAGCCTCCTTCTCCACCCGCCCCATGAAGGGAGGGAGAGAAGGAGAGAGCAGGAGGGAGATCCAAGCCACACAGCTTGGATTTTATTCTTCTCTTTTAAAAACTGTCTTGTAAACCAGAAAATATGGTACTTGTATATCATAATTTTTGTACCTGGCATATAAGATGACCCCCGACTTTTCATAAGATTTTCCAGGGTTAAAAAGTCATCTTATACACTGGAAAATACGGTACTATTAAATTTTATTTAAAAGTATAACATAATATAATTTAAATAGTTAAAAAAATGAGTAACCCTGGATTCTATGAAGTATTATCTGCAACCATTTGGAAAGACCATAATTGAATGCAAAAGTACTTCTCAATTTATCTACATTTAGTGGTGATTTGGTAACAATAGTAAGTAACTCTTATATTAATAGTATACATCATTACCAATAAATTTTGATCCTATTTTATCTTAAGTAACAATTCATTTTAATGCAAACTTTTAACTTGTTGTACCTGAAGACATTTCTGATGATCTACTGTATTTAATTATTTTTTCCAGCTGTTCCCGATTCTTTTTACTGAACACTTTCGCTTGAGTAACTTCTTCTTTTCGAGTGGAGTGCCTACTCCTATTTCGCTTATAAGGCTCACACGTACTAGATGCACTGGCACTTTCAAATCCTTAAAATGAAAAGATGTGCTTTTAAAACTTGCACAAGTTATTGAAGATTTTGCACAGAGTCAAATATCATAATCCCAGATTAATAAACCGTATATATTAAAGATCTCCATTAGAAGATTCTGAGGAAATCAATATTCAAATCAGAGTGACCAAACCAGAAAAAGGGGATTAGATGCTAATCAATGTGGCCAATTACAACATTCACACTTGCCTCAAGCAAACAAGTGTTCTTTCTCCCACCCTGGATATTCCACAGATATATAAACCTCACTTGCCTAGTTTCCAACTGACCTCGTAATGTCTGAGGATGCCTGCTATCGATGTGGGCTAAACGTTGGGAGAGAATATTTCTGGAACATGGCATACAGCCCGAAAAACTCACAGCAACCCATGGATTAGACAATGTTATTTTATCTACATTACTATTAATGTATTTGAAATATATTTTCTCAATATAGACTGTCAAAACAATCTGATCCCATAAAATTCCAATAATAGTAATCAATTTTGCTCCCAAACATGTTCACTTAGAAATGGCCTATCAATTTTAATTTCATTTTATTTTTAATATACCCCTATGTAGTACAGAACTCAAGAATGTATAAAGATAACAAATTTATGCTAAGTATGCTCCAGTAGCAGTCCATTATTAGTTCCTTGTAAAACCATGTAGGGAAGTGACACTATCAGAGGTCAATTTTAAGTAAATATTTCTCTTCAACTCTATTATTTATTTTAAATACGTATTGCAAATCCCACAAAAATATGCCTTTGAATTGACTATAGAGGGCAAGTATATTTATCTGTATGAGAGGAAAATTCCATATACAAATTCCATATACAAGCAAAGAAAACAAACACTCTCAAATTATGTTTGCTTAAAATGAGCATACCATTAGTTCTAGGCCAGTTTTTAAACTGAGAAGTGCTCCTCTTGCTCTTGGACTTTGGTGTCTTGTCTTTTGAAGCCAGGCTGGCCTGTGCAGATGCTTTTCTAGGTTTAAATGTTTTTGTCACAGTGGTTGGATCCACTGGATCTGGCATGCTGCTATAGCTCTCTAAAGATTCTTCATCAAATTCCCTTCTCCTGACAGTGTCAGGCTGGCTTTTCTGACTACTACACGCTGTATTTTGTACTGGTACTGCGAATCCAGTCTTCAGGAACAACGGTTTCTCTTTCCCTCCTCCTTGATGTTCATTTAACCAAGCGGATCTACTCTCCAGCTCTTCTTCAGACTGCCTCTGGCCTCTTAACAGAAACAAAGAGGGTTATAATACTGTGATAATGCCTAACAGACTTCAAAATGTACTCACAAGCATTAATTCACTAAAAAGGTTAGTCACAAATTTGATTATGGCCACCTCTCAATATCTACCAATTCAGAGCTTGTTTATTTTAACTTCTGTTGTACTGTGGGTTGTATGCTGTATATGTATATGTTAAATGTGTTTGTCAAGTGTTTTGATACAGCCGATGGGCTAATCAATAAAGCGTACTACTATCTACCAATTCAGAATTCATAGATTAAACCATCCATAACTTGAAAATGTTTTAAAAAAATTAAAAAAACCAAAAGCAAACCTTATTTTTTTGCTACTTTATATAAGGGAAATCCGTTTACTATGCGACTATAAGTAGTGGGATTTAAGCATCCAAGGATTTTGGTAGTCACAGAGAGTTTTGGAACCAAAGCCCATGGATATCAAGGGCTTACTTGATATCAAATACTTGATATCAAATGCTTCAAATACTAAAGATCCGACTCTACTGTCATTATTCCACTTGAAACTGAAAATGCACTTGATAAAATTAACTGGTGGGTTTTCTTTCAAAATGTTTCAAATGGGTTCAGATTTTCTTAACCTATCTCCTAGGTCAAGAGTGATTACAAAGAGGTTACATTACATTTTTCATCGAAAGAGTGTACATGACAAGTATTTTCTCTCTCTCCTCTAATATTTCGCTTATGCTTCGAACCACTGATATGAGAAGTTAGGCCAAATCTAGCAATTTCCCTAGTTACACATTGAAAAGGTTTAGGTACATTTTTGTATACTAATAACCTTTTGCTCTTTATTTCCAGGCTAGAATCGTCTGTATCAAAACTGGCAGAACAAAGAATCACTTTCTGTATATTCTTTCTGTATATTCTGTTAATTGTTTTAAATCTGAGACTATGCCTGCTGGGGCTAATTCTCCATCTCGATTGTTGGCCAGTTGTAGTTTTGCTAGTGTTCAGAAGTTGTCAGGTATTTAAGTATCATTGATTCATCAGGATATATTACAAATATCTAAACTGGTTAAATTATATCACTTAATCTGAATAAATGAGAATAATTCAAATTAAGTACTAAAATAAGGTTAGTATTTTAAAGATGAATGATGTACCATGAAAGTTGTATGCTCTCCAAAGTTGTCTACCCAGGTTCACTTTTACAAAATCAATACTATTTTAAGATATATATGGATCCTTTACTACTTTGGTTTTTTTTTTCTCTCTCTCTCTCTCTATAAGATGCGACTATTCAGAAAGTGGAGTTACTTTTCCAAATATTAGTGTGTATCATAACATAAGTGTTGTGGATTCTATCAACACAGGGAACCATGGTTTAAATTAGGGAAATCTTCTTGGCCAAATCTGCAAGCACCTTTAGAATGTTTTTTTTCTGGATGGAATGACATCATGTTACATTCATTTGAGACAGAAAGGCATACAATTTCTATTGTCAGAGTCATTTAGTGTACAATGTCTTTTCGATTACAGTGTGAATGCTATCATGCCAAGGTAACTATGGGATAATTTTAATGTGAAGACTTTAAGACCACTTTTTATGGAAAAAAATTGACAGTGAGATTCATATATTAGATCAAATGATTGACCCAGATCAAGAATTTTTGGAGTTTTTGCTGTTACAGTCTACTTATTAGTCACCCAAAGGTGTGCTGTGAAAATATGTACAAATGTGGACCCTCAACTTTGAGTGCCTCATCCACCTCCGCTGTGCTTGAAACACGAATAATATCCCAAAAGAAACCAAAACCAATGGATATAGATTTACAAATGTTTGCTGGAAAGCTCTATATATGATACCAATGGAAGCAGGGTTTAGTAAAATGAAAAATTACACTGCCCTGTTCAACTTCAAAAAACATAACTTGCCAACATTTCAAAAAACACATCGGCATATATGCTGAGCACCTTATATCCTATTTTTTCAGTTTCTTTCCTCTATAATCATACTTTTCTTCCTAATAGCATACCTTTAGGGGCTCATGGGCAATGAAAAGGGGCTGAAAGTCCTAGGTGAATAACACCTATAGACCTTGAACCCTGGATGGCGTGTTTTTAACTTTGAATGTATTTTAACCATGTCTAATATGTTGTAATTTTAAACTACTTTAAGGTGAATTTGTTGTTTTGAGGCACTGTGTATGTGCCATTGTAAGCCACCTTGAGTTCCCCTGCTGAGGTAGAGAAAGGTGGGGTATAAATATAGCAAATAAATATGCAGCCCACATTTGCATTACTCTTGATTTTTTTCAGTATTTATTTATTTACTATACTTGTATCCCGCTTTTCTCAACCCCAATGGGGACTCAAAGCGGCTTTACAAAGAAGGCAACAATTCAATGCCGCATGTATATATACATCAATGGATAAACAAAACATTAAAACAATCCAATTAAACCATACCATTAAAACAACAATTAAAGTCACATAGTCCAGGTCATATTCCAAGGCCTGTCCGGGTCATCATTAAAACAAGTTTACAATCTTTTTTTGCACTGTTCCCATTATTGACCAATGGCCTGATCCTACAGCCATGTTTTTAGTTTTTTTCCTGAAGGCCAGGAGGGAGTCAATCTACTTTCACTGGGGAGGGACTTCCATAGATGAGGAGCCACCACTGAGAAGGTCCTGCCTCTTGTCTTCACCAGCCGTGCTTGCAAGGGGAGTGGGACCGAGAGCAGGACCTTCCCCTGATGTTCTTAGAATATGAGGTGGATCATAGAAGGAGATACATTCGGACAGATAAGCTGGGCTGGAACTGTTTAGGGCTTTATAGGTTAAAGCCAGCACTTTGAATTTATTTGAACTAGGTTATTATTGTCCAACTACAAAATTGATATTCATAGCACTGTTTCACAAGTAATGAAATGAGAGGAAAAAACACACTTTCAGAAAACTTAGTAACAAGCTAATTCAATTCATTTTTTTTTCTTTTAAATGTAGGCAAGGGATAAAAAAGCAATACAGCTCACATATAATTCAAATGATACTAAAAAAATACCTTGGCTTCTCTGCTCCAGGAGTGGAACTACTTTCAAATGGTTTTGGAAATGCCATATAATCAGTCTTCCCAGTAGTGTTATGTTCTAATGGCTGCTGCTCATTGTTTTGAACATTACAGTTTTGTGAGAAATCCCCTAAACCAGGTGGAAACATTGGGCTGAAGTTGATACCTATTAAAGAAAATCAAATAAGAAATTGATAACTTGACTCACTGCTCAGTGCACATGTTTATATCATAAAATGCAAAAATAGTAAATGTCAGATAACGTATGAAAAGTTCATTAAATTTATATCCAATTTTTCTCCAAGGATTTCAAAATGGATTACGCATTGTGTCCTTATGACCACTGCATCCAGCATTCATCTAGAAATAAAAGGTAAGGCTCATGGAGTTTCCATACTAGCCATTTAATGATCTTCCACGCAATTCTGAAATGCCCACCTGGTGGAAAAGAAGAGAAATTTGTGAATCCAGGCATGTTGAATAAGTTCATTGTCTGGGAAGGAAAACTGAAGGGACAAAACACAGTTGGTGATGGAGGTGGTGGAGCCCTACTGGATTTTTCCTTTTTGGTTGTTCTTGCCTGCTGCTGCTCTTGTTGATGCATTAAATCGTTTAACATTTGCTTCAATCTAGGAAATAAGAAAGCTTTTTAAAAAGTGAGTTATAAAACAGATTTTTAAGCACAATGTTATTCAAATTATTAACAACAATAGTCAGAAGCATGCCAGGCTATTCAGCAAGCAGTACTACATAAGAACACATCTAGTGCTAAATTTCAGCTGTACCTAGTTTCCAAATATCAGCCAAAGAAGGGCAAAATAAAACAAATATCATCAAAGAATGTCAGACCATTATAATGTTCTCATTTATATCACATTAATACAAATAGTACCAAAATGTGATTAGTTTTATATTATGTGATACACCTCACTGCATTATCTTTTTGACTTTACTGCACTTCCAAAATACTCCACTCTCTTTCTCTACTAGCAAAATACTTTGTACCATTTTATTTATCTGCTCAGCAGTGGAGAAAGGCAGACTAAAAAAAATTAAACCGATACCTTTGTACATTATTTTGTTGCCAGGTCAGTTGAGAATAGCATTGATTTAACTGGTGCATTATAAGATGTACTTGTGGTGAAGAAACATTACTGGGCATCACACTGTAAGGACCAGTGAGCAAGGTTTGTAATAGGCAGGAAAGGTTCTGCAAAGAAAAAAAAATACATGTTGATTCTAATTTAATTCTTATTAAAGTTTGCCACTTAAAATATTTTATTCCTCTATGCCTCAAACATAATGCACAGTAGAGCAAAACAAAAACAAGCAAAAATATTTAAAAGAATCAGCAATAGAAAAAGTAACAATAGTAAAGATAAAGGTTTCCCCTGCCTTTAAGTCTAGTTGTATCTGACTTTGGGGGGTGATGCTGAAGAGTCAGCGTTGTCCATGGACACCTTCAAGATCATGTGGCCAGCATGACTGCATGGAGCGCTGTTACCTTCCCGCAGAAGCAGTACTTATTGATGTACTCACATTTGCATGTTTTCAAACTGCTAGGTTGGCAGAAGCTGGCACTAACAGCAGGAGCTCAGCCCGCTCCCCGGATTCGTACCGCCAACCTTTTGTCAGCAAGTTCAGCAGCTCAGCGGTTTAAACCACTGTGCTACCAGGTGGCCATAAAAGTAATAATATCCACTATTAAATCCTAACAACAGGATCATATGGACTGCCTTTCAGATTCCCAAAAGGAAAGCCACAGGCGAGAAGACCACTAAAGTGACTTTATCACAGCTGACCGTAATGGCCAAGGAATATGCAATGTCTCATAACCATCTTGATGTATACATGAAACACAGAATCTGATGATTAGTCCAAATTTACTAAAACTAGCCCAAAAAATAAACAGAATATGCTCCAGGAATTATGCTGTCTCTGGAGTTAGTCTAGTAACATGCTCACAAGAAATCAGAGTTGGGATAACAATTTATATTAACCAAGATTGCCACTACATTTCAAGACAGATTTAATAACTCATAAAAATTATGGCTACTTCCTCTCCTGTTCACACAATAGCCTCAATTTGGTTGAGCAATTTTTTCAATTCAAAATGGGAAAGGCAAAGACCCAGAGAAGGAATCAGTAAGAGTCAAAGGAAAAAAAGGGAAGAAAGATGAAGGGTGTCTTGTTTTTATCCAAGAAAGCATGAAAGACAAAGATTAGCACAGTAAGGAAAAGACCTTTAAAATGCAGAAACAGTAAGGAATCAAAGAATTCCAGTAATAGTAAACAGGCAAAAATTAATGAAATGGAAGGAACCCAGGGTTCTATACAACAATAGTGCATAATTCTAGCTGGAGTGAGTCTTGATGAGAGTTAATCCATTCACAGATGTCTCGTTCAGTGCTTACAATCAATAGGAAGAAGACGATCCCAGACACCAAGTGTTGGGCTACACAAAAAGAAATAGTCTGCAATGCTCTCCTTAATTTGAAAGTTGAAATAACCCACCAAGTACATCAACGTACTGGCCACTTCTAAAAGCTTTAGTCCTGACTCTGTTTCAACAATGATATTATCTCTCAAATAAGTTAGGATATAAGAAAGAAAACCCAAAAAGCCTTTTACCTGTTGATCCTGCATTAAGGTCTGGCAAATACTAACGCTAAATTCAAGCTGTTTTTTCAGCTGGTTAATTTGTTCTTGCCATTGTTCTTTCTCCTCCACATAAGAAAGTTCAGACATCCAACGATGGTTTTCCTGACGGCGCATGCTGATGTTTTGTTGTTGCTTTGCTTTTGCTAGAGGACGGTAGTTTCCATCTGCTGAAAATGGACGTGGATTTTTCCAGCTAGAATGATGAGTATTATTACAAGGAGTTACATATTTCAAAATTCTGCTTTTGGGGCAAAACATTACAAGCCTATATTCAGTGTAAAAAAATCGCAGGTCTATATTGCCGTAGACACACTTCTTCCCTGCTGTCATACAGGTAAGATCATAGATTAGATATCTAATTTATACATACATTCTCCCTTCCCCGTCTTTTTGAGGGGAGTTGCTTGTATCTATAATCCAGATGGAACACATGTGCTTCTGTTCCTTTACAGACCTTTACCATCTCCATAAATATTTCAGTTGAATCTCCAAAATTAATTAGCTACAACTCTGTATAGTTGAATGGTAAACTCACACAGGAAGCAACCAAAAGAACACAAAGCACTTGCATCCTAATGAACTATTAATAACAACAACTTTATTCTTGTAATGTTATATATGCACCCTGGAGTGCCTTTTTAAGCTGCCCCGAGTCCCCACCGGGAGATGGTGATGGGATATAAATAATGATGATGATGATGATTATATCCCACCACCACCTCTCCAAAGGGACTCGGTGCGGCCTACACAAAGCACAAGGTACCTGAAAACAGAACCCCCCAGAAAAGATTTTTTTAAAATACAATTAAATAAAACATATAGACATATAAAACAATAACTAACACTCAATTAAAAACAATGTAAATAGTGTCAAGGAGTAATTCCCTCTTGGAGCAATTTACCACAACTTTAATATTGATAAACAACACACAACTAACCTCTGTTTATCTTCCTTTGCACAATATGAGCTTTGGTCTACATTATTGGGACATATGGACAATTCATTGGAACTAGAATCTTGCTCTTCTTCTTCCTCCTCTTCTGCTTGAGCAAGTCCATCAGAAAGATAAGCATCTTCATCGACTTCATCTTCATCAAGTGCACACTGAGTAGACCCTCCCCATGTAGCCATTGTTCTAGTAGCAGGTATTTTAAAAAGAAAACAGTCATGGTGTGCTAGGGCCTAAGAAGAAGAGTTAGGTCACACAGAGCCAACTAAAGTTCCAACTTGTCTCCTGTGCCATCAGTTGCAGGCCCTTCCCCTCAGCAATAATATAATATATTGTATATAGATATATAATACTGATAATAATATTATAATTTAATACAATATAATAGAATATAATATTAATTATATATTACATGCAATATTACTAATAATATTACAGTATAGTTATTGTACAATATAGTAATATATAATGCTAATATTGTGCTATGCTAATAATATGTTACATTGTATGTACATATAACCTGTAAGCTGCTCTGAGTCCCCTTCGGGGTGAGAGAGGGTAGGGTATAAATGTAATTTTTAAAATGTACATCATCTGGTTTTTCATGATAATTTTAAGTACAGAGAGGCACTGAAAATGACCATAGCCATGATAAATTATTATAACTCTTAAAATTTGTGGGGGAAAGCATTATAGTTATTCAAATTGTGGCTATTTAAAAAAATATTCCTTGTCCAATTACAATTCTGAAGAAATAGCTGTCTTTACAATACATGACCAGAATATAGAACATGTTTCTAGAAACTAAACTGGGAAAACACACTTTTTCCAGAAGCCTCCAAAATTCCCCAACAAAATTATACAGCCACAGAGGACTGTAAGGACAAAGGTGTCCTGATGCATCCTCAAACATAGCACTAGCTTAAATTTCCATTCTTATATAAAATTAAATGAAGGTTTTCCCCTTACTTTTCTGTTCTGCTTTGATGGGGAGTGCATTGAGTTTCTGATCCATCGCTTTTCACAGAAGCAGCACCAGCAGATGTGGTATCTGCTAAATCTCTTCTTCTCTGGTGTTCAGCCATTAAAGCTTCAAGCTGTTTTCTTCTCTGCCGTAATTCCTCCCTTAGAAGCTCGTGTCTACGCATCTCAGACCAAAGCTGTTTGAAAAATAAAATATTAATTGAAAATATTGATATGAAATATAAATCAATATTACATTCTTGTTAGCATATGTGCGCCTTTGAGATGCTTATGGTTCGACTAGTTCAGAGAGCAATCTGCTGTTAGACAAGCACAGCTTTTCTGTAAAACAATCAGGAGAGAAAGAGATGCAAGAGAATTATATAAAAAAATCTCTTCCCCATAGGAACCCAATGGCCCTTTTACATCTTATTTCTCATCCAGCTTTTCTTCTTACAACTTCTAAATTGTTGTCCAATGTAACTTCTCAAAAAGCATCAATCTTGTCAGGGTGATTTGATCTGTATACTATATGGAATAAAAAAAATTCAAAAGACTCACTGTATACTTCAATTAAAGTGATAAAATGGATGGTGAACACTCCAATGCAACAGTGCATTTACAAACAAAGATTGACTGGAAATACATTCATAAAAACTCTGATATGGTACCTCACTATCCACCAAGGCCTTTTCTTCTGGCTGATCCATAGCTTTGTTTCCTGCATTGATTTCATTAGCAGTTGAAGTATTCCCTGGACAATTATCCAAGCTAGATGACAGCTAGAGTGAACAGAATATTAAAATTACAATGAAATCAATGTTCTAAGATCCCTTATCAGAATTCTGTAGCATTGTTTGATTAACAGGCAAAAGTGGCAAAATTATATAATAGATAACACTGAACTGAAATATGCTTCTGTATGATACTTTCTATCATTTTTTATGCTTTTGACCTCCTCATCCAACCATTCCACTATCAGGGCTCCTTTTCCAAAATACATTTTTTCTGTTCTCTGACCTTTCAATACAATAGTGCCACATTTTCAAGAATTACCTTTGCATCCACAAAGCACATGGCTAATAGCAATGTTTGTGCCCTAGCTCAGCTTGTTCCAGCCTTGAATTGCCTGGCTAAAAGCGAACTATCACTATCACTATCACTATCACTATCACTATCAGGGCATTATGCTAACAAAAAGATCTCTTTGGGGGCAGGGCTATCCTCATTCAAGCATTTCACCTACTTGGAGATCTGGACAAGCCTTCTGCAACACCTGGATTTTTTCTTGGATCTTTATTAATTTCTTTCTTTCTTCTTGGAGATGCTTGAGTTCTCTCTGCTGCTGCTGAAGTTTTGCTTCATAAAATTTCTCCCTAAAATAAGGAAATTCCTATTTTATCATCTTCTGGAACCAGATCGCACAACGGTAAATAGATTAAAATAGTGGCGGCATATGAGAACTGGTGATCACCTACTCAAACAAGAGGTTGGGTTTGACCAAGAGTGTTAGGCAACTATTATGTTGAAGATGATAGGAAAGTGAAGTCTCAGACACTGCCATTCATGGCTATACAGGCAACAGGATACCACAAAGTGTACTAAATAAAATAATCTGGATGTGATAGTAGCAGGAAGGTCATCTAGGGCAGTGTTTCCCAAACTCTGCTCCTCCAGATCGTTTGGACTTCAGCTTCCATAATTCCTTATATCTGATAAGCTGGCTGGAATTTCTAGGAGCTGACGTCCAAAACACCTGGAGAGGAAGAGTTTGAGAAACACTGATCTAAGGCATATATTAACTATATAATGTATAGTGATATGACATGTTTAAGTTATATGCTTTGTTTGTATGTATGTTGGCATTTAATTTTGCCATTGTTTGATGTACACGGCTTTGTCTCTCCTCAGGGGTGAGAAAAGTAGTATATATAGTAAATAAATAAATATCCAATTTAACATCTCAGCCTAAAAATAGACCTTGAAATTTTGGATCCAGTTCATTACAAACTTCAAGTGAAAGTAGCCATACCTTGCTTTTTCATTCAGAGCCACAGCCTTCTCTGACTTGTTTGCACTTGTTAGGACATTATTTGGCTGCTGTTGTTCTTTTTCTTCTTCAGCCAAATAGTACTGATCTACATTATCCCGCCCTGCAGCCTCTGGCGCACCATCATCCTAAAAAGAGCAGTATTTTCAGGTGTGATCTCTCTGAATTCATTTTCAAAATATGAGGTCATACAAACAAGTTCTCGATCTCTGGCTGCACTGAAATTGAGACATTATGCTGAACATTTGATGCAAACATTGCTACATGTTGGTTTTTAAACAATGGAATTTAATCCTGTTTGGGGACAGAGGTGTTTCCCAAAGTCCAAGGTAGAAGGACAGAAGTGTCAAATACATTCTCTGTAGTAGAAAACTACACAAGCAATTTGAAGTCTTATAAGCACACTAAATTATCTCATTTTCAGTAAAAAATATATATATATATATATAGACCCAATTCTAAGGTGATATAATAAATGGAACATTTATACACATAGCACATAGTTTATACACATGAACATTTGAGGGTTTGCTTTGGCGGATTTGATTAATGTGTTATCCCTATGAATTTCTAATTCCTCCAGGTCCTCCAGAAGTCGATCAAAGTGTTGTGCTGGAGGACCTAGAGCAGTGGTTCCCAACCTTTGGTTCTCCAGGTGTTTTGGACTTCAGATTCCACAATTCCTAATAGCAGTTAATTAAGCTGGCTGGGGTTCCTGGGTTTTATCTCAAGTATTTGTGGTTTTTTCATTTTCATGGAAAACCTGCATCTCTAACCTAAAATGAGAGTGCCTACTCTAGCTGTGTGTGTGTGTGTGTGTGTGAATATACACAATACAATCTCAGTTAACCAGTACTCATGGGGACTGGTAGATTTCAAATAAATGTAGTTTCGGATTGCTTGAGAGTTACTGGTAATAACAGGCCTAATTAATACTATACCCCATACTATACCATATAATAAACTCTGAATTCACTTGATATTGATATTTAAATAAAATAATTAAAACCAAATTAAAACAAATAAGTAACACAGTTTTACTGTGTTATAAAAACATCTTTATGAATGCAGTACTATTATTTATTTATTGTAAGTTTCTTGAGAGTTCTGGTGTTCCAGTTAACTGTGAGTCTACTGTATATGCACGGATACAGACATCTATGAGGGGAGGGGGGACTGTTTGAATGCTACCTAGCCAAATTAAGTCCTAACTGATTTTGATGAAAGAATTAACCATTTGTTCAACTTTTCTTCACAGGAATTAGTGTGATTTAATTTGTTGGGATCACATCTTAAAATGTCATAATCCTATTACTTTAAAAATCAGTTTCTTTCATAAAATATAATTCTTATTTCATTTCATAGTAAAGTAAAGCAGTACAAGAAGTAAATATGGAATTTGTGCAATCAACATTTGGAATGGCCCTGGTCTACGAGTTTGGATCATGTGATTTTAATGTTTTTATTAGGTGGTTTTCATTTTTATGTCTCCATGTTTAACTGTTGTTTTATCTTATGGTTAATTGTCTTATTGCATAGTTGTTTGTTTTGTTTAGATTTATTATTTGGTTTTTATGTATGTGAGGCATTGAATTTTGCCATTATTTTTTGTACACTAAATAAATAAATAAAATTTTAAACCTGGAGGAAAGAAAACACATTCTAAATATTTTCTGGCTGGAAAGGATTTCAAAACATGCAGGATAAAGCTAACCTTAAACAAGCCAGAATTATACCACACTGATTTTAAAAATAAAACCAATACCATCTGTTTTAAGTCAATGAACTGGCATCTTTATTAACCGGAACATACCTGAACCATAGCAACCAGATTTTGTAGCTGCCTTAGTTTCTGCTTGGCTGCTATAAGTCTGTTAATCTTTTGCTCAAACTCTGCATCAACAGGTGCCTCGTCGACAATGCTGCTTCTGCGACTGGATAAGGAAGCTTCGCTAGCTCTATCAGCTTCAGGACCAATGTCGTCATCCTCACCTTGAGGTATTTCTATACTATCATCTTCTCTATTATAATGACAGTCTCAAAGTAGAAAAAAATGAAATTGCTTATTATAGGCAATGCTGAAATATTTAAATCACTTAATCCACATTAGTCAATTAAACATTTTCAGGCATCTTAAATTAATGACATAGATATTTAAAATTCTCTTTTTAGTTAAGTGCTTATCACAAAGACAGATAGCAAGCACCTGCATCAAAAAGGCATTCTCTGAACGTATATTTTGTTATTATATATGAGTTTGTGTCAAATAATTAATTAAAAAATTATTTAAGAAGAAGAAGAAGAAGAAAAAGAAAGAAATAGGATACAAATGTTATATAGAATGTTAATCTATAAGGTTCATCTCAAAAAGGATTAATATGTAAAACAAAACAATCCTCATGGTGGTGGGAACTATAAATGTTGTGTATGTATTAAAATAAAAATATATTTTTAAAAAAGGCATTCTCCCTTCTCTCATATGAAGAAAATTACATTAGCATCTAATTGAATACTCCTGATCATGTCTGAGGGTAACTAGGACTTGGTCTGGTTAGTACTTAGATGGGAGACCAGGAAATACCAGGGAACTCGAGGAAATGGAAGGAAAGAATTCTGCCTGAAACCTCTGAGAGCCCTTGCTTCCTTTCTGAGTTCACAACACTGAGTCAGAGGGAACAATAGTTTCAGTCAATGTAAGACAACTTCCTCTGATGCTGCTTTGCAGTGTAGGCTTGTGTGTGCATGTGTCTTCAAAAGCATGGCTGCTCTGAGTTCCCTTCAGGGTGAGAAGAGTGGAATATAAATACAGTAAATAAATAAATAATATTATGGCAACCCTATGGATTTCATAGGGTTTTCTTAGGTAAGGAATATTCAGATGTGGTTTTTGGCAGATTCTTCCTCTGGAACACAGCCTGTTATTCATTGCTAGTCTCCCATCCAAGTACCAATAAGAACTGATCCAATATCCTTGAGCAATATCATATTAAGATATGCATATTAATGTGAACACACTATTGTCCTAACAGGCTATTCTAACATAAAGCTAAATTAAGCATTGTTTTTTGGAATTATACTCCAAATGTATTCTAAGAATGTCAACCTCAGGTTCCGGCCCAAGCTACCTATCTGACCGCATCTCTGCCTATGAACCCACTAGGAGTTTGAGATCTTCCGGGGAGACCCTGCTCTCGATCCCGCCTGCTTCTCAAGCTCGGCTGGCGGGGACGAGAGATAGGGCCTTCTCGGTGGTGGCTCCTCGGCTGAGGAACGCCCTTCCTACGGACATTAGACTAGCACCATCTCTAATGGTATTCCGCAAAAAGGTGAAGACCTGGATGTTTGTGCAGGCGTTTGAGTAATTTAGTACAATCTGGTAATGGAACATAGGAATGGAACAATGGACGACGAATCTGGACTACGCTTGGATGATGAGAAGATTGGGTACGGTTGTTTTTTGTAATAATTGTGCATTGTAATTGCTTATTGGTAATTTATGGATAATGTGTTAAGTCAATTGTTATATGTTGTATGGAACCACTGCTGTTTCTACTGTTTCTACTGTTTGTGAACCGCTGTGAGTCGCCTTCGGGCTTGAGATACAGCGGTATATAAGCAAAGTAAATAAATAAATAAATAAATAAATAAATAAATATTGGGGATATAAGAGGACTTTTTTTAAAACAATCAATACATCTCATGTTGAAGATTCAAAAAATGTTTTTAAAAACACACCAAAAAGTAATATTTCAGCAATCAAATTATTAATGTAACTTTTTCTGCTCTTAGAAAATCAGCTCTAAGATTATTCCCAAAACATACCTACGCTTGAAGGCATATTCAACATCCTTATGTTAGCAGATCGGTTGTTTATTTCACAGGCTGTATTAAGGTGATTTCCACTTCTATTATTAGTTCCACACTGCAAATTACTGTTACAATTTATTTCACTCCAGTTACTAATGCCCTGTGGATTTCTAGGTAGGAAAAAAACAACATTAAATGTCATTTACTTATGTCATCTCAAGTTCTATACCAAAAACAAGCAAAACAAAATTATGTAACAAGAAGTATGAGAAAGACATACTGGCTACTCCCAATAGCCACAGATTCCACCATCACAGATTGAAAAAACACCCCACCCTCCACCCCCAGCAAAAAATAAATAAAATAAAATTGCCATTTAGTATTAGGGATACCATTTTACTACACCACTATTTATGACGAGAGGTCTTGAAACCAAACTCCAGCATACACCAAGGACGAAGTGTATTATGAAATGTATGTGGTTCTTCCAATATAGCTTTCTCTTACTTTCAAAACAGCAACAATGTACAATATACTAAAGCACAGAAGACTAAAATTGTGTTGTCGAAGGTTTTCATGGCCAGAATCACTGGGTTGCTGTGAGTTTTCCGGGCTGTATGGGCATGTTCCAGAAGCATTCCCTCCAGACAAGAGTTCTTTCTCCCACTCTGGACATTCTACAGATATACAAACCTCACTTGCTTAGTTTCCAACAGACCCCCCTCAACCTCTGATGATGCCTGCCATAAATGTGGGTGAAACCTCAGGAGAGAATCCTTTTGGAACATGGCCATACAGTCCAGAAAGCTCAAAGCAATCCAAGAGTCAAATCCATTGAGAATTCAATATTTTGGGAAGCAGTGTATGTACATTACCAAAGCAGATATGCAGAATTTATTCATACCTCTTTGTACCAACAGCAATTAAGTAATTATCTGGGAGAAAACCCACCACACTGATCCAAAAACCATATCTCTTAACATTGTGGCTAGGATCCAAATAACTCCTTAGATTCACAAGTGCAAAGAGAGGGGAAAGAAGAGTTGACCCTCATCACATCCTGCTTCTGAAACTATTATGCTTCAAAAGCAGTTTGCCACGTCTAATAAGTAAAACCTGGGAAGCAATGACTCAGGAAGTGTAAGAACACCAACGCTCCCAGCAATGGAAAAGAAAACCTTGGGGGTACATCTATGCTGTAGATCAGGCATGGGCAAACTTTGGCCATCCAGATGTTTTGGACTTCAAATTCCTAACAAGGCTGTTAGGAATTGTGGAAGCTGAAGTCCAAAACACCTGGAGGGCGAAGTTTGACCATGCCTGCTGTAGATCCACTCTAACTGCTTTGGTTCAATGCTATGGAATCATGGGGGCTGCAGTTTGATAAGGTCTTGAGCCTTCTCTGCCAAAGGATGCTGATGCCTCACTACAAATCCAAGATGGCACAGCATGGAGCCATGGCCATTAAATTAGAGATAGAATCCCTCAAACAGGAACTCCAAGAACAACTACTGAAGTAGCTTCCCCTTTTGCTTCAGTTCAGCACGAAGATTACCATATGACACAAATCTAATGTGCACCCTCATTTCAGCAAGGTAATTTAGCCAAAAAAAGGTGAGCATTAGATTCGAGTTAAAAGGCTATCTTCTAATACAATCAATTTCACATCTGATGTTTCACTTCTCTGAAACTTCATTTATCTACACGAGACAGAAGAAAAAACAAAGGGAGAGTATAACACCTGCTTCTTTTCTGGGTGGTGACAATTTGTGTCAACTGCTCCTTTGTACCACTCAGAAATCCCAGTCTTTAAACTGCAGGACAAGCACTGTCTGCAGTGAAGCAAGTGCCCAGCCTGCTTATTTCTTGAATGAAACATGATGGACTAATTTTCAATGTGCTTCAGTAGTACACATAATGTATTTTACTTCCATTTTAGTTAACTCCTACCACTCACCAAGAGTAGCATATTCATCGCTGCTGCTGGAAAACAGAGAAGCAGTTAGTTACTATGAGACTTCTTTTTTCAGGTATGAATAGAGAATATCCTACTCTTGGTGAATGAATGGAGTTAAGCACCTCCTGTTCAAGATATAACCTGGAAGAGGCAGTGACACATATCTTGATGCGATAAGGAATATAACAGTTATTTGGGGGCAAAGCGTGAAAAAAATGTCACTTCCAGACATGAATTAAATTAGGTGCATTCTGGGATAAAGGAGAAAAATAGGTAAGACAAAGCAATTGGTAATAAGAAGCAGCAGGACACACAGGCTTCCTTTTCCTCACTTCCTCTAAGAATACGCTCATTTCTCAGGTATTCCAGATAAAACCAATTATTGTAGCATGATTTGATTTTGATAATATAAGATCTATGTCATTTTGTCACCATCATTTTAACAGAAGAATGCCAATAATAACCAACCTAATATTGGTAACAGGCTGTGGATTCTCAAGGTCAGAATCACACTCTGAATCCTCTGTCTCTTCTTCTCCTTTAGTGTTCTCATTAACGGCATCTGTCATCATATCTGAGGTCTGTTCATAGTAGTGCACTAATTCACGCAATTCATTAAGCCTCTTCCGAACTTCATTCAATTTCCTACAATGCAAAGTGTTTAAAGTGACAGAATGTTCAGTAGAGTTTGAATTATTTAACAGTCTTTTTAAATTTTTGTGCAAAGGAAAATAGAATGATGGGGTTTCCCTCAAGGAAACTATTTTTTGCCAAAATGCTGATAACTATCATGATTTTCTGGATACATACTAGAAAAATTGGGCAGAAGAGGAAGAGGATGAAAACAACCACAACAAGGAAATACAAAAGCTGATTACTGTAGCTTCACATAAGCTAAGCAAGCAAGCAAGATTGAGGTTTATGTTAAAGCGGTTGCTAAACAGTTGTTTCAAACACCTGAGTAGTTCCTTTAAAATTCGGCGACTACTGCTTAGCATATACATACTGTATATACTCCTGTATAAGCCAACCTCATGTATTAGTCAATGGGGGTTGGGGGGGGGGGGGGCAAAATTGTGGATTTTGATGTCCCATAGGGTCATTCCACATAGTGGAGCATAGGGTCATTCCACATAGTGGCCAATACTGCTCAAGGCATTCAAAAAGGCCAGAAGCAACACTACGGTGGAGAAAGTAGTGGGAGTTAGTTCTTGTTCTGGGTTCTCCCAGGACAGACCAAGCTCTTACCTTCTGCCATTCTACTCAGAGTAGGGAATGGTTCATTTTTTGGTAAGAATTAGCACAGTAATTACACTGGCCCATGGATAAGTCAACCCAGGTTTTTTGGATCAATCATTTAATAAAATTTCTGGGGTAGTATGTTAAAATGTTCAGATTTCTTCAAAAACTGTATTTCTTCCATTCTAAGATGCCATTTTTCCTAAATAAACATCTCCTAAAAATTGGGTGCAACTTAGAATCGCAGATGTGCCCTATGCACTTTTAATAGTGGTAGTGATACTGATATTAGAGTGTATCTTACAATCGATGGCATCTTACAAATGAAGAAATATGGTAAACTATTCTACTACAATCTCTTACAACAATGATATATCATCATATGTTTTATATCTACACTGTAAGTTGGTCTTATACCTATACTTCAGATACGTTTGCCAAAGTAGAGAGACAGTGACATATCTAAAGCCACTAGTGAGAATAGAGTTGATCTGAACCCAAGACATCACAATTCATGCCTCTAACTCCTAACCATTACACCACCTCCCAGAACAGTTCTACAGCTATGCACTCTACTCATTAGAGTCCAAGACCACATACAGGTTAAGTATCCTTTATCCAAAATACTTGAGACCAAAACTATTTTGAATATTGGAAATTTTTGTGCACTTTGGAATACTTGTATTTACATACATGTACATAAGGAAACATCTTGGAGATGAGGTTCAAATCTAAAGATAAAACTCATTCGTTTCATATGCACCTTATACACATAGCATGGAGGTAATTTTAAATAAAATATTGTAAAACAAATATTTTTGTGCATGCAACAAAGGTTTTTGACACTGAACCATCAGAAAGAAAAAAATGTCACTACCTGATCTATCCAGACAATTTTGGATTTTGGAGCATTTCAAACATCAACATTCTGGATAAGGAATGCTTAACCCATACTAAGATTAGTCTCTAGTGGGCTGCACAGATAAAAATAGAATTACCAAGCACTGTCAGAAAAGTATTTATAAGGGACCACAGACATTTATTTATACTTCCTTGAAGGAACCACGGGCTATGCATACATTGACCATTCAGTATGAAACTAGCAGTGAACAAATTAGCAGTGAACATACAACCTTGCCTTTTTCCCAGCACAAAATTTGAACTCACAATAGAACTGTAATCCACTGCAGTGCAGTACCTATTGATAGAATTGTGTAAAAATAGAAAATATCCATGACTAAAACTGCAACTAGTACATAGCATGTTCTCAAATAAATGTTATTCCCTACTGTTTCTTACAGACAATTGATTCAACTATATATCCAAAATTAATAAGTAAGGGTATATTACTGAAGCTTTTCTGTTGCATTTAGGTTGTCATCCTCTTCACTTTCATTCTGTGAGGTTACAGAGTCTGGATGATAGACAACGGATGATGCTAAGCTATTCGGTTCTTCATTGACGCCTGCTGCTATCCCTACAGGTGCAGAAGCTACTGAAGTTGCACTTCTTTGATCAACACTCCTTTGAGGAGACCCTGAACCAGGCAACACTGTAAATAAGAAAACAAACAGATTTTATCTTCTGTGAAAAAGGAATAAAGGATTGGGTGGAACATTTGACTGATCAATTAATGTAGCTCTCTCCAACTCAGTACTCTCCAGAGGAGCACAATTACCATCATGTTGAACTTGACAGAAACCTAATTCCAAAACATCAGAAAGGCACCAGATATAGGCCCATATAGTGACTTTTCTCTTTTTAAATACATAGAAAGAAGATGTCGAATTCTTGTCTGGGAATTAGTTTATAATTTCTGATCAATCCGTGACACATGATATTTCAATTTTTGCTCAGTTTTACCTAAATGAAAAGTAACTTTATATATTATGTGCAAAGAGAAAAGAAAAAATGTGTATCTTAATTGTTGCATTGGATGAAATCAATATAATACTAACTTCAGCTGCCATTGCGTTACAATTTTAATTTGTATTTCACCAATCTCTTTTTATAGAAGAGAAAATAGACAAATATGATATTTGGAAACAAACAGGCAGGTATCCCTCCCTTTTGTTTAAATTCATTAGGTAGAATTATCTGATACCCTATAGCAGTGGTTCTCAACCTATAGGTCCCCAGATATTTTGGCCTACAATTCCCAGAAATTCCAGCCAGTTTACCATCTGTTAGGATTTCTGGGAGTTGAAGGTCAAAACATCTGGGCACCCACAGGTTGAGAACCTATAGAATAATTTAGGTCAGCCCTGTTACAAATAAGTAAAATTTTATTATGATTAAGATCATCTTAACCTATTTACAAAGAAATGCCTTAAAGTCAACTGACCTGCCAGAAAATGAATTTCTGCTATATATTTTTGGAGGCATATGCTCTAACTTATTGCAAACATCAGATGTTTAGCCTTGCAACAGCATTGTAAAAGCATAAAATCAACACATTACTTTCTGTGAAAAGAAGTCAAGAAAACAGAAGAAATCTGAATAGGTAACTCTATCAAGTCCGAATGGTTAGGGACAACTATGGTAACTTCTGTGTATATATATTAAAACATGTGCATATACAAATATGCAATATCCCTTCCTTACTTGCTTCTGAAAACAGTTTTCCTAACTTTATGTAGGAAAATGAACCTAAGCGGGAATTCAAATATCAATATTATACATGCAAATATCAACTAAAAACTTCACAGAAAGTTTGCACCATTAGACTGTATCATCACGTTAACATAATAAAAGCACAAAATGGAAATCATAAAACTAGATTACACAATACTTACAAGATGAGTTGTTAAGATGGTGGTCACGAAGCGTATGCAATTCTCCTAGCAATTTGTCCATTTTTTGCTTTTTACCCTGAAGTGCTATCATCTTACTAAAGAGTTGTGCTTTCTCTTCAGACAAATGCTCAGACATGGAGGAATTCCTGCTTTGGGAAACTTCCCTGGTAAGAGAGAGACTCTCTGCTTGCCTTCTATTATCTGGCACCGCTTGAACCTAAAAGTAAATATATCATCTTTATCATCTTTATTTGGAGGGATCAAGGCAGCTTACAATAACACAGCTTAAAGTGGTTTATATAACAGTGTTTTAACACTGCAAATGTAAACTCAAACACAAATCATACCACCTTTCAATCTTTTTCTGCTTCAGTCTATTAAAGGATTGTGACTAGAAGATAATGGAATGTTGTTTTTTTTAAGTCATTCTGTGTTCAAAGTAGCAATTTATGATCATATGGCTTATCTTTCCTCATGGCTGGCAGGAGGCAGAGGTCACATGATTATCAGGCATTTAATTATTGACTCCTTTCTCTTCTTCGGTTCTGCTACAAAGTCTTGCCAAAAGAAAAGCACTCACTCCATCCTCAAATCACTTCCTGCTAAGAAAAAGCCTCTCCTAAAAAGGGCTCAAAAAGCAAAATAAACCCACATGTCCTCTAGAGTGTGTCTGGAAACATTTGGGGGTAAACACTGAGTGAATTTTGGGGAAATATCTCTGGAGGGGTTCCATGCAGCCACTAGCATCCCATGGTTTGTCACTCTTTTAAAGGATCAAATAATTGCTCTGTTAATACATTTTAAACCAACTCAAGTTCCAGGTCAAGAATCTGTCCTTGTTGATGGACACTTCTCAGCTAGTTCTCTGAGAAACCTTTTTATATATCTCTTTTATTAGTCTCTGCTGATAAAGCTCTTTTTAAAACAAAGGTTTTAGAAGTCCCATACACAAGGCGTGAAGCTTCTTATGCCTTAGTCCCATTTCTTTTTGTCCTCTGTGCAGCTGGACATTTCTCAGCATCAGCATCAAGAAACTGGAGGCGGTAAAGGAAGAATGGGAAAATACAATCTTGCAATGTCAGGCTACAGAAATATGTGTAATATGTGTAAACAATGCAAAGAAAAAAATAAGTAAATTTTGAGCTAGAATGAACAAACTTCTACTGTCATCAATCTTAAATATTTTTCTTTATTTACGTAAGGTTTGTCTGATCAAGTTGTTTTACTCTTCACATGCATATTTTTGATTTTGAATAAAATGCTGAAGCTTATTGAACACTTCTTTTTTTGTGATATATGGACCAATCTCTATTCTTTCCATATTATTTCTGCCCTGGCACCAAATTTTCTGTTAAAATATTAATACTGTTGAACACATATATTTTGTTAACTGAGGAAAACCTGTATATTCCATACATAAAAGGGGTTACCTGAGAATCATGAAGCTGATTGTGAAAGCGCTGAATTAAGTCATTCAATTCTTCATTCAGCTCAGAAGTTAGACTCACTCCTGAAATGCTACCTGTGGTTTCTGTTACCACTACAGATAGGATAAGGAAACAACATGTATTAGAAAAGACAACCTTTTCAATCAAAGTAGGCCAAGGTGCCAAGGTACAGAAAATGCAATCATATCATGAACTATGGAATATAAGGTAAAGGTTTCCCCTGACATTAAGTCTAGTCATGTCCGACTCTGGGGCGTGGTGCTCATCTCCATTTCTAGACGCCTCCAAGGTCATGTGGTCGGCATGACTGTATGGAGTGCCGTTACCTTCCTGCAGAAGCAGTACCTATTGATCTACTCACATTTGCATGTTTTCAAACTGCTAGGCTATCAGACGATGGGGATAACAACAGGAGCTCACCCCTCTCCCCAGGTTCAAACAGCCAACCTTTCGGTCAGCAAGTTCAGCAGCTCAGTGGTTTAACCCACTTTACCACCGGGGGCTCCAGTATGGAACATAGAAACATTTTAAATATCTGGAAAATATTTTTCTACTCTAGAAAAACTGATTGGCTCACAAAGCAAAACATCATACAAAAAAGGTCTTTATATCTTGGGAGATTACTAATCTCACTAGAGAATGCACACAGAAGATTTCTTCTGGTCTAGTTTAAAGAAGACATCTAAAAGGATGGGGTAAGTTTTTCTACCCAGAAAAGCAGGGATCGGATGATCACAATTTTGGTCTAGCATTAGTGCCACTTGGCTCCTTCTCAAGCTCAACCATGTCAAAATATACAGCAGATAACTCAAAGAGTCCCTTAAGGGAGGCATGGGTTAGCTTTTAAGGGAGGTATGCTGCTGAAACTTTACAGCAATGGGAGGTGCATGCACATTTGAAAAGTTCTCAACTGAAGACTCCTCTCTAAACTAAGTTGCCCCAGGGTGTTTCCTTCCCACCAGATTAAATTTATCTTCATGATAAATGCATGTGTCCAGTGGGGAAGTACATCCCAAAGTATAGGATGTATTTTCTTTGGCCCTAATAGAGTGCACAATTATCTCCTTTGACTCCAGAGAACACTGCACTTTGAGCTATGAAAATGAATGCCTTTAGTAATTTGCCCACGGTGGCTTTTTAGCGGAGTGCAGTAACATCAAGATCATAGATTATCTAAAGCCAGTTTGAGTAAACTGTCACCCCCAAGATGCTGCTGAAATACAATTCCCAGCATGGGTTGAACTAAGTTTATACTATCCTCTCTATGCAATCAATAGAAGTAGCCAAGACAGCCGCTACACATGCCCAGTCTACATTACCTTGAACCCCTCTAGCAGTTTTATCTCCATCTTTAGGGACCACTACTGGAACATCAATAAAGGCAGAAGCAGCTGCTGGGAAATTAAAAGAAAATACAGCTCAGAAAAAGCTCTATTATGGCCAAAGACAGTGTCAACTAAAGGAGTAACCTTGGATCACTAGCATGAGACCAAAATCATGGCCATGTCACCCCCGATTTCTTGAACAATAAAAAAAATATAAAACCATCCTTTTGTATAGCTTCTTCCAACAAGACATGGAATACATTATTCCCCATCCCCATACCTCAAATATTTCTTGGTTGTTATATACATAATAGGACATTACACTGGCTTCTGGCTAAGTAAATTAGAGCAATGTAATAAGACATTACGAAATAACACAATGACGAATGGAATGGCCCTGGAGTATGACTTGATAGCGTGATTTTAACTGATGTTTTAATGCTGATGGTTTTCATTGTTTTGAATTTTAATATATTGTTTATTTATCATATTGTTTAATATATTGTTTATTGATGTGTGGCATCAAATTGTTGCCTTTGTAAAGCCACTCTAAAGTCCCCTTGGGATGAGAAGGGTGGGGTACAAGTGTGGTAAATAAATAAGTTAGTTGGGATGCAATTTTAAGTAAATTTCTCATTTTTAAGTAACAGCACCGGAAAAATAATATACACAATTTCACTGCTGATGGTTCTTACATTTGACCTGCTGATTCCAAACATGGCACCAGTTTCCCCCTATCAGATCTAGCTTTTGAGATACAGAATATATGCCAACTACCAGTCGCAAACTGCTCACCCATAGAAAACCATAACCATATCTAAGAAACTAGAGCTGATACAGTCTATCTAATGCAAATTTCTAAATCAGCACCCCCCCCCCCAAAAAGGAGACCACAAAACCAAAACACCAAAAGAGAAATGGGGGGGGGGGGTCTGTGTTGCTGATTGAGAACTTCTGTTTGGGTATATAACAAGAGCATACCGGAATCATCCATGACAGCAATAGCCTGTTCTGCTTTATGTTGTAGAGCAAGAAGGGCAGCCTGCCTCCCTTGAAGAGCTTTCAATTGTTCCTGCTGTTGTAACATCCTCTTTAGTAAATCATGCTGCTTCTTTAAATTTACAAGTTCTTCTGTAGCTTCTTGCTGAGGATCTCTAGCCTGGAAAATAAATGTTTAGAAAATAGACGGTAATGCAAAAAAGATAAAGGCAATTAATACAAATGTATAATGCACCGCAAGCTTAATTTATACACTGATCATCAAGCATATTTGTCACCCTTTCCTCATGGCCAATAGCTCATTAGCCAAGGTTACTTATGTTCAGTTTTTTAAAATCTGATTGTGTCTTGTATGTTATTTCAATAAAATCACCAATACTGAACAGTGTTACATACATTGTAATCCACTGTGTTTAGTTGGGGCTCTTTCCAAAATAAGTGCTTACAGCACTGCCATATTAATGTGAAAAGGCCCTTACTTTTCAGAGTCTGCTTTAAGAATGATTGAATGACAAAGTTTAACAACCACTACTTTTGTTTCGTACAACCACAAAGGAGAATCATCCAGCCAGGGCACATTCAAGTCCTATTGTCTTGTATCTATCTCCCAGTACTGTGATGTCGCAACACTGACAATACTATGAACACTGAGGAAAAAAGAAAGCCATCCAAAGAAGGCCAATCAAATCACAAATTTAATGCAACAGGAAGAAGAGGAAAGGAAATCTTCCAGATGAGAGCAATTAGACTTGGGGACCTTCCATAACAGCAAGTTTGGTGGTTATGAGCAAAGAGGAAGATGAAACTGGTGGAAATCAGTTTTCTCCCCTCTCCCCACAGGAACATCCAGATCACAAAGCAAGAACATTCACTACATTTTCCATTTGCAGAAAGGCAAGTCTGTATACAATCCATAGTACTGAAAGGTGACATTTAGAACTGAGCAACTATTTTCACCAACAAAATGAATAATTTTGATTGCAAAAAGGTTAATACACTATATCAGAGAAATGTTCTTGTTCACACACACACATATAGGTAGAACAAAATGTTAACAGCATGTTAGACTTATGAATCAAGTTTGGCATGATGGCAAATGGGAATCGTGCTGTGACAGATAATTGAGAAAGGAGATTAAACAGTTTTAAAATTGTAGTTTGTGATGACTAATTCTAAGCAATTAATCCTTATAAATCATTAAAACAGACTGCCTATTAACTATTGATAAGTATTAAGAAAGATCATCGATGTAAGGGCTAAAGCAGTTGATTAATGCATGTATAGATTTGAAATAAAAACAATTATGTGGGAGGAAAGAATCCATATTAATACCTATATTGTAAATTTTCCAAGGCAAAATCTGATAAGTGTACCTTTGAGGGCAATCCAGGTTCTTGGTTATTAATCCTACTAGGCCAGCTGCCATTCAGGGCAGCTCTGTCACATCTCACTTTTGGACTTCCTGTATCATCCATGTTTGAAACCTGTCCTTGAGAAGTTGAATTCCCTAGTTTGTCCTCAATGCCGGGTCGAGGTCCCAGGCTAAAAGATGCTTCCTTTATCAAATAGTTTAGTAAGTTAGACTGTAAGTACATACTTCTGCTAATCACAGCTATTAAGCTAATAAAACTACAGATCTATTCAACTATTTTATTTGTTAATCTAACAGCCGATTTAAGCTATGTCTATATACCGTATAATAGATTTATTTTATTTTATTGCGAAATGGACAGATTAACAGTTATGCAGGAGAACAAGAGTGTCTTTGAATTTCTATTACTGCAGCTCCTTCTAAAAAATCCCTCAATTGCTCCAAGATCCCAAAAACTGAATAGGCAATTTGTAGGTTTGGCAGACAGACAACCCAAAAAGTGACTAGATTAAGTAGAGGCATGGGGGACAACTCAAACATCAGATCCCACAAACCTGAAAGAATCAGACTGGAAATTTAACAAAGATTCCTACTTTAAATACACCTTCTGTGGACATGACTGACACCTGAACATTTCTCCTGTATTATTAGTAATGTATTATTTGAATTTCTACTATTTAAAAATCTGTCCAAGCAAACCCCAGACTGTAAAAGAAAGAAAACATTAAGAACGTGACAACCTAATTTACACATTACCAGCAGCAATGTCAGAACTGTACAGAAATGGCTATCCCACTATGTTCCCAGTAATGTTTTAAGTTTGTGGATCATTTACAAAGTAGCAATGTGGCTACTTACTTTTTAAAATCTAATTACTATTACTCACAACTTGTTTCTTTCAATACATTACTGCTACATGTTTATGCAGAAAAATCTCATTCATACAAAGCATTACACTTCACAAAAGAGAGTAGGAAACCATAGTGCCCAATTAAATGCCAATAAGTTTCCAACTGAATATTGTTCATTGTTTCAACAAGAATTCAAGAGTATTGAACAATTTACTATTTTATCACTAGAGACAAGCTTCCAAAGAAAACAAAATTCACCATTTGAATTGGTTTTGAGATGCAATGTTCTAATTTAACACCCATGGCCCAACTTGGCACTTCTAAGAACCATAAATACTTCTTCTTGCCTGTGTAAATATTTTCTACCAACTACAAAAGGACACAGGCCAGCATCCTGTCAAGGCAAAACAGCAACATAATTACAGCACTGTGGAGAGATCAAGAAAAAGGCCATAGGTATAGCCACCATTGAAGGATAGACTAGTCAAAACCAGTGCTTTCTTTCTATATGACACAAGCTGCTGTATGCTGTTCAATGTAGTGCACCAATAAAATCCAGCAATTTTTAAAAATTCATGTTATTTTCTACTGTGTTATTGTTATGTTAGTCTGTTAGGATTTGATATTGCCGTTTATGTATTATGTTTTTATTTTTGCCTTGGTTTTTGTATTGTATTTTCTTTTCTGTTAGATTTTTGAGATTGCTGTTCATGTATTATGTATTATTTTTGCTTTGGTTTTGGTACTGTGTTTTATTTTCTGTAAGCCACCCTGAGTCCTGTTTGGAGAGGGGGGTGGGATATAAATAAAGTTTGTTGTTGTTGTTGTTGTTATGGCCATGATCATTTGTTCTCACCTCATCAATAACTGCACACACTGAACAGCTAATTTTAAGTGAGAACAGAATAAATTTAGGAAGGTCAGAAACTATTAGGGCATAGTGAGAGAAATATTAGGGTGATAAAGATGCTGTTAAATGATTCGTCTACTCTTCCATCTCAGAGGAAAAAAATCTGTAGAAGCAGAGTGAAAAAGTACTTTACACTTGAGAATTACAGTGTCCCTGCCATGTTAACTGCTATGTCTCAATGCTATGGGATCATGGAAGTTGTAGTCTTACAAGGCCTTTAGCTTTGTGGAACTACAATAAGACAGTGGTGATGTCCCACCAAACTACAAAGCCCAGGATTCTATAGCACTGAGTTATGGCAGTTAAAGTGGTGTCAAACTGCATTAATGCTACAGTGTAGATGTTTCTTAAAATTGACAGGCAGGGAAAAGTAGGAAATAGTAACCAAGATCAAGTAACTGTGACTTTTGGAGATGGGGGATATTATTCCAAACAATTCCTCTTCTGTGTTATGGCTGATTCAGAAAAAGATATCCTGGAGTTTTAAGGTTTCTCTATGCTCTTTTTTCAGGCTTGTTACATTTACAGTATTTGCGTGTACCAATTTAAGCCGAAACATGGAGAGAAGCGTCTAGTCTCACTCTCCTAAGGGTAAGTCCCATGGAGGTCAGTGGTGCTTACCTCTAAATAAATATAGGATTGTATCTGAAGTGAAAACCACATTCTCAGATAGCTGAATTATTTTAGCAGACAACAGAGAACACAATAGGCAAGGAATGGAACAACTTCAAATAAATAGATTTGAAGATAACACTTTGAAAGCTATAAACAATTAAGAATGTATGGTCAGAGGGGTCCAATTTCACACCTCTCAAGAGTTCAATAGAATGCCACAATCTGAAAAATGTGTAGACTGCATGTTCTAGAAGAGGGTGAGGTCTCTCTAAGCCTGGAACCTTTTACATTAGGCAAATTCTGTTAAGCAATGAGTATCCATTAACCATTGCTAGCATAAAATAAGTAAAAACTGTTTGAGCATCTGAGGGTTTTTATACTGAGCAATTTCCCTTTCCTGGTGCAACTCCCTGCAATAGATTCCACCCCAGGGGGTTTGTAACCTTGGGAAACTTGTTCCCAATCAAGCCAAAGTGGGGATGGTGAAAGTGAAACAATGCTCTCAGTTTCATGGTAGTTAGGATCTAACCACATCTGATTTAAAATAATTAAATTCTCTATGACATTGTCAAGACTTCTAACTTGCTATTTTTTTCTTGAAGTAAGATTCAGAGTAAAAACATTTATCTGCAGAAGAAAGCATATTTGCTACTACCTTAATTACTAAAAAGCAGCTTACCGTTGTATCTGAAACTTCAGACTGCACATCTATGTTTAGCGATGTGCTCTCAGCTACAGAACCAGATCCCACAGCTGAATCTACAGTTCGACCATCCTCCTCCTCATTCTTTCTAGCCTGGAATATTTTAGTGGCATAAACAAAAAACTATATAAATGGAGTAATAAAGGGAAAGTTAATGGGAAACTGCTACATAATAAACTCATTCCCCATGCTATTTCCAAGAATGTTTGTATAGAGTTGAAAGATAATTTAAATTCTTAAACTTACTAGTATCTTCTGTAAAAATTTCAGGTAAGATTTCTCCTGTTCTTTCAGATGATTTATGAGATGTGATAAGCGTTCAACGTTAGCAGATCTCTCATTTTTCTCAACAAGATCATCTCGCATGGAACTGGCTTTTGCAATATAGTCACGAATTTGAACTAATCTGCTCACAATCTGAAAATGTCACAAGACAGTAACAAATATATACAGAGTTAAAAAGACTTCAGGGTCAAATGTAATGATCTGCTGGTGGTTGCCCTATGGACTGTGCAAAAATTTTCTTCGGAGGGGGGGGGGTTACCCCATCCAGTTTTTTTTAAAACACCCATTCTACTATTACAAATCCAGCATGAGATATGTTCATGTAGGACAACAAGAGCACCACAACAAAACACAAAGTTATGGTAACCTTGTAAGCTAAACTTAAATTTAAGCTAGTGAATTAAGGATATAAGTCAGGATGGGTAAAGTGCACCCAGCTATACCATTCCATGCAGTCTTTGACTCATCCAGATAGCCCATTTTCTTAAAACAAAAAAGAGAAGAAAGGGAAAGATAAACAAAGTCAGTTGCTTCTTTTGTATGTCCCTTGGGTAGCGATTCTCCTTTTAAATAGGATCCAGAACTCGCCTTGCACCATTTAATATTAAAAATAGCTGCTTTTCAAGTCCAGAAGTGGAATTCCACATTTACCACCCCAATATAGGGATATGTGTGGATAATTATATAAATAATGTATAACATTAATAAGCATCCCTTTGTGTGACTGCTAACAGTTCAATCTCATTTATTATTATTATTATTATTATTATTATTATTATTATTGCTGTTATTAGCATCATCATCATCATCTTCACTGGGTTCAGGTTACTCCCAGTTAAGCATACATAGACTAAGAATGTATGAAAAAATGAAAATGTTAAAGGGAGAAATTCAATCAGCCCAAGTCCTACATTTTCTACTCATAAAACTTGTTTGGTTAGCTGTCCTGAAGTCTCTAAAGCAGGCTTTCCCAACATGGTGCCATGCAGAAGGTGGGGACTACTACTGTCACAACTTGATCATTAGTCATGTTGACTGGGGGTTTTGACTGAAGTCCAAAGCGTAAAGAGGGTGTCTGGTTTGTGAACACTACTCTAGAAGCAAATCATGATTCAATAAAAATGTATCCTTGCATAAAAAAACCAAAATTGCAAAATTGTTTGACTGATATACTACTACTTTCCAAGACTTATAGCTTATGATCTCTTAAACTATGGGTTGCTGTGAGTTTTCTGGGCTGAATGGCCACGTTCCAGAAGCAATCTCTCCTGAGATTTCGCACACATTTATGGCAGGCATCCTCAGAGGTTGAGGGGTCTGTTGGAAACTAGGCAAGTGAGATTTATATATCTGTAGAATGTCCAGGGTGGGAGAAAGAACTCTTGTCTGGAGGGAATGCTTCTGGAACATGGCCATACAGCCAGGAAAACTCAAAGCAACTCAGTGATTCCGGCCACAGACACCTTCGACAACACTCTTAAATGTTGCCTCCCTTTCATAATAAAATTTTGAAAAAAGTTTGTATTGTAAGAAACACAACAATTACACATTCTATTCAAATTTTGTTTCTACATGAATCAGAGACATGAAGCAAAAACTGTACCTGACTACTGTCCACTGCAGGTTCACCTCTTCCATCTTCTTCAATTGAGACAGGACAATTCTGCAGCAAATCCTTACTCAAGGCAGCTGTAATTAAGTCTTTATATTGTGATGAACCAGCAGTTTCCTGTGTTTGAGAACTTGTAGCACCATCCTTGCCTTTGTTAGTATTAATTTGTAGTGAGAGGAAGTTGAACGGCTTTCTGTTTTCATTTAGCTGACGTTTGTTGTTAGCAGCTGTTGCTCTTCCCTGGGAATCACTTCCAATACTTCTCTACAAGAATAAAATATCAACCAATTACTTAAATCATCTTTTAAATATAATCTACTGTTCTTCAAATCTAAAGATAAAAATATGAACAAATAAGTGATAGCTATTGAATCATGTATCATCATAAAATACATATAGGAATGCAGTCTAGAGTTGCCCATCCCCTACTTCAACCGCTTGAGTTTAGCTCCTGTCCTGCCCTTCTCATTGCCCATCCTAGTTCTCCTGGTTCTCTATTCTCTTGTTTACCATAGCTACAGGTAAGAATAGTGGCAGAGGACTGAACTGAGAAGTTGCCAAATGCAATGTAATCCATAGCTTCATTTTATTATCCCAGTTCCTTATCAGTCTGAGTTATGAGATGATGGCAGAACAAACATCAGGACCCTTTGACAACTGCCAGTTTTACACACAAACACATGCTGACTCTTTTATCAAAAGAACATGGAAGGTGAACCAACTGACAAGACACACATCTGGTCATGTTTTCTAGCTTGCAACCTGAGGTAGCATTCAAGGCATTGCTATCTTCTACTTCTACCTGCCCTCAATCCCTATTAAAGAAACAAGTAAAAAAACACAGCATTCCTGAGCTAGACACATTGACACTTCCTTCCAAGGTTAAGAGTTACAGTTGTGATAAATGTGCTATAAAACCCCTGTTGCATCTCTAGAAATGTAACTGAGGGGAAATGCATTTTAAAAGTGTGAATCAAAAGTATTATAATCAAGTGAAATGGGCGATGCAAACAAATGCATTAAACCCTAGGCACATACAGGTCCAGAATCTAGTTACAACCAATTAAATCTATGCACACAAACATAATAATGCTTTCAAGTTATAATCACCTTGTTTCTTAAAATAACATAAACAATATTAATAGGCTTTCAGGACCACATTTTTCTTTTGAGTACAAACACAAACCTGATCCAAATCACTGAAGTTTATTCTTTGTTTAAGTTTTTCTAGTTCTGCCTGCTCTGGGACAGACATCTGAGTCATGTATCTTGTATGAGGAAAGCTATGAGGAGCCTTCGATTTCCTTCGTCCAACTCCTGGAGTGGATTCTGGAGAGATGTCATTAGTAAGTCTTGTTTCACTTTCACTAGAAACTTTTTTCTTGTTTTTTTCTGAAGATTTGTTTGGTCTCTTTGGTTGACCGCCCCAGCTCTAAACACACACACAAAACAAATAATACACACATTCACAAAATAAAAATAAACTTTATTGCCATAACTGAATAAAAAATTATTATCCGAAGCTACTGGTTCTTAGCCAAAAAAACCCACACAAAATAAGAAGCATTTAAATTAAATTGTATTATATTTCCCATTTAAAACAAGACAGCAGGACACTATCATTTACAAAAACTCTGGACAGAACACTAAAATAGATTGCATGCTTATCTTTAGCTATCCTAATGAAAAGAACCACAATTTATTGATTACTAGCTGTGCCCTGCCACGCGTTGCTGTGGCCTTTAGTAAGAGTTTTGAAGTCTCTGCCTGGCCTCTCTTCCTTCCTTCACTCACCCTCTTTCCCTCTTTCTCTCTCTCACACTCCTTCCTTTCCCCTCTTTCTCTCTCTCTCTCTCTCTCTCTCTCTGGCATCCCTCCTTCCTCCCCCTTCTTTATGCTTGTGTGTAAACTTGAGTATTTTCTGTTGGTCATGGGGGTTCAGTGTGGCATGTTTGCCCCAATTCTGTCGTTGGTGGGGTTCAGGATGCTCTTTGAGTGTTGGTGAACTCTGAATCCCAGTGACTACAACTCCCAAATGTCAAGGTCTATTTCCCTCAAACTCCATCTGTGTTCATATTTGGGCGTATTGAATGCTTTGGTCCGGATCCATCATTGTGTCTTCAAAGTCGCCCCCTCCCTTCTCCCCACCCCTTCCCTCCCTGAGTCACTCCTTCCCTCCTCCCACCCCCTCCGGAAAGACACGCCCCCTCCCTTCGCCCCACCCCTTCCCTCCCTGATTGACTCCTGGAAGGAAAGGGGTGGGGCGAAGGGAGGGGGCGTGTCTTTCCGGAGGGGGTGGGAGGAGGGAAGGAGTGACTCAGGGAGGGAAGGGGTGGGGAGAAGGGAGGGGGCGACTTTGAAGACACGCCCCCTCCCTTCGCCCCACCCCTTTCCTCCGTGACTCACTCCTTCCCTCCTCCCTCCCTCTCCGGTTAGACACGCCCCCTCCCTTCGCCCCACCCCTTTCCTTCCAGGAGTGTCTAGGGAGGGAAGGGGTGGGGCGAAGGGAGGGGGCGTGTCTTTCCAGTGGGGATGCGGCGCGGCGAGGCTTGGAGTGTGCAGAGCAGGGCTTGGTGGCAGCGTGGGAGGGGTAAGATGAAGGAGGGGGTGGAGGGAAGGGGGCGGGGGGAAGTTGCGTTGTTTGTGTGTGTGTGTGTGCCGTGGGGAAGTGCGGTGACGTGTTCGCGCTGGGCGGGGCGAGGGAGGGAGGGAAGTGCGTTGGCCGTTCGGCCATGTGTGCGCGCGCGCTGGGGACTTTGCGCCAGTGCGCATGCTCAGTTGTTTTGCCGTTTTTTCTGTGTGTGGTTGTGTTGTTTTGATTTCTGACTGGATTAGTTTGTACCTAGTGGGTTGTCCTTGGGGCATGGCAATTTTGGTGGAGTTTTGTGGAGGGGTTTTAGAGTTTTGCTGCCCCGTTGGACGCCAGTAGGAAATTTATAGATATAGATAAACACTATAAATGTTAAAAGGGTTTACTATGACATATAATATACATAACAGCTTAATATTATAATATTATATTTTAATACAAACACCAAGAATTGTAGTTTTACCGTATTGTTCAATCGATCATCAAGACTCTCATTACTCCAATTGGGTAAGTCATGATCATCCATTCCTTCTTCAAAAGGACCACCTCCAGCTGCCATGTTGTATAATCAACTGCTAACAATAATTACCTTCAAGAGAAAACACACAGTTTAAGTGAATCACTCTTCTAGTTAAGCTTAGTCACTAAGCCAGTTCATATGTAACAGGAGCCCCTGTTTTCCTGCAACATTATCAGTCTTGTGACTATACAGGTGCTTTCACCTGTATAACAAAACAAACACAATTTCCATTATATCTCACCTGACCCACTTGACTATTATGCAATGTTCTACTAATTTAATTACAGATCATAATAAACACAAGCTTATTTAATGGAAAAAAATCAAACCACTCTTTGGGCCAGTTTTAAAAATTACTTCCTAAAAATAAATATATTTCAAGAAATATTGGGCTGAAAGATAGCAACAACATTCATACAGAAAGCCTCATCAAAGTTTCATCATTTTTCTTAAGGAGTAGTAATAATGACTTCTACAACAAGAGTTAGCAAGGGTTGCCCTGGGCCCTATGTCACCTCCTGAGGCGATCTTTGCAGGTCTTGACCCCTTTCAAATTTGACAGACTGCTCCTAAGGTAAACTCCTGGAAGTTTCTAAGAACAGAAATTCATCTTCTAAATTAATTGCATCCATGCACACATAAGCATATATAATTAAACATCAATTTTTCAAAACTGGACATTAACTTTTGACACTCATTTATTTTAGTTGGTGATTGCATACTGGGCAGGTTCTGTGGGCTCACATAGAATTCAAAGGACAGAAATATGCCCCCTAGTATCTATTGCAGTTGTCTATCATTGTTGTTTGTATAAGATATATCTTGAATTAGAAAGATTACATGTGTATGTGATTAAGAATATTTATACATTCTTTATTTGCTTTTCTGACTAGCTGCTTCATTCTCATCTTCCTAGAAGCTATTTTCAGAAGAATCCTCTTATAAAAGCTTTGCTGCCCTGTCATGCTCTTTCACTTCCATTAGAAGTTACAAGATGCCACACAGGTTGGCACTAATCTCCTGGATAGATATGTGGTTCCTTATCAACTAGTACCAAGTAAAACCTATGATGAATGGAAATGCATACTAAAATGTCTCCAACTTTTCACTTTTACTCTTGCAGAAAAATACTGACAAAATATCAGAGTCCTTTTTCTGATACATTTTCAGTGAAATCTGTTTATTTGGAAGACAATTCTGCAGTTCAATGAGACACACCACTGGATATGTGGGTGCAAACTTGAACCTTATGATCTCATTAAAATGGGAGTTGTGTGTGTTAAAGTTTTCAGTGCCAGAACCCTAAACAGAAATAATGAAAGTGCTAGCATTACAAAACATTCCTTTTAAAATGTGTTTACAATACAAAAAAAGTCAAAAATGCCCTTTCAAAATTAGGTATCAGAGAACCATTAACAAGCACGTGGAATTTTCCTATGAGCTACACCAACTTACCTGAAATGGAAAGCCACAGACACAACTCAATTCAATTCTCTAAATAAACTGCTATCATCAAATATGGGCAGTAATGTAATATCAAACTGTGAAAAGCAAGTTTCCAATAGGTGTTGTCAGTATCTAAGATCAGCCACAAGAACTCTTTTATCACCTTATGAACTGCCACAAACAAAAGGGCATAGCCAATGTTTAAAGAAAAAATATGATACCCTATGGTTGCAATCCAGTAGATACTGTTTCAAGACAGGAGGTTGGACAAAAGAGGGTGAATTAATTCAGGAATGCTGCTAAAAGGTAACTGTTTTATTAGAAAAATTACAGGTAAATGTTGCTAAAATATAGTTGTTACTTATAGTAATTAGTTATTATGATATAGCACAAGTGTTCTTCAAGGTCAAAAGGCAGTATTTGCTAGGAACTGAAGCCTGCTATACGCATGGGATTAGGCTCCTAAAACACTGGCTCTATCTTTAATAGGAATTCTCTTCCACATATGGTTTGTCCCATGCGGAATAATAATGGAGGCACAGTTGCTCCTGCCAGGCCAATGCAACCAGGGACTCAGACACCATGCCAATTTCACATGTTGTGTAAAAAACAATACAATACCACTTGTTATTCAAAAGTAGCAATGTTTCTATTCAACTATTAGTTTGACTTGGTAGATATTTTGCACATATTTTTATCAGTCCAATTTAAAACCATGCCTCGGAGTTAACAACATCCCTTAAAAACAATGAGCAAGAAGCAGCATCTTAATCAGCTAAATCAAAAATGATGGAAGGGTACTAACATTTTTATTGTGATATATTTTGGACTACAGCACATTTTATCTGATCCATGAAGTTTTAATTCCACTGTGATTGCTACACATAGAGATTGGTATTTTCTACAGTGGTGGTGTAGATCTAAGTAACTTATTACATTAGTTACTGTATGCAAAAGTTTGCCCATTACATAATATAAACTGTTTTTTAAAAGTCCACAGCTAAATTTCAGTGCTAATGACATGGATCTCTGTGATAAATAGCTCAGATAATATAAGGAAGACAGCTTTAAATGGGAGGCATTGGTCAGAATGCTGTACATCCTATGCATAATGGTAAGTTACTATATAATATATATAACCAACATTAAAAAATAAACATCAATTTTAAGATGCTGTATGAATAGAAACCCACTGGAGCTGCAGTGGTGCAATGGGTTAAACCTTTGTGCTGGTTGCACTGCTGACCTGAAGATTGGGTTGCTGACCTGAAGGTTGCCAGTTTGAATCTGCAAGACTGAGTGAGCTCCCATTTGTCAGCTCCAGCTTGCGGGACATGAGAGAAGCCTCCCAGCAGGATAGTAACACATCCGGGCATATCCCGGACAATGTCTCTGTAGGTGGCCAATTCTTTCACATCAGAAGCAACTTGCAGTATGTTCTCAAGTTGCTTCTGACACAATAAAAAAACAGAAACCTACCAGATGCTCTTGGGCAAGCCATATCCTCTCAGTCTCTGAGGAAGAGGATGGCAAACTGAAGGGGACAAGGACCTGATTTAAGTAATATGAAAAGTAAATAGTACGAAGAGATGAAGGTTTGATTAATAAATAGTCTCTTTTAGTCATGTAAAGAAATCAACTGAAGGGCCTGGGAAATACCACAGGAAGGGGAGGAGAGAGAGAAAGACCAGGCAATAAATGCCAGATGGAGGCAATACCCTCAGATGTAAGGAAGGAAGGAAGTTCAAACAAAATGCACCAAATGGAAGCATAAGACATTAAAGAAAGTTCAAACCAAATTCAGGGCCCTTCTACACAGCCATATAACCCAGAATATCAAGGCAGAAAATCCCACATTGTGATAACCCAGATCAAAGTAGATATTGTGGGATTTTCTGCCTTCATATTCTGGGATATAGGGCTGTGTGGAAGAGTCCTTAGTTATCTGAGTCCACACTGACATATATTCCAGATCAAAACAAAAAATGTGGGATTTTATTCAGCTGTGTGGAAGGGGCCTCAGAAAGTCTAAACAGTGTTTGATGGGTTGAATGATCTGCAATCGAAAAATTGTTGGGAAATTGCTTACCTGAATTATTTAGGTAAACAACTGATGAAAGATTTATGGTCAAGAAAAAGGTAAAGAGGAATATGAAAGGAAAATGTGTGAAAGTGTGAAACATACTTGGAAATCTTATAAAAGCTTCACTTGAGCTAGGTCTCTGTGTGGCACTTTCTTCCTTTGCTCATCTGACAGGCCTTATTTGCAAATAAATCTGTTGTATTTTTTTCTCCGCACCTCTCAGGGCCCTTCCAGGCAGCCATATAACCCAGAATAACAAGGCAGAAACCCCCACAATATCTGTTTTGAACTAGGTTATCATAGGGCCCTTCCACGCAGTCCTATAGCCCAGAATATCAAGGCAGAAAATCCCACAATATCTGCTTTGATCCTGGGTTATCTGAGTCCACACTCAGATCATGTAGGATTTTTCTGCCTTGATGTTCTGGGAAATAGGGCTGTGTGGTAGGGCCCTGGGTTACATGGCTGTGTGGAAGGGCCCTAAGCACCTGCTGTACAATAAGGAACCCCCACGAGGGATCTGAAAGGCCAACGCTCCACTGTGAGCGAGTCCCCTGCGTAGGATGTAGAACTACAGTTCCCAGGAGGAAACTGTAGAAAGAGCCCCACTTCAAAGCAGATATTGTGGGATTTTTTTTTTTGCCTTGATATTCTGGGTTATATGGCTGTGTCAAGGGCCCTCAGTCCACACTGCCATATATTCCAGTTCAAAGCTGATAATGTGGGATTTTATACAACTGTGTGGAAGGGGCCATAGTGTCAGATTAGGAACAGATTGAGAGGTTTCAGAATTTGCCTTTGAAAGGGGCAACACAACCAAATGCCAACAAAAACCCCATAGATCAGAACAGATCTGAAGGCACAACAACGAACACATAAACAGTACTGGGTTGTTGTAGGTTTTTTTCGGGCTATATGGCCATGTTCTATTTATTTATTTATTTAGCAGTTTTGTATACTGGTCTTCTCACCTCCATCGAGGGACTCAGGCCGGTTTCCAACCACAATATTACAAACAATCATTAAAAACATCATATTCCATATTAAACTAAAACATTAAAATAGCAAAATACAGTCATATAATTACAATGGTCAGTCGTCACAATAAAATCGTTGTTCGTCATCATCCATCCATATCGCAGGATATTGACTCATTCGTCGAATGCCAGTTTCCAGAGCCAAGTTTTCACCTGTTTTCTGAACATCAAGATAGAAGGGGCAGTTCTGATCTCCAGTGGGAGAGAGTTCCAGAGCCGAGGGGCCACCACTGAGAAGGCCCTGTCCCTCGTCCCCACCAGACGCTTCTGAGGCTGGTGGGACCGAGAGCAGGGCTCCTCCAGATGATCTTAACAGTCTTGAGGGTTCATAGGGGTGAAACGTCTCCTGACGTTTCACCTGCATCTATGGCAAGCACGTCAGGAGAGAATGCCTCTAGAACATGGCCATATAGCCCGAAAAAACCTACAACAACCCAGTGATTCCGGCCATGAAAGGCTTCGACAATACATAAACAGAACCTTAACTGAGGCCCACCTGAGGCTGAGCTGCCCCATTCGGAATATAGGAGTCCTTGGGTGCTTTCCCCCACCCGCTTACCACGGCCAAGATCTTACCTGCCTCCAAACTAGAAGTTGTGTCAGAAATGGAGGGTCACGGGGGGGGGGGGGGGGGCAGTTAAAGGGCGGAGCCAGCGAGCCCGCGCCTGCCCTCAAACGGGCGGCAAAGTCCAGGGCAAGGGGAGGGGGCGGGAACGAACAAGACTGGCAGCTTGGCGGTGGGCCAATCAGGAAAGGCGATGGAACCGTCGCCCTTAGCAACAAAGGCAGCCCCCGACCCTGCCTCCGCAAAAGAGGCGGAGCCTATCAAAGGCGCTCGCGGAGGCGGGAGGGGGAAAATGAAGGAAAAGCCAAGGAGCGCGTGGCCCGCGACGAGGCCACGCCCCCTTCATGCAAATACGGCCTCGCGCGCGCCGCGGCCCACTGAGAAACAACGCCCCCATTATTCCCTCAGAGATGTTGTGAAGGGTCTCTCTCAGGAAGGAAGGAACTAAGACGAGGAATGCCTCTGCTTTACCTGGGAATGGCGCTCTTTCCCTTGTTGTAGAAAGCGCGGCTTGAGGGAAAAGCCCCCCCAACCTTCACACAGAAACTCTAACGGCTGCCACCGCCGCCATCTTGGTCTTCCTTCCGTTGACAAAAAAAGGGGGAAGCGAAAGGGGGCGGGCGGATACACACACCGTTACTTAGTAACCTCTGCCACGGCAACGCCGACGAGGCTCTGGCGCGCGGGCATCCCCGCCCCCGCCAGGGTCACGTGGCCGGCGAGGCAGGTGCAGTGCGGCCTCTTCTCTGCCCAACAACCCCGAAGGCGGAGCCGTGCGTAGGACTACGCTTCCCAGAATGCAGTGCGCGGGAGGCTGCCTCAAGCCCTCGGCGCTCCTCGACAGCAGGCCTCCTGGGAACTGTAGTTCTACATCCTACGCAGGGGACTCGCTCACAGCGGAGCGTTGGCCTTTCAGATCCCTCGTTGGGGTTCCGTATTGTACAGCATGTACAATAGTGGATGTGGCTCTTTATGAGACATGCTGCATTATCACGGGGTGTCTGCGCCCTACACCACTGGAGAAATTACACCACTTAGCCGGTATTGCACCACCTGACATCCGCTGGGAAGTAGCAGCCAATAGTGAAAGGACCAAGGCAGAGGCATCTCCAGCTCATCCCCTCTTTGGGTATCAGCCAGCAGGCCAACGACTTAAATCAAGAAATAGTTTTCTAAGATCTACAGAGACACTCGCTGGAACACCTCAGCAAGCGAGAGTCCAAAAGTGGCAGGCTCAAACCCAGAACCTCAACCAATGGCTGATACCAAATGAGAGACTCCCCCCTGGGCACACAGAGTCCTGGGCGACTTGGAAGGCACTGAACAGACTGCGCTCTGGCACCACGAGATTCAGAGCCAACCTTCAGAAATGGGGCTATAGAGTGGAATCCTCGACATGCGAGTGCGGAGAGGAGCAAACCACTGACCACCTGCTGCAATGCAACCTGAGCCCTGCTACATGCACAATGGAGGACCTTCTTGCAGCAACACCAGAAGCACTCCCAGTGGCCAGATACTGGTCAAAGTGGAGGAGACGTGGTTTTAAAAAGGGAATTTTCAGATATTTCCCCAATGCCCATATGTCATGATTTACTGCCATATTGGCCTATTTCTACAGTAGGCCTATGTTATCCTGTCTTCTTGGCACAGAAAATGCTGATTGTTTGAGAAATTATCCTGTCTTCTTGTTCACAGAAAATGCTGATTGTTTGAGAAATCAGTGCTCCAAAGAAGAAGTTACTTTATCTTTAGTTTTATATGCATTTCTCTTTTTATTAGTCTTTTGTCAAACTATATTAAATAGTCTTAAATAGTATTGTCGAAGGATTTCATGGCTGGAATCACTGGGTTGTTGTAGGTTTTTCAGGCTATATGGCCATGTTCTAGATGCATTCTCTCCTGATGTTTCGCCTGCATCTATGACAGGCATCCTAAGCGGTTGTCAGACCTCACAATCTCTGAGGATGCCTGCCACAGATGCAGGCGAAACGTCAGGAGAAAATGCTTCTAGAACATGGCCATATAGCCCAAAAAACCTACAACAACCCAGTCTTGAATAGGTTTTAAAAAGAGTATTTCTCTCATGCTGGTATACAAATATATATTCTATCCAGCAGGTGGCAGAAGAATATAAGGAAATAAACACACATTTTCTGTGTATGGTTTGACAAACTGACTACAGATTAAGGCCCCTTCTACACTGCTATATGAAATCTAGATTATCTGCTTTGAACTGAATTATCTGGCAGTAAATCATATAATCCAGTTCAAGGGAGATAATATGGATTATCTGATTTGATAATCTGGGTTATATGGCAGTGTGGAAGGATCCTAAGAGCTTCCAAAAATGTCTAGCAAGTAAGGACTGGTCTGGGAGACTTTATATTCTTGGTTCAGGAATAGATGGGAAGTTATTTTTATTTCGTATCGAAAGCATTGCATAAATTAGTATAAAACTAATAAAAATAGAAAGAGCGCAGGCGGCTAAATACCTTTTAACCAAAAATGGGCAACAGCAATGGCATTGTCTGTAGGTTCCAACAATTCTTCCTCTGTACATAAGGCAGGGCATAGTGGACAAGCATACAGATGCAGAGTTGTCTGTTCTGCTCCATAGTCATACAAGGTGTGGGATTCTTCTAGGTAGTGCCATTTTGCCAGGTTGTCTTTTGATCTGCCCGCTCCACTTCTGAGTCTGTTCAGGGACTTCCAAGTTGCCCATTCTTGGTTTGCCCCTGGAGGAATACCCTTGTGGAAGGGGGGGGGGGTCATCCAGTTGGGATTTCCTGATTTAGCTGCCCAGAGGAATACCCTTGCTGTTGCTGGGGGGACGCCAAGAGAAATGGTATTCTCATAAAGCTTTTCCTTTATTTGAGTCTACTGGGAGGAGGCTGGTAGCCATGTAGTGGGTGGCTTTCACAGTGTTCAACCTTATTTCTTTCACATTTAGCAGCAACTTCCCGTCGCACATCGGTGGGGACGGGACGGACGGACGTAAGAGCCTCCTCGAAGCGTTTCTCATAAACGGCTAATCTTTCAAAATCCAAAAGCATTGCTTTTAAACATATAGAAGGGGAATTGGAAACCATAACATTCATTCTTCAAGACTTAAACATTTTGGTTTACCTTGTGATTGTTTTTCAAATTTCTTTTATTTTCTCTCCTTCAATTTGAGTAGATACTGAGATCCAGCTATAAAATTGTCCTTCATAAAAATATAAATTCTATTCAGCTTGAAAGCCTCTTGTTCTGAAAAAGATCTATCCAAAGAAATCAGGGAGAACTCAGTCATGAATATGCAGATTTGCAAACAATTGTTGATAAGGAAAAATGATGAAGAATAGTTTATAGCTCTAAAGCTTTTACCTAACTGCAATGACATGCTTGTCTTACTACATTGTGATTACATGTTTTTCTAGCTTTCTAAAATAATACTTAGATGCCCCAAGTGCTTTTGTTTTTGTTTGTTTGTTTGTTTGTTTGTTTTGAAAGGCCAGGAATGAAATGTAATACATTAAAGATTGTTTGTACCTATTTTTTCTATTAGTAAAGCTGGAGTTTGTGAATACTAGACCCAATTAAATCAGAAATTATCTGCTCCTTAGACATAGTTACTGTTCTGTCGCCGCTAGACCTGAAATGAAGTGCCTTTAAGAGAGGATGTATGGCTTGGATCCAGTGGGAAGCCAGGGGGCCTGAAAAGAAGCCTTTAGAGAAATTTCCCTTATTAAACAGTCTTTATGAGGCTTGAGCTTAAATATAACAGTCTTTTATTGATAAACAAACAGGAATTGTAAAACTTTCTTAACAATCTCTTGGCTCCTGCAATCTTGTTCACAGGGAACAGGCACTATCTTCAAAAACCTTGTTTAAAGGAAAATTCTCCTTTCTAGCTCCTCCCAGGCTGCTGTGAACCTAAACCTTATTGATGTGGATTCACTACCGGGCTGAACTACATCTCAACGCCGAGTGAACCTATCAAAAGGCTTGTAATCACTTAGCTGCTTTTATAGTTAGAGCTGTTATTCCCTCTGGAATTCCTCAGGGCTGTAAGGCCGTTTCCCCGGAACCTTTGGGAATCTTCAGAGGCTCTCAAGACTGTTCTCCCACGGAAAGTCCTAAGGGATGAAGCCTTTGTACAGAAGGACGTCTGTATACATCCTCTGCATTGACTTCCTTTGCTGAGACTAACTGAAAAATGGCCCCTTCCCTCCAAAAAACCCAGAGAGGGGCGGGACCAGGGATCCTAACTATAATAGACAGGTAGCTTGCCCTATGAGTGCAAACTATAACAGGAAGCCACCCCGCTGCAAAATCCCAAGCCTGGGATTGCAAACCAACATTTAATTCAAAGCAAATAAAATTGGAGCTCCTGGAACAGCTGTTCCAGAACAGTTACAGAAAACACAGCAGTTAGTACTAAATTCTGATACTGCATGGCAATGAAATGAAAATTTCAGGGTTCAATGTGCTTTAGTTATGGAAAAATTGAAACGAGAACCTAATTCTTTCATCTAATTTTGAAGTTGAAACAGGTACGTTCTAACTGCAGCCATCTATATATAGGAAAAGGCCCCATGTATGTAAGTCGGGACACGCCTCTTGTACGTAAGTATAGATATATAGAAGATATATATAGGCATAGATATAGATTCAACATGAGAATTCAGAAATCTTGCAGAAGTCATAATATGGTGTTTGAAAAACTAAAAAAGGAGGTGAATATGATGCATCTTAGTCTCTGCATATAACTTGGGAGAAAGATCCACATAAATTGTTAGACTAGACTAAGGCTGGATCTATACTGCCTTATATCCCAAGATCGGATCCCCAGGCGCTTCCAAACAGCACAAAATCAGTGTTCTAAATCGGAAGGGGGAGTTAAAAAATCCCAGGATCTGGCCTGTCAGTCCCAGGATTGGGTCCTCCACTGTCCTCACAGGCTTCCTCTGTATCAGAACAAGATGGAAGGCAGACATGGACATCCAACAGAAGGGTTTTTAAAATTCAGTCAGTTATGCACTAGACTGAATATGTACATATGCAAATATCTTAATATAAATATAAGCAGATTCATATGTGCACATATGAGGTCCAGCACATAATGGACGGATTTCTTTTTTTAAAAAAATTTCCATCGGATCTCCCTCTTCCCCCAATTGTTAATTCAACCTCTGTTTAAGATTATAAAGTTTAAAATAAAGAGTTTCAGAGAGTTCTAATTGCTTTCCACTTGTTCTTCCTTTGAGCCACCTGTGTGTCCATTTGACATCACAATAAGCTGATCATCTGTTTCAGGCTTTTTAAAAGTGCATGTGCGCTGGAGCAGTCTATACGGGGAGGGAAGGAAAGTACATGTTTTTTGTGAGTGCAGGGATATACAGCGATGCAAATATGCACATTTTCCATCCAGAATCAGGATATAAGCAGATTTTTTAAACACGTGTTCTTGTCCGCACAGATTTACCCCTAGTGTCATTTAGTCCCCTCCCCCCCCAGATTATCTGGTTATCCCAGATTGCCTGGTAGTGTAGACTCATATAATCCAGTTGAAAGCAAATAATCCAGAATCAGATCCTGGAGTATAGGGCAGTGTAGATCCAGTCCAGGAAAAGACATTTCACCTAAACATTAGGAAGAATTTCCTGACAGTAAGAGCTGTTTGTCAGTAATACCTCGGGGTGTGATGGAGGCCTCTTCTACACTGCCATATAAAATCCAGATTATCATCTTTGAACTGGATTATATGGCAGTGTTGACTCATATAATCCAGTTCAAAGCAGATAATGTGGATTATCTGCTTTGATAATATGGATTATATGGGAGTGTAGAAGGGGCTGAAGTCTCATTCTCTTGAAGTTTTAAACAGAAGTTGGATGGCCATCTGTTGGGGGTGCTTTGATTCTGTATTTCTGCATGTCGGGGTCGAACAGGATAGCCCTTGTGGTGTCTTTCAACTGTATGATTCTATGACTATAAGATTTTAATTTTGCACAGCCTGTTTGCATCAATTTACATTTTGTTATTTTTTCAGTAATAAAGTCCAGTTTTGTTTGTCCTTGGCATTGTACAGTTAGAAAATGGGAAAGGAATGTAAACAAATTAATTCTTAACAGATGGCATGAAAATCGATTTGAGCTAGGACTGAGCAATCGTTTTTGCAAACTTTAACTTCTCTGTATTTTTTTTCACAACAGCTGAAGATGATTTCTGTGAAAAGGCAAAACCTCCAGGTGGTGCGTAGTCCATGCAAGACATGATATTCATCTCCGATGCTCTGAATAACAGATGTGTAACATTCTCCTGCAAACACAGATTTTTACCAGATCCTGACGTTTTGCCAAGTAGGAAGAGCACCGCTTTAAAAACTAATGACATAAGAAACAATTGTAATTGAGAAATTTTAAAACCAGAAATATCAATGTAACTAACGGAAATGTTTATTTATCTGATTATAGGTAAATTGTCATGTGTTAAGGAAGCAATAAAAATGGAACCATTAACAGTTTGTGTAGAAATCTTCATGGAGAAAAGTTGTACTTAAAAACAGCAATGGCTCTTGATGTGCGTACAATAATATTTAATGTGTTTTATCTCTTTTGGCTGAGGGCATAGTTCGTAGATTTTTATGGTACTATCCTATATATGTTTACTCAAAAGTAAATCCCATTTTGTTGCTGCCACGTGGTCTCATTCATCTATACATGTAACCGGTATGTGAGTGAGTAGCATAGGCCCCTTCTACACTGCCATATAAAATTCAGATTGTCTGCTTTGAAATGGATGATATGATAGTTTAGACTCATATAATCCAGTTCAAAGCAGATTATGTGGATTATCATCTTTGATAACCTGGATTATATGGCAGTATAGAAGGGGCCATAGTCAGTATAGGGGGTCTTTAACCAACAATAAGGCAGACAAACAGTGGTTATGTTCTCACTCAGTAGTGAAATAACTTGTCTGGTCATACTTTAAAATCCAGAATTGCAGGGTTCATTTTTTTACACACATTACTTCCCAAAATATGTGCAGAAGAGAAGAAAAAGATATCTTAGGCCCCTTCTACACTGCCATATAATCCAGATTGCATTGTAGTAGGTGGTCTATGGTTTGCCTTCTCCACATTGTGCCACATGCACAATGGAGGACCTTCTCACAGTGACACCAGAGGCACTCCAAGTGGCAAGTTTCTGGTCAAACAATATTTAGCATAATGCCAAGTTTTTAATTTTGTGTTTTTAAATACATGATAACTGTACCTCAATTCACTTCTGACATGATAAATAAATAAATCCTCAATTTGCCCATTGGCAATTCTACATGCCACATTAGTTCTGAGAGTGTTCATCTGTCTAGATGAGTAGAGCTAAAGAATGTGTGCTTTTATGTTGCAATCAGCCTGTCCCACAGGCAATTTCTTGCCCTCTTTGGTCTTTGCACTGCCCCATATGCATTCTTCAAGTGTATGGCAATGGCATCTGATTGACTCCACTCTCAAGATATTCTTTATCCATGCATAAACAATTAGATCTTGGCCATAAGTGCTTGTAATTGTCTCATCATGAAAATCCCACACAGAACAATCCCAACAAGTGCAATTCATAGGGACCCTGCTGGACACTTGCTTAGGTGTAATGTAATATACACTGCCATATAAGGACTGGAGTACATCTTGTAGAAATTGAAAAGACAAAATAGTTTTTTTTTCTTTTATCTGTCTATTATTTCAGTGTTTGAGCATATTAGCATTGCATTTGTACTGTGGCAAGTTAACAATACTCATTTACAGCTTCTCTGAACATTCCTCCCCACTGACTCACCACAGTTTGAACATTTCAGAAATTACGAGCACAAAGTACTTCATTCTGGAGAAGACTGTGAAATTCTTTGCATCAGCGACAACCACTTTAACCACCAAAGGACCTCCACAGCACTCAGAGGTAAACAACATAAGAACGCTTTCTTGGGGTCAGGGTAAAAAGTCAATATATGCATTATCTGGTGTGCTTTTTATACATAATGCCATGATGTGCTCAAAAAAGGATTAATGTCTTAACAAATGGATGACAACAAAGAAAGTAAGGCTATATTTTCTAAATGCACATAAATGGTAACTAGGGAGTAAACTTCTATTAAATGCAGTGGGACTCAGCAGACAATGATCACATGCCAAGTGTTGTTTTGTAGCCTTCAGATAAGACACTCGAGAATTTTCATGAATGTAATCTGAATGTTTTCATAGATACTGAGAGCTTACAGGCAAAAATAGCAAACACCATTTTACCAACATTACACAGATGCTAGCATGATTCAGTGATGAACATATATGTGCTCCCGAAGCAGTAGATCACCACTTCAAAAAGGAGTAGAAATTGTATAGCCCTCCAGATGTTGAACCACAAATCCCAGAATTCTTCAGCATTGGCTACACTCTCTTGGGCTGGTGGGACTTGTAATCCAACAACATCCAGAGAGCTCCTGGATTCTCAGCTCTCTTCTATAAGGAGAAGTCTGCAGGGCAATATTCCACTTACTTGCATTTTAATTCATATTGTCATCACAAGCACTTAAGGCAGTTATCCCTTTTAGAGTTAAGCGTGCTTGCAGCTCCTCTCAACATAATTATTGATGTTCAAAGATGACAGAAGTCAGATTCTTCTTTATTATTGTTACTGGAAGATATAAATGTTGAGTACTTTCAAGTCATTTTTGGCTTATTGTTACCCCAAAACAGATCTATTTCAGGGTTTTCGTAGCAATATTTGTTCAGAGGGGGTTGTCTTTCCATTCCTCTGAAGCTGAGAGAATGAGGGCCCTTCTACACAGGTCCTAAAATCTGAGAGAAACAGAATAAAGGGGAGGTGGCTAGATGATGCTCGCTGAATATAAGCACTGAATCACATCACCAGCTGAAAAACTCGGGTTTAAAACGTATGCTTAAAATCCAAGATTGGCCAAAAAAAATCACATATTTGCAACGCCACATATCGCTGCACTCAGGAAAAACATAGGACTTCATTGCCATATGCTGGTGTGGACTGCTCCAGCACATGTGCACATTTTAGCATCCCGAAATAACTAATGAGAGTTGTAAACAGATGGAGTAATAGACACAAAGGTAGTTAAATGGAAGCACAAATGGAAAGCAATTCCCATGAGAACTCTCTGCAACCATTCCTTTGTTCCGATCTTTATGAAATTAAACAGAGCTTGAATTTACAGTATGGTGAGGAGAGATAATAGGAAATCTGTTTGTATATACATTTAGATATCTGCATGAGTGCATATGAGGTACAGCACATCTCGGAGCATCAATTTTTTAAAAAACGTAAACTTCCACAGATGCGAATGTCTAAAATACAGTACAAACAAAGGCATCAGGACAGTGGGGGAACATTTACCGGGACAGATAGGTCTGTGTTTGGACTTGCTATCAGGTCCCACAATTTTTGCCCCATTTATTTGTCCCACATTTTGACACTTCCTGGAAGTGACCTGAGAGAGTGAGAAGTGTCCATAGTCATCCAGTGGATTTCCATAGCTGAACAGGGAGTCAAACCCTGGTTTCCAGAATCTTAGTTTGGTGCTCAAACCACTGCAATATAATGGCTCTTATTGCACTATGTAACAAAACTTTTAAAAAATGTTCCTGTTTTGAAAGTGTTATTCTTGCTTAATTGTGCGTTACTTACTTTGCAAGTAGCTGTTATACTCTAGAAACTTTGTTTTTGTGGCTGCCACAAATTATGTTGAATTAGTTGAGACTTGATGAGATAGTCATTGAAAAACTATAGCAAAATGGACTATAGGATATCCCGCAAAAATGAAGTTTTGGCAGTTTAATAAATATTTTCCATGTTTTTAATGATGGAACCAATTAGAAAGTGACACTTATAATCCAGGAACAAACATTGTGTTACATAGTGTTATTGCTACTGGAGAAATTATTAGCACAGGACATCAACAGTTTCCATGTAAGAGATTCCATAAACCTCTGCTGCTCTGTGGAAAGCTAGTTAGTTTGGGTTCCTTCCCCATCGGAAGCTGTGCCTGCTCTTTTTAACAAGAACCAAAAAAGTTGCCTGTCCTTCCTTTCACATTTGCTGAGTCCTACAACATTTTAAGCACAAATCATAATCTAATGAGCAAGGGATTTATACGTTTCACATTTTGTGAAATCACCTCATTTTTCTTTAAAACTATAGAGATGTGGAACTCCCTATTGCAGTAACTTTAAAAGGAGATATACTGTATATACTCGAGTATAAGCCTAGTTTTTTTATTATTATTACATTTATTATTTTACTCTGTTATTATTATTATTATTACATTTATAATTTAACTTTATTATTGTTATTATTACATTTGTTATTATATTCTATTATTATTGGAAGGATACGTACGCACATTTACATTGAACAAGGTTAGAATAATGGTTTAATCTGAGTTGGACAATCCTATCTTAAATTAGTTTTATGTAAATATTCAAAAACATTTAACCCAATGATGCCTCCCTTAATGTAATTTTATTGGTATCTATTTTTATTTTGAAATTTACCAGTAGCTGCTGCATTTCTCACCCTCGGCTTATACTCGAGTTAATATGTGTTCCCAGTTTTTTTGTGGTAAAATTAGGTGCCTCGGCTTATATTCGGGTCGGCATATACTCGAGTATATATGGTGTGTATGTGTTTGTGATAGGCAAATAGTGTAAGAAGGAAAAAAATATAACATGAAAAAGGCATCCTATGCCCTGTTTATAATATGGGTTCTAACTATGTCTGCCTTTATAAAAAATGAGTGCTGTTGTCATCAGTGAGATCTACACCTTTAGTGCTTAGTAGTGATGTCTTGATAGCATTTGGCAGAATCTTCACAGTATTTAATCCTGTTATTTCCAATCATAGGTCACTCAAAATTGAGCAGTAGAGGAGACTCGTGCCCCTTCTACACTGCCATAATATTTACTTACTTACTTACTTACTTCATTTATATACCGCTTTTCTCACCCCAGGGGGGAGGGGGGGAGAGGGGCTGACTCAAAGCGGTTTCCAACATATTCACAGCAAAATTCAATGCCTAAGATACATACAAAAAAATTTAACATGCAACAATAATAACATATGACTGTCAATTAAATCATAAAACATAATAACATGTAGACATTAAAACATACGGTTAAAAACATATTAATATAAACATTAAAATCATATAATCTGGAAATCATAGTCCAAGGCCATAATCCATATTTTCAAGGTGGATAATCCACACTATCTACTTTGAACCAAATTATATGGGACTACTCTGCCATATAATCCAGTTCAAGGCAGATAATCTGGATTTTATATAGCAGTGTGGAAGGGACCTGAGTTCTGGATTTGCTCAATATTTTGAGGGATGGCAACTTCACGCCCAGACAACAGAGCACAAATGTCCCAGATTAGCAGTTTTTTATGGTTTAATGTTTACATTGTTATAAACACAGAAGATACATTTTCTGATGCCATATAGCTTGTAATCAGTCAAAAGTTACAATTCTGATAGCTACGTGAATGCTGTAAGATTTCGGCCATCATTAATGATGCAGCTGTTCAAAGTACATGGATAAACTTGAAATGAAATATGTGGGTGATGGAGAAAGAAACACAGTAGGAGGTATCTACGGACAAATGGACAACGTAGCCTCCTTGGCTTGGAAATAGAAGCCTTTGCCTTTGTCTGTTTATTTGTCTGTGTATTTGTGTTTCATTGTTTCAAGGCATTGCATATTTGCCTGTGTCTGTATATATGCTGGAATCCGCCCTGAGTCCCTTCAGGGAGATAAGGCAGAATACAAATAAAGTGTGGTGGTGGTGGTTGTTATAAGAAAAGAGTAATAAGCTTAATTGACTAGTAACTCTTCCTAATAACCCTTAAGCCCTTCAAGGCATTGATTTTTGACTGGTCGTTGAGTATCCATACACTGCAATCTTCATACATGTAAACTTTCTTTTTTTGTCTCTTTTCCTCTTTCTCATATATATATAGGGGGAGAGAGAGTGAGGAGGAGGGCATTTTAGGCCCCATCTGTATTACCTTATAATGCACTTTCACTATGAAGTTTAACTGTATTGAACTGGATTATATGGTAATGCAGACTCATATAATCTAGTTCAGTGTAGTTCAAACTGCATTATATGGCAGTGTAGATGGGGTCCAAGTTGCACTTTGATTAATAACACTGGGAGCCTTCCAATAACAATTTTAAAAATTAAAAACACGGTATCCCTCACATGTTCAGGAGCAGTTGTGTTATTAAAAATTAATTGAGCAACATTTACAGCACTGTTGCATTGAAGATTTCCTTGTTTCTTTTGTTTTTTGTCTATACTTAATTGTAGTCTTCCTTCCCAGTTTAATTTGTTTTATTGTTTTGTTATGCCTTATAGGAGTAGGTTTCATTAGTAAGAAAACAAAAAAAAAAAAAGAAATAACAATGCATAATCGCATTTGGTAAACAATACAATTTAAATGTGCACTTAATGTCCTTGGATGACTTCCCCAAAGAGCCAAAGACCTTTCATTTGTCCAAGCCTCTGGAGCCCATCTGAGATAACTTTTTAGAATTATCTCATGGAGATCTGTTCCCCAAGCCAAAAAAAATGTGAATGTCTCTCGAAAAAGTTAAGGACAGGACAACTATGGGAAAAAGGGAAGGGAGTGGCTTTTATTATGTCAGTGAAGTCAGCACTGGTTGTAATGACCTCCAGATGTGCCAAGAGGACATGCAGAACAGCAGGATGTACTAATGCTGTGCTCATGTAGATGGATGTATTAACTTTGTAAGCTGATAGCAGGTACTCCTGTGAGAGAATCAAGCTTTGTAGTATTGTGTGTTGATACCCCGCTTTCCCCTCCAAATCAACAATATGAGAGGGTTGCTGTGAGTTTTCTGGGCTGTATGGTCATGTTCCAGCCATAGGTTTTAAATGCTTGTTGTTATTGTTATTGTTTATTGTTTACTTTTGTGTATGAGATTTATTTTAACTGTTGTATTGATTGTTTTTTATTGCTTTTACTGTTTTTACTGTTGATGTACTTTGGGCTCAGCCTTATGTAAGCCGCACCAAGTCCCTTGGGGAGATGGTAGCGGGGTATAAATAAAGGTTGTTGTTGTTGTTATTCCAGAAGCATTCTCTCCTGACATTTTGCCCACACCTATGGCAGGCATCCTCAGAGGCTGTGGGGTCTGCTGGAAACTAGGAAAATGGGGTTTATATATCTGGGAATGCCCAGGGTGGGAGAAAGAACTCTTGTCTGCTTGAGGCAACTGTGAATGTTGCAATTGGCCACCTTGATTAGCATTTAATTGCCTTGCTGCTTCAAAGCCTGGCTGGTTGCTGCCTGGGGTGACCCTTTGTTGCAAGGTTTTAGTTGACCCTGATTGATACTTGTATGGAATTCCCCCGTTTTTGAGTGTTGCTCTTTATTTACTGTCCTAATTTTAGAATTTTTGAAATACTGGTAGCCAGATTTTGTTCCTTTCCATGCTATCCTCCTTTCTGTTGAAATTACCCACATGCTTGTGTATTTCAATGGCTTCTCTGTGTAGTCTGATATGATAGTTGTTGGAGTGGTCCAGCATCTCTGTATTCTCAAATAATATGCTGTGTCCAGATTGGTTCATCATCAGGTCCTCTGCTATGGCTGACTTCTCTGATTCAGTTAGTCTGCAGTGCCTTTCATGTTCCTTGATTCATGTTTGGGCGCTGCATTTGGTGGGTTTTTTTGGTTTGGATAGAGGGTGGTTTGGTTGACCTAACAAAGATACCATGGAGTTTAGACTTAGGCATTTATTAAGGTTAATTACTTCATACAAATATAAATGTATCAAATACTGCTAATTAGGTCCAGACCAAGCCATGCTCAGAGTAAACCCAGTGGAATATACTGGATTTAAGTTTGTGGTGCAGAAGGCCTTACTAGAGACAAAAGCCCCTTCTATACTGCCATATGATCCAAATTATCACATTAGATAATCCACATTATCAGCTTTGAACTGGATTATATGAGTCTACATTGCCAGATAATCCAGTTCAAAGCAGATAATCTGGATTTTATATGACAGTGTAAAAGGGGCCAAATCCTTCTGAACTGAAAGTATCTCCCAAGTCAGGCCTTCCTGGCTCCCTCATTTGTAAAACAATTCATTTCCTCCAACAGGCATTAAACCCTTGGTTTCTCCAATTGTGCTTTGTTTTTACAATTTAAGCTTTATTAATGACTCTTAATATTCCAAAATTTTAATGCTTTGACAATTAATATAGTTAAAGTAAAGGTTTCCCCTTGGCATTAAGTTTCGTTGAGTCTGACTCTAGTGGGTAGTGGAAATCTCCATTTCTAAGCCGAAGAAACGGCATTGTCCATAGATGCCTCCTAGGTCATGTGGCCAGCATGACTGCATGGAGCACCTTTACCTTCCAGCCAAAGCGGTACCTATTGATCTACTCACATTTGCATGTTTTCGAACTTGTACATTGGCAGAAGCTGTCATGTGGCCGGCATGACTGCATGGAGCATCATTACCTTCCCTCCAAAGCGGTACCTATGGATCTACTCCCATTTGTATGTTTTCAAAATGCAAGGGTGACAGAAGTTGGGGCTAACAACAGGAGCTCATCCAAACCCGAGGATTCAAATCGTCGACCTTCCGGTCAACAAGTTCTGCAGCTTAGAGCCGTAGCAAACTACTGGAAGCGAGAGCGAGCTTGGGCTCGAGCTCGCTCCGAAGCCCCGCCTTTTTTCCCCCGAGGCTGCTCTCTCTCTTGCTAGTGTGCCTGTTTTCCCTTGCTAGGGAAGCGATGTGAGTGTACTCTCACAGTTGGAAGAATTCAACTGTGAGCGTACGCTCGCATCTCTGCCCTCTGCAATGGAAAACAGGCACACTAGCAAGAGAGAGAGCAGCCTCGGGGGGGGGGGGGGGAAAAGGCGGGGCTTCGGAGCGAGCTCGAGCACAAGCTTCCTGTAGTTTGCTGCGGCACGAGCGTATGCTCGCAACGCTGCCCTAGCAAAGGGAAATAGGCGGAGAAAGAGGCGGAGCATCGCTCGTGCTGGCTTAGTTTGCTCTCGCAAAATCCTAGTTTGCTACGGCTCTTAGCAGCTTAACCACTGTCTCCCACTGTGACCCCATATAGTTGATATATCTGGCCACTTTATTTGTTTGTTTGGGGTTGTTGTTTTTTTTGTAAAATCAGTTTTAGGGTTTACTTTCATTTGCAAAATGCATTTGCCATTTATGTAGCATTATAAACCTTTTAAATCATTGTCACGACAGCTACCCACTTTCCCCTTTAGTTAAAAACATATATAAAGCGAAAGTTTTCCTCTGACATTAAGTCTTATCATTTCCTACTCTGGGGGGTGGTGCTCATCTGCAGTTCCAAGCCAAAGAGCCAGCGTTGTCCATAGACACCTCCAAGGTCATGTGGCCAGCATGGCTATTACCTTCCTGCAGAAGCAGTACCTATTGATCTACTCATATTTGCATGTTTTCTACCTGCTAGGTTGGCAGAAGCAAGAGCTAACAGGGGGAGCTCACCCCGCTCCCCGAATTCAAACCGCCGACCTTTTGGTTAGCAAGTTCAGCAGTGTGGTGGTTTAAGGCGCTGTGCCACCAGGACAAAAACATAGATAGCACCAATACAATTAACAAATACAACATTCACAAGCAAGATAGCAACAAAGAAATAACAAGTGTCAGCCACCTACAACAAAAAAAACCTATGCACTATGAGTAGAAACATACTGTTAGCAGCAGTTACATTTGTATTTGCCTTCTTTGCAACATTTGCTGGGGAACATTTATTCATTAAAAAAATCTCAATTAAGTTATGCTTGTTTTTTGTCTTGTTTTCATCAGAGAATTGGCTGAGCTTTTGGAATAACTTGGTTTCTAGCATTATACTTTGCTGCAAATGAGGGATCAAACAGCAGGTCCCTAATTGTTCCCACAAACATCGTGCTGAGTTGCAAGCAGCTATACTTGACATTCTGCTTCCCAAAATGCTTGTTTTATTTTGCAGATTCATCAAAATGAAGAATTGCATTTTGTTTTGTTTCTTCCTTGCAAATGTGTTGGCAGCCTGTATTGTTGGCTTGGTAAGTTTTCGCGTATTTAAAGTGACTTTTCATTTATAAAAGAAGTTTGGAAAAAAAATGATAAGGTTATTTGTGACTATTGAATTCAGAGGTGAAATAGTAGAAATTTTACTACATTTATTTAATATTCTAAACTTGATAAGAATTTCAGGTGTACCTATATACTTTAATGCAGTAGTTCTCAACCTTTCTAATGCTGTGACCCCTTAATACAGTTCCTTATGTTGTGGTGACCCCCCCCCCCCCACATAACATTATTTTTGTTGCTACTTCATAACTGTAATTTTATTACTGTTATATATTGTAATGTAAATATCTGGTATGCAGCATGCATTTTCAGTTGAAGTTGCTGGGGGTTATAATTAACCTACTAGCAAACAGCATTCTGAGCTCCACCACCAATGGAATTGAACCAAATTTGGCACACAAAACTCCCATGACCAACAAAAAATATTGGAAGGTTTTGGTGGGCATTGACCATGAGTTTTGGAGTTGTAGTTCACCTACATCCAGGGAGCACTATGGACTCAAACAATGATTGATCTAGACCAAACCTGGCATGAATACTCAATATGCCCAAATGTGTACACTGGTGGAGTTTGGGGAAAATAGATCATGACATTTGGGAGTTGTACTTCCTGGGATTTATTGTTCACCTACAATCAAAGAGCACTCTGAACCCCACCAACAAAAGAATTGGGACAAACTTCCTACACAGAACCCCCATGACCAACAGAAAATACTGTGTATTCTGATGGTCTTTGGTGACCGCTCTGACACCCCCTCATGACACCCCCCAGGGATCCGGACCCCCAGGTTGAGAAATGTTGCTCTAATAGATTGGAACAACTCCTTTGATCTTTTATTCTAATTTTAGATGCTGAGTCAAGAAATCTTTCCCCAAATTTAGTGAAGCTTCTGACATCACCATTCAATCTTTTGATATTGATGAAAAAGACCAGAAGTGAAAGGACAGTTCTTCATTTAGGGTTTTTAAAAAACACTATATCAATTTTCCTTGAGTTGGTTGGGTTTATAATAATTAGCTTATAAAATGTAAAAAAAATTTAAGGCTATAGAATCTGGAATAAGTATGCTTCAGCATCTTCCACAGAATAGGTCAGCAGCTGGTTAATATCTGGCTTTTAGTGTAGAAAATAAAAAGTAGATATAGTCAACAAAGCTGGCAACGTCAGTTAAAACTCAGTCTGCTTCCAATTAGTGACATAGTTGGAATCTAAACGATTTTTTTCTCAGTGATATTATAACTTTGTTTCTTTCAAAGGGGTTTAAAAGGCAAACGAAATCAATTCACAATCTTTACAGATCGGTGTACCCCGAAAGGTCCTTTATTATTGAGTATTTATATTGCACGCTTCCAGGGCCATAGCCAGAAAAAAATTTCGGGAAGGGTTGACATTTTGGGGGGGGGGGTTGAAAATTTTGTGCAGGGGGGGGTTGAAACCTGCCTTCTAGCTCACGCTAAAGCAAAGAGCACAGCAGGGAGCAGAGCAGCCTTCAATAGCCTGCAGCTCCACCCCTGTCAACCACCTCCACCAAGTCTGGCCTCCTTAATGAGAGCATTCAACACACACACACACACACACAACTTGGTTGCTTCACTACATTGGCTATTCCTGCAAGTAATGACAGTGTGAATAAATTGTCAATATTTAAGGCCTTGCATAGTCTGGAGCCAATGTACCTGAGGGACCGCCTCACCCCCTACCAACCCCAGAGATCCCTCCATTCTGAGGACCAAGATCTATTGGAAATTCCCAGTGTCAAGACCTTGTGTCTAACAGCAACCAGACGCAGAGCCTTTACAGCAGTGGCACCATCACTCTGGAATACTCTGCCACCTGAAGTCCGTGCCTTGCGGGACTTATCAGCTTTCCGCAGGGCATGTAAGACATATCTGTTTCGACGGGCCTTTGATCTCTGATATTGCTGTTATTAAATTGTTTTAAATTGTTTTTAAATTGCGTTCGATTTTAGCCTGTTCTTGTAAGCTGCTCCGAGCCCCAGGGGAGTGGCGGCATATAAGCTCGAATAATAAATAAATAAATAAATAAATAAATATTTGCTTGAGATAGTGCTTTAACCAGTTAAAATTCATGAGTAAACTGGGTTTTTTAAAAAAAAAAATCTGAAACATTTCGGGGGGGGGGTTGAACCCCTAAACCCCTCCCTCCTCGCTACAGGCCTACACGCTTCAGCCGAAAAGGTTGCCAGAGCAGTACAGGTACGGTGACTTCAGGCAAAGTTAAGCAGGAGTAAACTGGAATGCTGCATGGACTCACAGCTATCCTGATAACTTTTAATGTTTAAAACCATCCTTTTTTAAAAGAACTACATAACTACTGCTGTCCCGACTTCTTCACAAAGAGAGCAAATCTGCTATGCTAAATATCTCTGTGATTAAATTACTTGATGGAAGATCAGGGACAAGAGTAGATTCATAAATGGTTCCATTGCTCCCTCCCAAGAGCACCTTGATGCAGATTTTTCCAATGTTCTGTATAAACTTGCAATAAACCATCCTTACTACACACACTGGAAACCCCAGTAGCACAGTGGGTTAAACCGCTGAGCTGCTGAACTTGTAGACCGAAATGTCGCAGGTTCAAATCCGGGGAGGGGTGTGAGCTCCCGCTGTTAGCCCCAGTTTCTGCCAACCTAGCAGTTTGAAAACATGCAAATGTGAGTAGATCAATAGGCACCACTCCAGCAGGAAGGTAACGGTGCTCCATACAGTCATGCCGGCCACATGACCTTGGAGGTGTCTATAGGCAATGCCGGCTCTTTGGCTTAGAAATGGAGATGAGCACCAACCCCCGGAGTCAGATATGACTGGACTTAATGTCAAGGGAAAATCTTTACTTTTACCTTACTATACACAGTTCTATCCTTGGAAGTCTCTTTCCTTTGAGGAACAAATGCCTATGACACGAACCCAGATCAGAGGTGATACAGTTGTGGTTGGTATGGTCCCATTTTGTCACACCCCACACCACTTTTTCTCCATGCTTTTTTTATTCCCTTACAAGCTGTTGGCCATTTTGGGTCTGTGTGCCAAGTAGGCTCCAGATCCATCGTCAGCTGAATTGATTGCTCTCAGGATGCAGGTGAACTACACCTCCCAAAATCAAGGTCATTTCCCCTAAACCCTTGCAGTGTGTTCAGTTGGTCATGGGGCTTCTCTGTGCCAAGTTTGGTCCCGGTCCATTGTGGGACCCCTCCAGTCTGTTCAATTGTTGATCATTTCCTCTGTGTTTGCTGTGTGCCATAGGAAAGGGTAGGAAAGGGTTAAGGGAGGGGCAGTGCACAGGATCATGCAAATTCCACACAAGGAACCCTGGGATGCCTCCCTGTGGTGGAGGAAACACATCAAATCTAGAATGAAATTATCCCCGAATGAAAGCATTCCATGGGTGGTGGGCTGTAGTGTTTGGAGAGGACATTGGCAGTGGTTAGGATGGTGCTCGCTCTAACCTGCAATGTCAATTGAGTGAATGTCTTTGGAGGCTTCTCAGCACTTGGAACTATAGTCTGTTTGTAGAGGTGGGAGGCTGCTGTGTAAATGGACACCTCCACCTCATACACATTTTATTGTTTACTAGCCATCCCCTGCCACATGTTGTTGTGGCCCAATGTGTGTATATGCATTTTGTGTGTGTGTGTGTGTGTATTTGTGTGTATATGTATATATGTAGTTTTGCGCATGCTTTGTAATGTATTTTTTATTTTTTGGCTTTTTAAGTCTCTTCCACTGTGTTTTTCAGTGTTTTATGAGGGGTTTTTTTATCGTGTCAGGAGTGACTTGAGAAACTACAAGTTACTTCTGGTGTGAGAGAATTGGCCATCTGCAAGGATGTTGCCCAGGGGGACGGCCAGATGATTTGATGTTTTATCATCCTTGTGGGCTTCTCTCATGTCCCCGCATGAGGAGCTGGAGCTGATAGAGGGAGCTCATCCGCCTCTCCCCGGATTCAAACTTGCGACCTGTCGGTCTTCAGTCCTGTCGGCACAGGGGTTTAACCCACTGTGCCACCGGGGGCTCCTTGTTTTTATGAGTGATGGTCACTCATTGGCGTGATAGGTGTATTGTGTCCAAATTTGGTGTCAATTCGCCCAGTGGTTTTGAGTTATGTTTCTCCCACAAACGAACATTACATTTTTATATATCTATAGATTCCTTTATGGTGCCTTGCTAACAAAGAGCAATTGTACCTCATTGCCACCAGGCGGAGCACCATGTTGCCAAATGTTACTCCACAGGCATTATATGGAATAGGAGTTATTCTTCCTGACAAAGTACTGGAACATGCAGTTCATAAAGCTCAGTGACTGGAAGTTAGATGCTAAAGCAACCTTAATAAGTGCACAATGATCAGTGGGAGTTGTTCTTTAAAAATAAAACCCAGCAGTCAGTCAATAGCCCTGCATTTAAAATATTACACGGCAAAATTATTTCACATCTTTCAAATGGAACTCGGAGTACAGAATATTTTTTTTGTTCGTGTAAGGAGCGACTTGAGAAACTGCAAGTTGTTTCTGGTGTGAGAGAATTGGCTGTCTGCAAGGACGTTGCCTAGGGGACAACCAGATGTTTTATCATTCCATGGGAGGCTTTTCTCATGTCCCTGCACAGGAAGCTGGAGCTGACAGGTGGGACCTCACCCCTCTCCCCAGATTCAAAGCACCGACCTTTCAGTCAGCAGTCCTGCCAGCACAAGGATTGTGCATACAGAATGAGAAGGCACTTGTCTAGAAAGGCATTAAAGGTAGCCAGGGGAGCTTTTACACAATTAAAATTTGTGCGCCAGCTGTGCCAATATCTTGGGAGGTCTGACTTGGCCAGGCTGGTCCACGCTCTTGTTACATCCCAATTAGACTACTGCAATGCTCTTTACGTGGGGCTGCCTTTGAAGACTGCCCGGAAGCTTCAATTAGTCCAACGGTCAGCAGCCAGGTTGCTCACTGGAGCGGCATACAGG